AAACTCCATTTGAATATAAAAACGTTTGAGGGACTCTTGATACTTCAGAGTCTGAAAAGGGAGAGAAACAGCTGCATCCCATCTTGCATTGCTGATCCAGAGGGAGGAAAAAAGTGGAAGCAACAAGTGAGCTCATATTTACACAAAGTACAAAATGAGATATATGCACTGCCTGACTACACCCTGCAGATCATGTGGAATGTTGAAGCCAGCCATGAGAGGAAGCAGCTCACAAAACCCTGCCTGCCTCATTTCCTTGTGCATCTTCTGACTCACTAGTTTGGGCATGCTGCCAAGCATCAGGGGCTGAAGGACCATTTCTTGTTGCCTCTTCCCCTCTTTTCCCTTCTGTCATGCAGGAGAGATACTCACTCCACTACAGGGGCTTTCCCACAAGGTACCAACACACACACAATCAGTTAGCCGATGAAAGTGGGGAAATAGTGCCAGCTCCCATCAGTTCCCAGGCTGCATTTGTCAGAAGCAGCTGACATCAAACTTCACACCCTGTTGTTGAATGCACCAAGGATGTGGCAAGAGAGTGAGAGAAACAAGCCTGAAGCTGGAATGCCAAACACAGTTGTGGGAGGCTAAGTCCCACTGAGCACTAGGGATGAAAGAAGGCATTGTTTTTTGTTTCACCCTGCGTTTGCCGCATGCAGCACTGTTTCCATACCACTACAGTTCATCTTCTGCCAAAAATATGTTATTCATCTCACTGTCTGCTGTGGCAAAATTACTTATGTAATTTGTGTAAATTTGGTTAAAAGTATGTAAATTATGTTGACATTATATTATTCCACCCCATTAATTTCAGTGCAAAGGGTACACAGTGAAAATGGGGGAAACATAATCAATTGTTTATCATTTGTGGACGGAAAGCACCAACAACAGTGAATACTGATAATTCCGTGCACTCTGGCTTCTGTCACAGTGTTCCGTTGCACCAGAGGCGGTTTAGTCATGCTGACCACATGACCCGGAAAGCTGTCTGTGGACAAACGCTGGTTCCCTTGGCCTGAAAGCGAGATGAGCGCCACAACCCCATAGTCACCTTTGACTGGACTTAGCTGTCCAGGGGTCCTTTATCTTTTATCTTTACCTAGATGAAGCAGCATCTGAAAATTAATCAGTTCTTTTTTATCAACTCTAATTCATGGAATCCAAATGCCAAAAATTAACTGCCATTAAGCTGACTGCAAAAAAGAAGCCATACATCTTCAAAGAGCATGCACTTGGACTGTGGAAGTTATTACCACAGAAGGTAATCATGTCAAAATTATTTGGCTAGAGTTTAGACTCTTTGTAGTTAATGCCACCTATAGTCCTGTGCAGTAAGATAAGATTAGCTGAGTCATGTACTTTAAGGCATAGGAAATTCTTTCTTCTCCTTACAAAATGAATGGCAGAATTGGATGAATGGATTTTTTGTACCCCTGCCCCATTTTTCATTGATGCAGGAATTTGCCAGAGATGTGTTAATGAAAGAAACATAATCTAGGTTGATGCATTTTAGGGATTCTGCAAAGATCACATTGCCCCACCTTCATTTTAACTTTTTGACCTATAGATAGAGGGAATATAACTGCCCTAAAGTACTTTGCATACTATAAATTTTTCACCAACACCACCACAATCTATTCCAGATGTAAATCTTGATTTCTTGCCTAAGCATGTATCAGGCTTGAGCTTCAGGTTGAAATCATATTACTTGAATGGCTTAAGATATCGGGATTGGCAGTTACTCCATTCAGTGAGAAGTTCTCTACCTTATGGTATGATATCCTGGGATAACATATGGATTTTGTCCATATGGGTTTGACTTATGCTGGAAAGAAAGAATTGTATGCATTTGAATGCAGTTCCACCGTCGTAAAAATTAAGCATACTGTCTGCTAAAACATTGTCAAATAGGACTATTTCTGGTGGGGAAAATGGGTACCTGGATGATGTCCATTTTACAACAACAGATGGAGTCCAACTCAATATAGAAAACATCTGGGAACTTTGAATCTTACGCAATGGGTTGGCCTAAGGCAACTTGGCACAAAGGATAAAAAAGGACTATTTACTGGTATAAAGCAGCTTGTAGTCCAAAGCATTTCTTATCACTTTTCAAGTCTGGGCAGGAAAATAATGTAGATAAATCACATCTGGCTGCAGAGAATGAGTCAGCTCAGGACATAAATTTGTGCAAAAGAAACAAGGAGAGGAGAGAGGAAATACAGAGGAGTGAGTACTTCTGATTCATATCCCAATGAGCTATTTGATGTTTTGCCTGGCTTCGCATGTTCTTACAAGGATTTGATTAGTTGTATGGACCCCTTGTCAAAGCACCAGCAACTATTACAGAGATCAAAATAATGTTGACAGCCCTTAAAAAAACCAAAACCCCATTCCTTCTTTCCTTCCTTCCTTTCCTGTCCGTAGGAGTAATAGCTTGATTAGTCTGGGGGAGTGTGATGAAGGAATCATTGAGTGGAAGCGAAGTTAAGAGAATCCATTTACATAATTTCCCCCTAGATGGTGAGCCTCTCACTACAGTGGTACCTCAGGTTACATACGCTTCAGGTTACAGACTCTGCTAACCCAGAAATATTACCTCAGGTTAAGAACTTTGCTTCAGGATGAGAACAGAAATCGTGCTCTGGCGGCGTGGTGGCAGCAGGAGGCCCCATTAGCTAAAGTGGTGCTTCAGGTTAAGAACAGTTTCAGGTTAAGAACGGACCTCCGGAACGAATTAAGTACTTAATCCGAGGTACCACTGTATTTGGTCAGAACATCTGCTGTGGTGCTCACAGGTAATGGTGCACTGCAGGCATGGCCAGGTAGCCATCTTTTGTCGTGTGTAATATCTGTTTGCATTGAATGTAGCACATTTGTACTTGCCTGTTGCTTCCTCACACATCCTGTGGGAGAAAACTCCATTTGGGGGATCAATACGGAGGCTCACACCAAGTTCCCAATTGGTCAGGCTGGATTGTGCAATGAATTACAGGACAGAATCTAGAGAGTCTGCAAAAACTTTCCATTATGAAACACACTACAGTGGTACCTCGGGGTAAGAACTTAATTCGTTCTGGATATCCATTCTTAACATGAAACTGTTCATAACCTGAGGTACCACTTTAGCTAATGGGGCTCCCGCTGCCGCAGCCACGCGATTTCTGTTCTCATCCTGAGGTAAAGTTCTTAACCCGAGGTACTATTTCTGGGTTAGCGGAGTCTGTAACCTGAAGCGTCTGTAACCTGAAGTACCACTGTATATCAACATGTCATCTTGGCTGTTTCATCCTCTCCCCAACCAGCTTCTGCCACCCCATCGCCTCACAATCTCTCATCCAACCACAGTCCTTGGAAACACTTACTCAACCCATTTTTGTTACTGTACATGCAGAGCCCTCCTTGTACCTTATCTGGAGTTTTTTATTATTATTATTCTAACATTCAGCCAGTAGGTTCCTCATAAACTGGTTCTTGCCAGTTTTGTCATCAGGCCACACTCTTGTGTACATGACAGTGGCCTCACTGGTAAAAGGTTTTATGGAATTTCTACCTCAGTTTCCATGCATGAAGCTCTTTTGGGATCACAGGAAGATCTCTTGGAATATGCAGGCAACTGGGTGTCTGCCATTTTTAGGCCCTTCATTTTAGAGTGTGTGTGTGGGGGGGAAAGAATTTCAGGAATCACAATTTCATGCACTACAATCATTTAGTTCTGCACACTCTCTTGCAATGTGCTAAGCTAAAGCAAAAACCAACACGTGATCAGGACAGTTCTCAGACCATTACGCAGACAAATGTCCAGATATTCTCAGGGACATGGCACACAACAAATGTGTGTTACACAATGCTATGGCTGCTGGATTGTGAAGCTGATTGATTGGTAATGGTGAAGAATGATAAGTGTTTGCTCAAAGAAGAGCTAACAACTGGCAATGTTTTCCTGTTCATCTGTAGGGATGGGTCTGAGTTTAACATGAATGTCTATGGCAGTAATAGAATCACAGATTTGGAGAGGGCTTTGTCTGCTACCTATTCCAACCTCTGTCAAAGCAGGAAATCTAGTACTATAGCATCTCCAGCAGTTGGGTGTTCAGCCTAGACTTGCGGACCATCAGTGAGGAACACCTCACCACCCTAGGCAATTGGTTCCATAGTTAAGCTATCCTTACCATCCAGAAAACCCACAGAAATGCAAGTATTAGTGAAAGTAACGTACAAAAACGAATTATTCTGAGGAAAATTGTTTTGCAGAAACATGTGTAATTAGGCAAAATTGCATACAAATATGTATTGAGAGATATTCGCACTAAAACGCTGGTGGTGTTTCATGAGGACTTTTTTTAAAAAAAAAAAAATCCACCACTGACTGCAGTGAGCATCCCATTGGGATAGGTACCAGTCTTTGATCGGGACGCTGCTAATGTGTGTGCCCAGTTGCACCCACTCAGGAGTGTGCAAAATTGCTGTCTGGATTTTCCTCCTCTGAAAGGAAACTTTGTAGCGCTAAAACTTTGATGGGTTCAAGTGGTTAAATATTTGTTATATTGAACAAACACACTGAAGGGAGCTGTCATGTGGTGTTAATACGAACTCTGTTGGATGAAAAATAAGACCTAGCTATACTTACACTCTGTTGAACCAGGTGGTCTCTCCTCCAAGCATGGGGATTTTAACTCTCTCTCTCGCTCTCTCTCTCTCTCTCTCTCTCTCTCTCTCTCTCTCTCTCTCTCACACACACACACACACACACAAATGATATTTTGATGGCAAGCGGAATTGCTGCATTGGCCATACATGATACATGTGCTTATGTAGTGGGCTGCTTCTTTTGTCATTACATGCACAATGGATTTCTTTAAACATTCCTTCACCTGCTGCAACTAATTTAGAATTTGGTTCCTTTGAGTGCCAAACTCCCACTCAGTTCAAATACTTCGTTCTGTGTTCTCTTAATCCTTAACATCTCTCTCTCTCTTTCTTTTTTGGCTGGGGGGATGGGGGTGGGGGAGAGAAGAGAATACGAACAGAAAAGCCCAAGTACTTTTCACTCCTACTTTCCTCTACCACTAAGGAATGCAAACCAAATGGTAAGGGTTTTGAGGGCTTCTGTATTTATCCACAAGACTTTGCAAGTGTGCTCTTGTCTGAGAGTGCTTGTGGTACAGGGCACAACGAATGCTGGAGGAGGGAATGAGGACAGAGGAGATCTGGCCATCAAAGAGCCCCCATTCAAAACTCCTACTGCCTTTCAAGGCCTCCATTCAAGGCCCTTAGTGGTTAATGGCTTAGGCACAGACACTCTGCCCCCAAGATGTGGCTTTGACCCCATTCGCCACTGACGTCCGTGTTCATACGCTCTCCTGGTTCAATTTCCTGAGGTTTCTGATTTCCTGAGTGAGGGAAGGCGATGTTTAGAAAAGAGGTGCCAGACTGGAGGAGGATGCATAGGGAGAGGGAGGGCTTTGGAAGGGAGGGGTCACTTATCACAGATAAAAAGGTCCCCTTCTTTGCCAGTGAAGACTGCAGGGACACTGGGAGAAGAGAACCTTCAGGCAAGTCCTGTCTACAGAAGGAAGTGCAGCACATTACAGTGAGTATGCAGGACCTTACTAATGTCTGTATGGGGGTGCCTTGCACATGCAAAATTATAAGAAGTAAATGGCAGAGATCTGAGGGTGCTAATGTGTATGGATTACCTGTTTTGGGTTGTAGGATTTTAAAATGGGCTGATCTGGGCTTTTGCTGATTGGGAAACTCAAGATCAGTCTCAATGATACTTGCTTATAATTAAAAAGACTTAGGACAGGCACATGAGCAATAATACTCTTCTTCCCCTTTGAAAGAGGCTCCAGATCAGGCTGTGTAAAAATATTGGTGGCTCTTCCATTTCTCTAAATGATTTTCCCCTGTCATTGACAACGAAGGAACAAGCTGCTTGTATGCAGCCAGGTAATTTTGGTGAAAATGGTTGATATTACTTTCCATGAATTCTGGCTCAGAACTGAAAGCAGCAATGTTTCTGGCAAAGAACTTCCTGAACGTATTGATTATAAACAAGTAAAATTCTTCCAGGTGTTGTCATGATGACACCCAGAAAAATGCCAGAGTTTCTCTGAGTTGCCAGCCATAGGTCATTGACATGCTGATGAAAACCTGGATGGATCAAAATCAGGCCTTTCACTGGAACTTTATTATGTTAACAAAATCCTTACCAAGCTCTTAGTTGCCCTCGGAAAATGTTAGGCATTTTGTGGGTAAGATGTTTATAGTATCAACATGGTGTTTAAAAAACCCATCCACGCTTCGGTAATGTTGGCAATTAATGTGGTGACAGAGGTAACAAATCAAAAGAGACCAAGGAGGAAAAAGTTAGCCAGAGAAACGGTGGCGGTCTTTCTCCCAGCATGCTCTTGGAGAAAGGCTGAAGACGAGAATGGCTGTTAAGAAAGTGAATTGGGCCCTGCTTTTTGGGACAACGCATCACTGTTAGAAGTCTCTTTACAGCTTGTCCCCTCCTCACCTGAAGCCTTTCTCCCAAGCTTATTTTTCTTCTGTTCTTTCTCTATCCCTTTGCCTCAGCCATCTTTTCTTGGCAGCACCGAGGCCTGCAGACACCAGAGGGGCCGTGATATGCAGTTGCCTCATAAAATCCACGTTCAGTAAATCTGAACTCTGTGGGACAGAAGCATTTCCTTACCAAGCAAGTGACTATCCTTAAAAGAGACTAAAAAATCTAGGTGGAGCTGGGGAACAAGGAGTGGAAGGGAAGCTGGTATGAGAGACTGGGATGGATTCATGTCAGGGGCTACATTTCTGGCTCAACCTCCCGGTGAATACAAATCTCAGAGAGAAGCAGTGTTTGAACAAAGATGATGTTGATGACTGAGAAGGAAAGGTCCGATACTGGGGAAAAGAAGTCCTTTATTCATCTGGGGATAGTGCTTATAAACAGTCTTTTCCTTTCTACTTTCTCTGTTTCTTTCCACATGCTCACAGAACTTGGAAGAGGGCTATGGGTTTGGAGCGAGCTATTTCCTGGCCCTGCCAATTCCAATGTGATTTGGACATTCTCCTCTTCCAAAGTATTTTTGCCAAAGGGAGTAGTGTGAGTTCCTGCCTACTCCTGGGGAGTTTCATATTATAAGAACATGAGAAGAGCTCAGATAGACCAGGCTAAGGCTCATCTAGTGATGCGGCAGCTAAAAAAGCCAATGCAATTCTGGGCTGCATCAATAGGAGTATAGCATCTAGATCAAGGGAAGTAATAGTGCCATTGTATTCTGCTCTGGTCAGACCTCACCTGGAGTACTGTGTCCAGTTCTGGGCACCACAGTTCAAGAAGGACACTGACAAACTGGAACGTGTCCAGAGGAGGGCAACCAAAATGGTTAAAGGCCTGGAAACAATGCCTTATGAGGAACGGCTAAGGGAGCTGGGCATGTTTAGCCTGGAGAAGAGGAGGTTAAGGGGTGATATGATAGCCATGTTCAAATATATAAAAGGATGTCACATAGAGGAGGGAGAAAGGTTGTTTTCTGCTGCTCCAGAGAAGCGGACACAGAGCAATGGATCCAAACTACAAGAAAGAAGATTCCACCTAAACATTAGGAAGAACTTCCTGACAGTAAGAGCTGTTCGACAGTGGAATTTGCTGCCAAGGAGTGTGGTGGAGTCTCCTTCTTTGGAGGTCTTTAAGCAGAGGCTTGACAATCATATGTCAGGAGTGCTCTGATGGTGTTTCCTGCTTGGCAGGGGGTTGGACTCGATGGCCCTTGTGGTCTCTATGATTCTATGATTCTAGTCCAGTATTCTCTTCTCAAAGTGGCCAGCCAGAAGCCTATGGGAAGCCCACAAGCGTGGTCTGAGGGCAACAGGACTCTTCCCACTTGGGATTCCCAGCATCCAGGGAGGCCCATCGTCTCCAACAGTGGAGGAAGAACATTTCCACCTTGGATAGTGGCCACCTCTCCCCCTTTATTCCAGCGGGGCACATGTTGCCATCTTCTCCCAAGACCACGACTTCTAAGGACCCCTGCCTTAATCTTACGCATCAAGGACATGTAAAAAATAAAAGTTCATAAAACCTCAGGAATAGCTGAAAAATGTGCCCCACCAGCCAGAACAAACTTACCGTAAGTGTTCAATGTCTTGTTTGGCTGTATAGCTCCAGAAGCTTATGGGCAAGCAAGCTGTTCAGACAGCCCAGATCTGGATTGATTTGGCACTCGTAACTGCTCCGTGTAGCCAGTTAGTTTTATTCTGAATGTGGTTTTACAAGTGGTTTGAGTATGACCACATATTCCATTTTTGGTAATTGTTAAATTTACAGATGAGTAAATATTCCTCTGTTCTTGATTTCTAGGAACTTGGGATCTTAATCCCAATTCAGTTTACTCAGAGAGCTTTTCATTCTGTGCTACTTTCCCTTTCTAGTACAGTGGTACCTCAGGTTAAGTACTTAATTCGTTCTGGAGGTCCGTTCTTAACCTGAAACTGTTCCTAACCTGAAGCACCACTTTAGCTAATGGGGCCTCCTGCTGCTCCTGTGCCGCCAGAGCATGATTTCTGTTCTCATCCTGAAGCAAAGTTCTTAACCCAAGGTACTATTTCTGGGTTAGCGGAGTCTGTAACCTGAAGCGGATGTAACCTGAAGCGTATGTAACCCGAGGTACCACAGTACATCCAAGGAAGGGGGAAGGTAATGATAGAACTTCATCAGGGGGGAAAATACTGTTTTCCATGCCTATCATTTCTGCTCCATCCTGGCTACAGGGCTGTCTAACCAGCATGACCAATGGTTGTGTGTGTGTGTGTGTGTGTGTGTGTGTGTGTGTGTGTAAGTTGTAGTCTGGCAACATCTAGTGGGGCTCCAGCTAGCCAGCCCTGCCATACATACTTCATACATACTTATTTCTAGGTGGGCATGCATAGGACTGTGGTGTTAATGAATTGCAACAATGCAACTGATATACAAATCCATTGTTGATGTGATGCTAAAAATTCACCTTTTTGATGTGCAGACTGCTCTTGTTACCATTCTGGCCTATTATGGTGGTGGCACATTATCTTCTGGAAAGCTACCAAAGAGTTCAGGCACCATGATTTTGCCATATGGTTTCTGAATCGGCCAAGAGACCAGTTTGAACAATTGAACTTGCATCTTCTTCCTGGGTATCTGTGTGAGCAGATGCTCAGCAGACCTGAAGACCCACATTAACAAAGCACAATATGGAACCAAGCTGTTTAGCTTAAAATCTAGTAGCATAATGAAAAAAACCACAACTCCTCTTGAGTATCTGAAAAGAGCACATTTATTCTCTTACTCTCCCCCATGTCACTTTTCCTGCCCATATTGCATCACTTAAAGTGCCCTCCTCACCCTGACTTGGTTCATTTCTAGTAGTGGGAGAAAAGTGCCTACAGCAACTGAGTAAAATGGGGGACAGATCAGTTCTCCTCACTCACACACATTAATTTTTTTTTGTTATATTAAGTAGATCCCTTGCCATTTTGGGCATGAATAGGAGTCATGCCAAGAACAAATCTGACTGCCTTGGTCATATCTAGTTTGGACCTCACCAAGGTTTTCAACCTGTGTTTGGGCTGCACTATTTCAGTTCAGGCCAAAAGTGTGGGTCCTTACATCACTGAATGCTCCTCCACACCTCAAAAAGCATCTCCTCATAGAAAACATGTAGGTAATGGCAAAGAACAGGTTAGAAACCCTTCACTCTGGCTTCTAATTTCCTGTGTGGAGGCGTTTTTGTGTGCGTAGAGAAGCATTCAGTCCTGACTTGCATTGGCTAGGGATGAGGGACAAATTGGATTCAATATGCATTGAAAGGCGAAATTATGTAATTTGCACTTTCCAAAACAGTACACAAACCGTAGCAGCTGTCCCTCAAAATTTGCACTTCTCTTAATTTTGCAGTGCAGTTGTCCAACCAAGTAATGTGTGCAAAAATGCAGATACCGAGGTAAAGTGTGCATATCAACATATATATTAGTGAAAATAACACACACAAAATGCATTATATTAGGCAACATTGTATACAAAATTGTGTCTATTTGGAGAAATTCACATGAAAATGCTGGCATATTTTCAAAGGGACGTTAAAAAAACAACCACAAACTGATGTGTAAATGTAGAGGACTGAACATCTTAAGATTAGAAAAATGAGAAACAGAAATTAATAGATTCACACATCCCTGGTAGTGTCTTAGGCCACAAACAAGTTTACCACCACTCTGAGAACCAGGCCACAGAAAGCAGAAGTTCAAAGCGGGATCTGAGGGGGACTTATTTGGTACCCTTAGGAGAGATGTAGGAATCAGACAATTGGTGACAGGGGAATACAAAACAATAGGTCTGGCTCAGGCAGATGGAGTTTAGAGAAGAGAAGCCAATGCTAAAATGAATTATTAAATGAACATGCCCCAGCGAAAGTGGTAAATGTAGTGAATGTACCTGGAGGGATGATGGGCTGCCAAGTTCCAGAACTGTGTATACAAAATGAATGTGGGAAAGGCAAGAAAATCAGAGGATAAATTATAAAATTAAACACATATGTTTAGGAGGAGCCCAATTCATAGGCCAGCCCTCCACAGACCAACATTTTCTGGAACATGCAGAGTTAACAGCTCACCTCCTTTTGAACTGTGGAGTCCTCCCTCTGAAGAAAGGGAGGGGAAGACAGCTTGCCCACTCCCACCAGAGGCAGATCTTAAAGCCATGAGTAGAGGTGTTTTATAACAGTCTCCTCCTGGAGTGCAAGTGCCAATAGGTCCCTCCTGCCTTCTCAGGCCCCCTTCATCTGACTCTCTTGCTCCCCAGCTGTTGCTGTTTTAATAAACACTCCCTGCTAAACTTTGCAGCTTGTCCAGAGGCTTTAGCTGTCCTCAGTGGAAACAGAGAAGAAGACAGTCGCAGAGAGAGAGAGAGGCAAAGAGAGAAACCATGCGGAGCCTCATCATCCTTGCGCTTCTGGCCGTCCTGATGATGGCAGCTTTCTGTTACGGTAGGTGATGTCTTTTATTGCTAGTCATTTGGGAGAATAGTTTGTCACAGGAACTGAATGTTCTGGCCACACACTTTGGTTGAATTTTCACTTCCCCTCTTTGCCACTTACCCTTCTGTCATAACTTACATCCTTGGCATCCTTTCCACACTTGTCTCCTCTGGTTCCTCTACAGTGTCCAAATTGAGCTCTCTTCTTTCTGTTTCATGCCTGATATAAACCATTCTGTGTGTGGGGGTCAATCATTTTGCCTGCAAGCAGGACAATGGAAACCTTGCTGCCAGCCTAGAAAATCTTAGGGGCAGATTTCCCAATTGTCTTCAAAATGCATAGACTACTTTTTCAAAGATAGCGGCCCATTGGGATTTCACTGTGTTAAAGGACTACCAGATTCTCTGTGGGGTAGATCAATAAGATGAATTTTGATAAATTTCAATCGAACGATGCTTCATGAGTAGCCCACTGGGTTAAAGAAGAACACTTGTCCCTTCCAGAAATTCCAACTGCTTCTTTTGAAACCTCAGGGATGGGCAAATGGGAATGATGGGGAAATCTGAGGCAAGTGGCTTATATTGACTGAGGTTGGGAAGCAATTTATCCAGTGTACAATTGGTGAGCATCTTCACTGGGATTGTCAGTTCGCTTCACTGGCAGAGTCCAAATCAGGTCTTGATCCCTTGAATGGTTAGGATTTATCTTCCTATAATTATATGTTTATTCTTGCTCTGAATACATATTTGGTTTCTCCCTCCTTCTTGTGGCACAATTACATGAACTGGATTGATTTGAGATAGAATGTTATAATGTGAACAGCCTATCAAAGATGATTTGGTTGTGTCTGCTTCCTCCAAATTGCTAAATTTTGGTTAGATTTTTGGTACCTTTCATACTTGCCACTGTGATTTATGTTACATGGGATTTACTATCTAACCCCAAAATAACAATCTGTGTCCATTGCTTTGTACTTTTCTTAGCATTCTTTTAGTCTGAGAACTATTATATATTTTATCAACGTGATCTAATAAATATTAAGCATTCAACCATGATGAACTAAGTCAGTGCAACATTTTATGAATACAGATGGAAAGGGTAAGTGCATACATTCAGGAATCGCAAAATAAATGCATTCAGGAACGCAGCCAAAGTTATACAGTTATACATTTTTATGTTCCCCTCATTTCCATAGGAAACTTAAAACATGCACTTCTATTTCTACCACTGAAATGGAGAACATTCAAAGATTCTTCTGATTCCAGTTCTATACCATAACCAAAAGATCATAGCGTTATTTCTTATTCCTCCATTTGATTGATGCATTGGTTTTATCTGATGCTGTGCTTGTCACTAGCACAAATGGCTTTTCGGAGGAATCAATGTATTCTTTAAGGGGCTACATTTATTGTTAGCTACAGTGCTTTTTTCTGGGGGGATGCAGGGTTACACAAACCCCTAAACATTTTGTGAATCTAAGTTTGGCCTCATTGAGGGGCGGTATTTCAATATGAGTAGGAAAATGAGAGAACCCCTAAACATTTTTTTAAGAAAAAAAGCACTGGTTAGCTATAATTCATAGTAGCTTAGAATGAAATCTTCATGTCCAGTAGCAGTATATATCTGACACTGTGAACAAACAACAAGGCATTATGGACCTCATCATGCCTTGCTTGTGAACTGGACTGGGGCATCTGGTAAGCTATGTTAGAAGGCAACGTTATGGACAAGACAGTTTTGATCTGGTCCAGCAAGGCTATTCTTATATTTTTTCATGTATATCCTTCTTTGTTTTGTTAACTATGAATTTACACACTGCCTTGTTTTCTTTTCCCTGTCACAGAGTCTCACGAGAGTATTGAATCACATGAATTTACAAGTAAGAAACGTTATTATGTACTCTGTGATTTATTGTGATGCTTGAGGTTCACTTTTTGGATTTTGTGGACATCCCAAATTCTCTTGCCATGCCACTTAATGAGATCCTTGTAAAATATTTTCCCTCTACTCAATCCAAGGAATAAAAATTAAGGAATGCTCCACCATCACTTCCCTGCCTTCAGTCTGTCCAATCTGTCCAGTCAAGGGTAATGGTGCATTTGATTGCTCCACCATGAAATAAACCATCTGCATGTTGACATCTAGCAAGTTAGGGACAAAGAGAGACTATACCTGCCCTCCCTGATATACTAGTTTTCCACAGGTACAGAATTTTTGACAAAAAAGAGTATCAAACCCTGTTAGTACCTTCCCTGCATTCTGTAATGCCTTTTCTGAATTCGCAGAGGCAATTCTGAGATTGGCAGGATGAGAACAGACAATAACCAGTGAGACCTGCAACTAGATGTTGCAGTTTATCCTTCTTCTTACTAGAAGTGCTCCTGTTCATAGTTCCAGCCACTCTTCCAATCATGGCACTCCACCCCTCCTTTCCCTGCTCCCCCAGTTCCTCATTTGCCAAGAGAACAATCTCAGCATGCTCAATAGTTACAGACTGTGGACCTTCAGCTGAAAAAGAAGCTTAACATCCTGTGCCTATTGGCAGTGGGTTTTTTTTTGTAAGGTGTGTGTTTGTAAACCCCTGAGCATGCAAATATCTCTCCTTTGTTTCTTAGCGGTCCCGTTTTGGTTTTAATCATGTGGCTCTCATCACGTTGGTTTGCTGTTAGAGGGAGTCACTACTGCAGGCAGCCTGTGTTCCCGATGTGGAGTGCAAACTGTGTTCTGGGGAAGGGCAAGGCAAGGGGTATTTCCCCCGGGACATCTTCATTCCCAATGCAGAAAGTCAACACTGCAGATTTCAGAACTCATGCAAGCCCCGTTCCAGTACCTAACCATTTGGTAGACCAGTAAGGGACTACCATGAACTGAAAAGACCTGCACAGCTAGCCCACAGGCCTCTGAAACACTCGCAGGAGCATGTCTGACCCCTTAGGTGGCAAGTTTATACGTTCTTGCCCAGGACTGAACACAGCAAGGCTTGCTTCCAGCAACTTAAGTAAACGTACGTAGGTTTGGGCTATTAAATAAGTATGAATTAGAAGTAAAGGTAAGGGGGAGGTTGGTTCATTGCAAAGATATAGGACTTTTAAGTCAAATTAAAACAACTAGGGAGAATAAGAAGAGAAATAGGAAAGATAGACACTGAGTCACTTGACAAATATGATGCAAAATGCAGATATGCAGTTGCAGAGTCATTTTGCAAGAGCTCTTGAGATGAAAATAAAACAGGATCCAGGATCCACCTTTAAGCTCTGTCTGCAATATGAAACTTAACTGTTGTCCCTAAATATGCCCATCCCTTTTCTAGGAAAGGTTTTCCTCACTTAGTGTCCTTCAGATCTTTTGGACTAGAATGCCGATCATCCCTGATCATTGTCCATACTGGGTGGGGATGATGGGAGTTGTAGTCTGAAACTTCTGGAGTGATTTTTGAGTTTGCCAGAAGAGTTTTAGACTGAGAGGGTAGTGGCTGTTTTTATTTCTGTGGTCGTAGTGGCAAGGGCTACTGATGCTGGGTATTTTTCCTGAATGTCCTAAATACCAGAAATATTTCATTCAGCTGGGAAACTCACGGAGGGAAAAACACACACAACAAAATATTTCACATACTGGAGACATTGAGTTGTTGAAATAGGAAAGCAGAACCGATTAACTTATGCCTATCTTGGCCAAATGAAAACTGATAGATTAACCACACACAAGTGTTGGCAAATATATAAATGCCAAGAAAGGAAAAAGTGATGCGACAAGAAGGATATTTATGCAAGGGAAAATATTAGAAGTATTTTCAATTAGAGTGTGGGGTGATGTCTCTATGGAGATGATGGGGCCACAATCATGTAGCACTAATTCAGTCTAGCCCAAAGAAAGCACTGCGGGAACCAACTGGATGTGACACTCCTTAGCCATTCTTACGCTTACGTCTAAGAACTAGAGGAAGCTACCTAGCCTCCCTCTGTCCTCTTCAGCACCAACATTATTTCTTTAATTTGTTCATGAGGTGCTGTTGTAAAATTGGTTACAGCTTGCATTGCAACAGCACTGTAGAGCTTTCCGCAGTGCTTTTGACTCAACTGGTGTGGAAAATGGTGATGGCATATTTGGTGAAAGTGTGCAACCCTGCCCATTAGTATTACCTGCCCACCTGCCCTCTGCCGTTAGCTTCACCACTGTCCCTCTCTCCTGCTGTCCTTTGTTGCAGAGTTCCTGGAGAAACTCATCAGCCTCACCTCTTACAGTAGCCTCCTTCATGCATTAAGGCTTAGCTGTAGCCAAAAATGGCTTTTGGCCATCTGAAAGCGCCCATTGAAAACTGGAAGAGAGAGGGCAGGAGTCGCTATTAACAGCAGAAAGGCAAGAATGTATAGACCAAGCTGGTTGTATTGGCCATCACAAAGACTGATATTGGGAGGATATGGGAAGAGAGCAGTGCTTTTCTTTGTATAGAACTGTTGGCCTTCGGTTCAACCTCATAATAATGATGAATACCTATCCCTCCAGGTCCCTTCATTAACAGAAGGCACGCCAACATCTTCATGAGAACTCCACCTGAGAACAGGAGGAACCAAGTTGTGCAGGAAAGGTACGTCTTCTTAGTGTCCAGAGTTATTCATGGTGAGTGGGGAATGAAGAGGATGTATTTTCTTAGGCAAGAGAGAAGCCATTGGAAAATGAACTGAACTGGAAAGAATCTGAAAATGACACATTGCTAATGGCAAGAGTCATGATCCCTATTATTAGATCCTTCATGGAATGGCCCCCAGGACCCTGTGATAATATCAAAAATCTCCACTAGATCCTCTGCAGAATTGCCCCAGGATCCTATTGCATGCAGCCTACTCTCCACTCTGCACCACTTCTAAGCCATGGAAACAGCACCTGCCCACATGTTTTCATCTCAGGGTCAGACTCTGCACACAGTGTCACCCATATTTTCATAGACGACATTTGTGTGAAAGCTGCCATATTTCTAAAAACAACAACAAACCCTTTCAAGACTTTGCAGAGGTTTTTTGCAGGTGCTTGTGGACAGAATTAGAAATCACTTAAAGCCTTGCAAAGATGCAGCTGGAAAAGCGGAAGTAGATGCAAGTCATAATAATATTCTGTCTCTCCACCCCCCCTTCCCATCTTCCCCTCTTGCGACTGTGAGCAGGATCAGAGAGCGCAACAAGACCCCCCAGGAACAGCAGCGGGAGATTTGCGAAGATTACAATCCCTGTGAGCGTTACGCCATGCGCTATGGCTATGCCTCTGCCTACAGGCGCTTCTTTGGGCACAGACGTGGCAAATAAGAACATCAAGAATCGCCGTTCCCAGTGCCTGGAGCCTGGGTTTCCTGTATCTACAAAGAGTGACATCTCCAAAATGTATTGTTGCTTGTTAACTGTATGTTATCCCACCTGCTGCTTCATTCTTTTGTAGCCAATGATTTCTAGATTCTGTGTTAATTAGCACAATGCTGACGTAGTGGTGGTTGGGCAAAGAAGGATGTGGGTGTTTATTATGAAATAAACGTCTGGTTTGATACTGTTTGTTCGAAACTCAAGAGTTTTCTTTGGGTCACTCCCATGCCAAGAACTGGCGTCTATAATTGTACTCACTTGCTTAGCAGTTTTTTAAAAAACTAACAAAATACGTTTGGGTTTTTTGTTAGATGGACTCTAGGAACGGCAGTAAAAGTGTTCTTTCACACGATAAAAGCTTGGCCTGGATGGCTGGTTTGGCAATGGGCTAAAGCAGATTGAATGGTGCAAGTAGCTAAAGAAATGTTTGAATCAGATTTGAGCATATTCACACCTTCACCAAAGTGTGTTCACTGAGCACATGGTGGAACAGTGGTACCGCACAGCAGTTGTAGTACGTGTGATATGAAGGGCAATTTTTTTGTATACATGTGCATTGATATAACACACAGGGGCGAATGAAGGCTAACCAACACCTGGGGCAGAGGAAACCGCCGGTTGCGCATGCGTTGTGCCGCTACTTACGACACATGCATGGCGTCGCTACATAGGGTGCATGTTCGACGTCGCTACGTACAGCGCATACGTGTGACACCACGCATGTGCTGTATGTAGCGGTTTGCTGCTGGCGCCGCCCGAGTGACGTACGGACGGTGGCCGGATCCTCTGCTCACGGCTGCAGCCGTGAACGGAGGATCCTCCACATGTGGCCGTGGTGGCGTGATGGCTGCTTGCACCGCCACACCCGGGAGCGGTGGAGCGAGCACCCCACGGGGTGCTTTCTTGTCACCCTCCCAGACACGGCACCCAGGGCGCACCCCCCACCCCCTTGCGATGCCACTGATAACACACACACACAACCCTCCCACTTAAGAAAAAAGGGGTTGCATGCTGATGGTGAGTGGACACAGAAACTCGTGGCCCCACTGCACATTTGCATATTTACTCTACATTCTGCCTAGAATGTGGGAAGTTCTGTTACTTTCATATTAGCCAGTTATAAACTGACTCATAATTTTATGGTTTCCACCAGTCTTTTTAAGCTGGTCTCCCTTTTGGATCACCTCTAAGATCAATGTTCTGAAGTATTCAAGCTCTCAAAAGCCTGCCGCTTTTTAGTTTGGGTTATAATTATTATTATTATACACTTTTATCCCAGCCTTCCTCCAAGGAGGTCAAGGCATGATCCTCCTCCCTTATCCTCATGATTGCCTTCTGAGGAAGAACAATAAATGGAAGAACACTGGCTGAGCCAGAGGCAGCAGAAGAACAAATTTCAGGGGTGGGTGGGCGCAGGAGGGGCAAAGTATATGAATTGTCTCCCACATGATAAGATCTCTTAAAGAAAAATTATAGTACATGTTAATGGCTGGAGTCCAGCAATGTGGGGGCAAGTGGGGTGTTTGGGGGATATTTATTCCTGCATCCCCCCGACACTGCCCATGGATTGGGCCAAGGACACTGAGGAAGCATTGCGGCTGAGTAGGGATTTGAACTCAGATTTGAATTCCCTACCTCATAGTGAATGCTCCAAACCAGAGATATCCACCATAGTGCTGTCCATGTGTTGTTCGACTATAATTCCCATCATCCCTGGCTATTGGTGATGTTGGCTTATAATGATGAGAGCTGAAGTCCAACAGCATCTGGAGGGCACCCTGTTGGCTACCTCTGTTCTAACCACTACACCACACAGCTTCAAGGTGGACTAATATCACAGTCACCAATATAGAGGAAAGCCCAATTAAACCACATCCTGCTTATACATTGACTCAGTCCATGCAGGACCTCACAAAACACTAAATTACATTATAGAGATCTGCTTAACTGTGAAGCTGAACTAGCAACCCCTTCCGATGAATGCTTATCCCTCAGGTTACTGTCAAGAACTTCAGATCAAGCATGCACAATCTTTTCTAGGCTGGGGCCAGCAAATTGAAAAAGGAATGGAGAGGCCAATGGCAGGGCTAGGCATGGGGAGAAATGGGATTCAGCTTGCATTTAAAGGTGAACCTACTTAACTCACACTTTCCAAAACACAGCCATTCTTCATAATTCACACTTTTCTGAATTTTGCAGTGCAGTTCTCCAGTCATGTGTGCAAAGATGCATGTACTAGTATGCATAAAAATGCATATATTGGTGGAAATTGCTTTGCAAAATGTGTTCGTAGGAGAAATTTGCACTAAAAGGCTGATGCATTTTCACGAGGGCTAAGACATTCTCAAACTGATGTGGAAATAGAATCATAGAATCACAGAATCGAAGAGTTGGAAGGGACCGAGTGTCATCTAGTCCAACCCCCTGCAATGCAGGACTAGGCAGCTGGCACATAGGGGGGTGGCACCCACGACATTGGCATTATCAGCCCCACACTGTAACCAGCTGAGCTAACTGGGTGGCCTCGAATGTGGAGAACTGAACTTAAGACTGGAAAAGTGAGAACCTGAGAGAAACTGAAGGTGACTGATTAGCCCATACCTAGGCAGGCCAGGAGGCAAGAAGGCTTGTAAGGAATTTTGGGATCCAGAAAACAAAGCAGGAAAGATAAGACTGGGCTGTCAAGGTCTATGCTAAATTGAAAGGGAGAATGTGTTGTGGAGCAACTGGTTTTACATAGGTTGGGGCTGGAGTAGCCAACATGGTGAGTCCAGATGTTGCTGGACTACAACTCTAATCAACCGCAGCCAGCATAGCCAATGGTCAGGGATGATGTGGGTTGTAGTCCAAAACATATGGAAGCACCATGTTGATTACCAGTATGTCCGGGTTGAAGATACCAGCAGTTAAAAGTGTTGCAGACTGCGGGTGGATCCAACTAATGTATCCTGTTAGCACAAGGATTTCTGCCTGAGCAATGGAATTTTCCCCCTGTGCATGACACATGCCCTGCCAAATCTGCTCCAGAGGATCGGGGGAGTTTCTTGAACAGATGTAGGGGGCTATGCAGGGAGGTCCTATGGGACAAGTGGAGATCCTTGCAGTGATGGGACCATAACTGAATGTTGCATTGGGTAAAACTCTGTGACTTAGAGTAGCATAACTGCAGTTTCCCTACTGTAGTATTGACATGTGCTATATAACCTATAACTCCTTCATGTAGCCGTGCAGCTATTTGCTTCTCTCTTCACAAATTCACACCTTTAATACCTGTTAGCACCTCATCTTGTATTTAGTGTGAACTATAACAAGGACAAAGAGGCCCAAAGGAAAACGAGGCATTTCCCAATGAGCCAGTGAAGGCTGCTAGATTTGCCTGACAAGACCTAGTCTGCACTGCTGCAAAAGCCCCCATGACGATGTGATGGTGATCTTGTGCCTGAGCTTTGCTGGCTCTTCGTTTTTCAGCCCCTGGAACTTGGACCAAAGTTCACCAGCCCACCCTGGTAAGACCAATATCAGGATCCTCCTGACCCACTCTTAAGTGCCTTGCCCACTGCTGAACTGAGGCTGATGCTTTTGGCTAGTGAAATATTCTGTTCTATTGCACATGGAGCAAATAGAGCAGCCTCCAAAGAGGGAAGAGTCAGATGCCTGTGCGGGGAGAGAGAAGAAGGTAGTGTGCGAGAAAAACACCAAGTGTCAAGGGGAAAAAGAGAGGGAGAGGTGGACTTTGCATCCCCATGATAAGTAGAGATGGATGGCATGTACAAGAGACAGGGATAAACAATACAGAAGGTGGAGGGAAGAGAAGGAGGTGGGAGATACAGAAAGCATGAATCAGTTTCCTGATTAGGAAGGAGAGCTGTATGCATTAGAATTTGCCACACAAAATGTCCGCCCTAGGCCTTTCACGATAATAGACTGTAGAGCACGGGTGTCAAACACAAGGCCCGCAGGCCGAATCAAGCCTGCCAGACCTCGTCATGTGGCCCGTGTAGCCGCCACCGGCCACCAGCCTTCACCTTTTATTCTCGCTTTTTTTTTTTTTTGACACAAGAAAGCCGCCTCTTCAGCGCATGCGCGGCAGCCTACAAGCCAGAGAACGTTTGCCCTCTAGCGGCACCGGCCGTTCTACACAGGAAACCTCCACTTTACACGCATTCAGGAAACAGATACAGATATAGTCCTACAGATACAACCGGCCCTTTGAGGGTGACCAAACTGCTGATGCAGCCCCAGATGAATTTGAGTTTGACACCCCTGCTGTAGAGGTAGCCAACATGGTGCCCTTCAGATGTGGTTGAACTACAGCTCCCATGATCCCCAGCCAGTATGACCGGTGGTCAAGAATGTTGAGAATTGTAGTCCCAACAACATCTAGAGGGTACCACATTGGCTACCTGCAATCTACTGTAAGAAATGAATCAGAACAATTTTAATAAGCAGAGAAATCCCCAAGGCCCAGAAAGTCTGAATGTCTCACTTGCAAGAAACCCCTTTTTGCTTCTCTCTCCACCAGAGTCTTCCAAGGAGAAGCAGAGCCGTAGCTAGGTGATCTTGCACCCCTGGCAGAACCGTCCAGATTGCGCCCCCTACCCATGGGCAAATTAGTTCTTCTTTCCACCTCTCCTCCAACCTGCCCCCTTCAATTCACCCTCTATTTAAAATATTTTCTTATGAGGCAATAATTGATATTTTTATTTATACATATTTATGGACATATTTTTAGCTGATTTTGTGCCCCCCCTCTCGCCTGCACCCCTGGCAGGGGCCCACCTCATCACCCCCTAGCTATGGCCCTGAGGAGAAGGAGACCTGTACCACAGAACTGGTTGCCAGTAAGTTGTGGGTGTTCAGTGTTAAATATTCTGGATTACCTACAATTAATATAGTACATGCTTCGTAGAGACAAACTCTCTCTGAGTGCCTACTACTTGTAGTAGGTACTAGTACATGCTATTCTGAGAAGGCTCTTCTGTAGTAGCCTTTGAGACTGCCAGCCCAACCTTGGGCGTTTTGTTGCCTCAGTGCCTTTGGCTCTCAACAGATAGAGCTATACTGTGAAAAGTTATGGCCCTGCAACCAAAGCCACAAATATTTGGAAATATCCAAACGAGACGAGCACGTTCTAGGAGACCTAACTTTGCTTCCATCTCATCCCAAATCAATCGCAAGCATTAGTTCCCCAAACCATGCCGAGGCCACCCATGGACTCACTCATACACATGAACTCAGTGCACCCATGTGGCATGTTTATCAACGCCAGAGGAACGGGCAGAGCCCCAAAGCTGGTGCCAGTCTTAAGTGATTATGTAAATATATTTCCAGCCCGCTACTGACCACAGGAGTTTGGATTCCTTCCTTTAAATGTGGCAATGTTAAAACACACAGCAGCCTTTTATATTTGTTAAATATGTGCAATGTCAAGCATTTAGGCCTTCAGTCTACGGTGGGTCCCTTTCAAAGAACTGGAAAGATGGAAGTGACGCGGACAGAGGTAGACCATCCAGGCATGCGTGCCATAAGGTGGTAGGGCTGTGTACATACATAGCCTTTGAGACACACAGGGGCCTGTCTTTGCACTGAGCTTTGTACATAGCAGTTTGCAATCATGCAGATCTTTGTGTGACAGCATCATCTAATATTCAGGTTGCCTGTACACATGGGTAGGCACGTTTCAGACTATTGTACAATGATGTTCTCTAATCCCCTCCCCGCAAATAGTGTTTCCACAGAGCTTTTTAAAGAATATACGATATATGCTTAGACTGAAAATTGAGAGGGTGTAAGAAGCATGTTGGTTCATTCTCTCCCGCCTTCTCCCCGGCCTTTTTAGCTGTAATTTCCTAATTGTTTTCTAAATTTCTGGTGAATAACCTTTTGGGGGTCGTTGTACACTGAGACCGATTGTCCCATCACCTCAGTGCGTAGCCCACAAGTCCTCCTAGATGTTTTATCGTGTTTTTAATTGTCTGTTGGGAGGCACCCAGAGTGGATGAGGAAACCCAGGCAGATGGGTGGGGTATAAATAATATACTGTTATTATTATATGCACACACATACGTATACTTGGAATCTTTCGAAAGAGAGGAATTGGAAAATGATATGTTGATATGCTGATGTATGGAATATATATATATATCAGTATACATAGGCAGCTATGATACTGTACTGGTTCCTGTTTTTCATGTTTCATTCACAGACAAGTTAAACATGGTGAAGGGGAAATGACACAGCTCTGCAATGTCAGGATGTTGAGAAAGCGCTCTCTGTGTACTCCTGTAGGCGACAAGCTTTGAGATGTATACTGTACAAGCTTTCCAGCAGAATGTACTTCAGGTTGACGAATAGTGTGGGAGAGGGATGACCCGGGGATGATGTACCCCTCAAAAGCTGCTTGCACCCACCACTGGATGCACAATATCGCCTAGTGCATGGGTAGGCAAACAAAGGCCCAGAGGCCGGATCCAGCCCAATCAGCATGTTTTTACATGAGTAGAATGTGTCTTTTTATTTAAAATGCATCTCTGGGTTATTTGTGGGGCATAGGAATTCGTCCCCCCCCCTTCAAAATATAGTCTGGCCCCCCACAAGGTCTGAGGGACAGTGGACCGGCCCCCTGCTGTTTGCTGACCCCTGGCCTAGTGTGTACATGCCTCAAAATGTACTGTGACGCAGATTAAGTTATGGGCTTCAGGCGACAGAAATGGGTATAATTTGAAGATTCCGCAGGTCCGCTTTTCTTTATTGGTGTGTGTGTGTGTGTGTGTGTGTGTGTGCTGCCATCTTGGTTAGAGAGGCCTCCAAAGCAATCCATCCATCTTCGCTTGCGAGTACGAGTACACTTTAGTTGCTGGGTAGCATTAAGTGATTAACTAAGCAAACTTCTCCAAAGTAGCCAAAGATTACTGGGGCCAACAAACGCTCTGCTTTCATGTCATGGTGTTGGAATTGCAAGCCAACACTAATAATAGCATATTTCCAAGTAAATGAAGAACACGTCGATTTGTTTAAAACCTCATGTTCTCCTTGGCTACGTGTCTGAAAATCCAAAGTACAAGGAGAATTGTTGTTTAAATGCAAATGTATTTTTTGAGGGGGAATAGATCTGGTCCTAAGAGATGGTGTAAAGTCTAAACTTGACAATGGAAAGATCAGAACTATTTCAAAATAAAGATAAGTAATTGTTATCAACTTATCATAGAAAAGAGGCAACCAATTTCTGCATTTTTTTGGGGGGGGGATTCTGTTCCCTAGGCACTGATCCAGTTTACTGGCTCTCTCATGAATCATAATAAAATTGGATCCAGCTCCCTATTTGTGGTATGAACCTTATAGTTACAGTGCTGCACATGCACTCAATCAGAGCTGGGACATCACACGCTGTCAGAGGCTCCTGACTTCTCTGAGCCATAATGTGTTTCTAGGGTTTTAATCTGGGTTTCCTTTTGATGAGAGAACACAGGAGATATACACTGTGTTTCTAATAGCTTATTTTACTTACAAATATATAAGTAGAGTGGAGATGGGCAGGGGAAGCCACAACTCTCTCACATTCCCTCATCTCATTCGGGTCACTTCCAAATTACAAACTGCTTTTTCATCACAAAGAGACACTTGGCTCCCTGATGTCAAGAGGAGTGATGTCGCCTTCCCTAAGCTCTGGTGGCTTTCTCATTCCAACTCCTTGAAAGAGTTGTCCAGCTATCAAGAGACCACTTCCACAAAAGAACCTGCAGCAGCAAAGAGTTTAACTATTTCTCCTTCTCATGCAACTTGAAAACAGTTTTCTTTCCCAGATGAGTGAAAGTGAGCTACTTTTTAAAACTACATCCTAACTAGATTTATCAAAGGTCAGATAATATTGCTTTGGTGGACAGCTGTAGCTTGCAGGCTGCCAGTTGGCCAATCCAGTCCTAGAATATTGCATCAGATGGTGGATGATTTCTGCTTTCCAAACAAGGGAGGCTCCAAAAGAACAAAGGCATGGGCATGCTGACTTGTGGGAAAATCAAGATTGAAAAGCTAGTACAGAGCCTTCATTATCTATTTGTTTGATTGTTTATTTTACAGGCATCTACACCTTGCCTGTTAGCCAAAAAGGCTCTTAGAGCAGCTAAAAAATAAAAAGGTTCTAAGACACTCCCTGTCCTCTTGCTCACAATCTAAATTTCACACCCACACTTAAATTTAAAACACTCTTATACCACCTTAACAGTGCTAAAGAATTCTGGGAACTTATGGCTTGCCTGTCTTAAGATACTTTGGATCTTCCAGTGCCTTTCCTCAACCCAGCTGGAATGGTTTCCCCCCAATCCAGCAGGATGTTTGTCATTCAGCAATTGTATATTCATTGCTTTTCCTTAAAAGAAATTTGCGAGAGTCTCGAAAGTCCTCTGGAAACGCCACAAGCCTTTGGCCTCAAGCAGATGTGCAAATGGCTGCCAGAACCAGATGTCGTTTGACTCAAATGGAAAGTTTGGAACTGGGACTAGGACATAAGAATGGCAGAGAGTCAGCGACATCCTGGCCAGGGACCTGCTCCACTTAAGAGACTCACAGAATATAAGCTGTGGCTGAAAGACAAAAGCTCCTGATAAATTGCTGCTTCCTTCATGAGAAGATCGAGCCATAGAAAGGACCTTCTGCAAACAGGAGAAGATGGGGAATCTTCAGGTGCTGCTGTTTGCAACCCTGGTCTTGACAGCCCTCTTCTGTTGTGATGGAGGTAAGGGAATATATATGAGACCCCCCTAGCCATGATTTTTTCATCAACATTCAAAACTGACGGAGTCCTGGGGAGAGGAGGACAACCTATCTCAGTCTTACGTTTTAGGAACAGAATCACTTTCCTCAAAGCCACTTTAAACCTGGCAGTGTGGTTGCCATTAGGAACACATCAGCATGGAAGTCCCACTCCTATAAAACTGAGGTTCAGGCCAATTTATTAGCCACAGCATAGAAGCAGGCAGAGAGGGGCTCACATAGCTTGGTGTTTTTGTGTGTGGCCACCACAGTGCTAGAATAATGGGTGAAGTGGACTTCCAATTAAGATTGTCAAATTTACATCGTATCTTTATATTGGTTTGATACCAGTTACACTGTTATGGCTTCCTCACCCCTCATGAACCCTGGAAAATGTAGTTTAGTGAGGGGACTGGGAATTACCTTGCCACTTTGTAAGCAATTCTGGAAGCCAATTATTATTATTATTATTATTATTATTATTATTATTATTATTATTATTCTGCAGAGGAGGATAAGAATGTTTTAAACAAATAAATTATCCGAGGATAGGTATATTACTCACAAATTGCTCAAATACATATATGAGAACCCATAAACACTGACATGTGTGTAAGTCCTCCCCTTTGAATAATTCCTGGATAATACAGAAGCAAGCCTGAGTTAAGGGTTATTTTCCTCAGTTTACACTTGACTGATGGGGGAAATAGGGGTGGAAAGGAAGGGAGGAGGAAGACCACAAGACTGCCAGGTGTCTTACACCATCTGGTCTATATTTTTCAGATATGAACAGGCCCTTGGATGAAGGTAAGAAACTGACGAGAGCAAAAAACTCTCAAGGGCGTCTCTGTCCTTTTTTGTACACAATACTTGGTTGGAGGACTGCATTGCAAAATTCAGAGAAATGTGAATTTTGAAGGGCAGCGGAATGGAGGATAGAGGGATGTGTGAATGTGTGTAGAAATGAGCCTAGGGTGCAAAAGTAAAATTAGCATTTATTGCTCTACCCACTTTTGCCTCTGGCTCTGCCCATCACTGGGATGCGGCCTCTGGAAGATTGCCCAACAGAGAATGTGGCCCCTGGACTGGAAAAGGTTCCCCACTCCTAGCTCAGGATCTTGGCTTGCCCTTTCCATCCTTCTGGGCTTGCTAAAAGTTCATTAGGGAAAAGCCTCTTCTGGCTCTCTTGAAGTCCCCGCTGGCCTCACACATGGAGGCAGATTATGATGAATAATATTGCTTTGAGGCTCGCATTCCCCAGAGAGGCAAATAAAATGGAGGGTGTTTACAAGGAAGCCTGTGTTTTCTGGCACCGTTTAAAGTGATTTTATTTTATTTCTTTTTTTATTAAAAAAATTAGGTGCCATAAGATACCTGGCATGAGCTCAATTTCCTAATTATTCCCCCAGTGAATAAGCCCCCTGTTAGCAAGGCAGCTGGATACTTCCTTGCCTGTTAGTCTGGCTAAAAGACTGAGAAAGAAACCTCGGGAAAGGTTGCCATGTTAGTCTGCTGAAGCAAAGACAGCAGAAATGTCTTTTGGTCACATCCAGACCACGCATTTAAAGCACATGTCTCCTCTCAAAGTTTCCTGGGAATTGTAGTTTTCTCCTCATGGAGCTACAATTCCCAGGATTCTTTCCACGTGCTTTAAACGTATGGTGTGTGGATGCGACCGATTGTGACATAAGTTCTCCTGGCTTAGAAGCCTCTTTGTCAGATACCACCTGATGAACGTCCGCAAGCGCTTCAGCTGCACTAGGCCTGCTAGTCTTTTGAGCCCTGAAGTTGAAGTTGCTGCAAGATTCTTTGCTGTTTTAGGAAAGAAACCACAGACAACTCAAAGCACCATTGAATTAAACGAAAAAATTGACCAATGGCTTTGAGAAATCTGCAAACTCCAAATGATATCCTGCTAATCTATAATAGCAAGATCACACAAACTGCGGAGGGGCACTACTGGTTCATGATGAGTACTCATAGGCAACTAACAGCTTCGTTTCCAGAACTGATGGGAAATCTTCCATTCATAAGCCACTACCTGAGACGTGTGAGAGGTATTGTGGCACAAATGATGAGCTGGATGGGCAGCAAAAGGCTGCTCTGGGGCCGGCCCTGCCATTAGGGAGAATGAGGTGGCCATCACAGGCAGCTGGTTTTGGGTGTCATGGAAGGGCAGCAAATTGTCAGTTGTTTCCTTTATGATTGCTGCAATTATACTACCAGGGAGGGGTGGGTTTTTTGCCTCAGGTGCCAAAATAACTTGACTGATCTTGGGTGCAAAATGGCATGAGTTGAGGCAGGAAAGGCATAATTTGCTGCTCTGCCTCAGGCAGCAGAATGTCTCGGGCTGGTCCTGGGCAATATTTCAAATGAAACCCCACAGTTATCTAAACCAGGTGTCTTCAACCTCTTTCGGACCCAGGACCCACTTTTATCCCAAACATGCATTTGGGAACCCATTAATCTTTTACCATATATTTGCATGGTGGTCATTGTTATGTACTGAAGTTCTCACCCTGGGCCAGCAGGGGGATACTGTAGATAGTTTTATGCAAATAAGGGATCGAAAGTGACGTTCAGTGATTGGATAGTTTTAGAAAGTTGTTACAGTAACGTTGTACTGGAGCTCTATATAAGCAGGTTGGCTGAACCCTTCAGTTCAGTTCTGTTCTGGCCTGTGAATAAACAAGAGCTGTTTGAAGAATCGCTGTGTCATCTGATATGTTCACCCACAACTTAACAGTGGTCCTCCTGTTGTGACCCACCCTGGATCAGGCCATGACCCACCAGTTGAAGACCAGTGAGCATTCCTATAGAGGAGCAGGGAACCTCAGGTCCAGGGGCCTAATGTCCCCCCCCGAATATGTCTACATGGCCTTCCCCAGCCCCACCTCCTTTTCCAAGGCCACATTCCTACGGATCCTGTTTCTCACCCTCCTTGAATGTTTTTGCCTGTCTAAAATGAGACTCCTTGAACTCGATACTCTCTGTTTTCTCATTCCGTAACATTCTGCGTTCATAACAGGGGTTAAGATCAGTCGAGAAACTGCCAGTGCCTTTGTGAGAAGGCAGAAGAGGTCTTCTCTGTATTATGAAAGGTAAGAGTAAGAGTCTTCTGGGTTTAATATTGATGTCTATAATTACTAATTTGTGGTTGTAGCCAACCGAGTTACACTCAGAGTAGACCTACTGAAATCAGTAGACTTGGCTAACTGAAGTTCATTTATTTCAGTGGGTTTTACTCTGAGTATACCTCCGTTGGGTACAATACTTGGAAAATAGATGCACATGGTTCATGAGGGGGGAATGAGATATGAGCCTATGCGGGGCCACTAGGGGGCGCATCGGAAGATGGCTGACAATAACATCTCTCCGACCCACATGAGGTAATTTGGAGGCTATGATGGGGGTAATTAGCCTCCTTAACCCCTCCAGGATTGTGGGGGGGACGGCCCTTGCCTGCTGTGCCCTATACCACCCCGAATTTGTGGGGATGGGGGCACTAGGCACAAAGCCCTCCTGTGGGATTCCGGCACTCCTCGAAGCCGTCTCTGATCCGCGCCACTAGTTTGCAAGAATCTTCAAAAGAAACAATTTGGACGAGATAAATTGCACATACTTCAAGGAAAGAGGGGAGTAAAGACTGCTGACAGAAGAGATCTCTGATAAAACAAGACAAGAATAAGATATGAGAAGATACGTCAAGATACGGTACGGCAAATGACTGAGGGGAGGGGGAAAAACTCTCTTTTATTTCTCTATGTGATTAAACAAGAATCCCCTCCCATAAAGAGTCAGAAATGTCGTTTTAAGGACTTAAGTTGTGGATTTAAGGCTGTGTGGAGATAAATTTTCGAACCAAAGCAATGTTCCAAGACGAAGCTGGAAATTTAAGAGTTTCGGAATGACGCAGTTAAAAATGCCGTCGCCATTTTGGGAGGCACTGTCGGAGCTCTTGAGTCTGGGAGGAGAAGAAACAGAGTTGTTTACATATCGTGTTCCAACTCCTCGGTGGGATTTAAGAGTGACAACTGCCTAATTTATGATGGAAAGAGCGATGTTATCTACGAAGGAGATGATTTATGGAAACCATCTGGACTTAGATTGGAAGAACGGGAAATTCACACAGGATTATTATATTTGCTTATCGGCTTAAGGAGACTAACAGAAGAGATCGTAAAGGAAAAAGAAAAATTATATGAACAAGATATGATGTGGAAACACCAAGATAAGATTGGATAGAACTATGAACTCTGTTTGGACTGATTAGGACTGATTTGGACATTAATGCAGTAATAAGAAGATGATTTGAATCCCCTTTGGATCTTGAAGTATGGGTTCCCCCAACAAAATTTAAAAATTTGGCTTTGTAATTTGGAATTTATGTGATGTGATTTAATTTGATGTGATTGGCCAGTTAATAAAAATTATTAAAAAAAAAAAAAAAAAAAGAGATATGAGCCTATGCAACACCACAGGGTCACTAACAAGGGACTGCAGCAGATTCTTACAGAAAACAAGTGGGCCCCTCTTTCTTCAAGAAGCCCCAGGAAAGGGGGTAGTGGTGTGGGGAGAGTCCCAATAGACTTGAAGCTCTGAGGGGTAAACTACAGTTTCTTTTTTGTGTGTGTATGGGAATGTGCTTTAAATGTATGGTTGGTGCATAGCCTAATTCACCAATTGTATACAGTGGTACCTCAGGTTACATACGCTTCAGGTTACATACGCTTCAGGTTACAGACTCCACTAATCCAGAAATAGTTAAGTTCAGGTTAAGAACTTTGCTTCAGGATGAGAACAGAAATCGTGCTCCGGCGGTGCAGCAGCAGCAGGAGGCCCCATTAGCTAAAGTGGTGCTTCAGGTTAAGAACAGTTTCAAGCTAAGTATGGACCTCTGGAACGAGCTAAGTACTTAACCTGAGGTACCACTGTACATTGTGGATAAAGTGAAATGGAGTGCCCAGTACTGAACTGGGTTCTCGGGAAACTGGCTTCATGCTGTGCAGCCTGAACCGAAGAATTTGCATGAGGGAACGCCTCATGTCTGTGGCTTCTTCCTCCCTCTGTTCTCCAGGTACTACGAAAGGTTCAAAACCCCAATGGAGATGAAGCAAGAGCAGTGTGAAAGCCACCCCCTCTGCGACTACTACTCGGAAGTAGTGGGATTCCAGACAGCCTACCGCTATTTCTTTGGAAACTGAAGAAGAGGGGGCATCTCCTGTTCTCACCTGGCTGGGACAGAGGCTGAGATTAAAAGCAATTGGGGTGGGGGTAGGGGTGGGCAGAAGGAGCACAGAATAAAAAGGGCAATCAGACTGGTTTCCCTTCTCTAGCAAAACCTAATAACAATCTTTCCACTTTGCAGACAGGAAATCACAAGCAGATAGAGGCTTCTCTTTGCAAGGAGCATGTCTAGGAATAATCAAATGCCAACACTTGTTGGAAAGTAACCGGCATTCCATGCTAAGGGGGTGGGGGCAAGCAAGGATAAATTGGTTAGTAAGCACAAAAGCCTACCAAGCTGACAATCATTTCTGGGGCTGGTTCTCTTGTGAACACCTTGAAGCATCTTCAGCATACTGCAGAGGTGCCCTGTCAAAATTTATCACTGTTCCAATTTTGGCATTGAAAAAGGGAATTTGGGGAGGGGGCCAAAAAAATAATAATAGGAAAGCACTCCAAACCCTTTCATTTGGGCTAGCTTTTTTGCTGCTTGCAGCCCCAATGGGCTTCTGCCATGAAAGGAACATCATTGGTCTTCTTCCATTCAGAACCAGGAGGCTGGTCACGTAACCAATCAGAATTGTTCAGTGATGATATCACAGAGGGCAGACAAAACTGTTCAGAGTGAAGGCATTGCCCAGAAGCTTTGTTTGCTCTCAGTGATGTTGTTGCTTAGCTCAACTGATTGGCTACATGACAACCTCACCGTTTCAGGGAAGAAGGCTGCTTGAAACAGAATGGCATAGAGGCAATATCTTACTGGAGTGCAACAGGGACATTGCTGCTTGTAGTTTTTGACAAATATTCTACTGAACGTCTGAATAAGTTAATCAGAGAATAGCGTTCAAAAAATGATAATGTCTGGCTCTTTCCTATTTCCTGTATATAAGTGTCTAATAGACAAATACGTTACCATTACATGTGTTCAGTGCTTTTTTTCTAAAGAATGTTTAGGTACTCTCATTTTCACTGAAGAAAATCACCATTTTATTGTTCGAATCAGGAAAAATACAGTAAATGGAAAAAAGTACAAAGATTCACAAAATGAATCTTCTCATTTTGCCCCCCCCTGAAAAAAAGCACTGCATGTGTTTGATTAGGACTTGGAACCACTGGTTAAATGCCCATCTCTAGTACTTTTTATCCTTGAGAAGACTGATGTAAAACTAAATTTTTCGGTTACCTGATTCATTGTTGCTGTTCTGCTGCCATCATATGGTGATTTCGGTTAATGACTAAGGTAGCAGCCCAAAATGAAGATATAATTTTAGAGTTGGAGCGGTTTCCTGCAATTTCTAATTCAAGCTGTTTTGGAGAGCTTGGCAGGAAATTTAGGAGCACGTTTCCCAAGACATTATATTTTAGTTTTCCTTTGCACAACATGATTGCCACTTGCTAGCGTTCAATGTAGAATTTCTGAAACAAGTAGATTAATTGCCTTAATGTTCATTACATTCCAATCAAGGTATGTTAGTTAGTGACAATATCTATCGAGCCATCTCTTTGAAAGTTGCAGTTCATTACTCACCTATGCAGAGCAGCAATTTCTAATACTTAAGTTGCTTTTCAAGGCACCAGTGAAACCATCGCTTAATTAAAAGGCAATTATGAACATGGATGAATAATGAATCAGTCTATTTCTGGTCCATGTCACATTCATATGTGTTCACTCGTCATCAGTCAATTCTGTTCTGCTTTCAAATTAATCTGCATTTTTTTAAAAAATTGCACCAACAGGATTGTATGCAAATACATATTTAAATGTGTATTTCTAAGCATGTTCCCTCTCAAAATATGAATTTTAATAAATTTTTGAAGCACAAGCTATGTCACGTCATTTGGAGGAATCCAAAATCCAATGGATAAAGTACCTTCTCGTTCACATATCAGTACAGGAGGTGCAAAGCACATCAGTTCCTATCAGAATTTGTGGACATCAATTTTCTCAAGTATCCCTATACGCAACTGCCCTGGTAAGAGTACTAGGGTCCCTTTGCTTTCTTGGAGTACTGGACAATCTTCATTCCATACTTTACACTGCCCAAGAGAAATTTATCCTAAAGCATGTTAGTACAGTGTTTTTGATGCCTTTCATTCCTTAGGATTACTTTAAAGAATGGAGCTAGTATAGATTGCTGGTTTAGATTATATCTAGGAACCTAGGAAACTCGCTTATGCCATATAGAAGGATAAGCCTTACTGAAGAAGAACCAGCATGGCTTCCACAAGGGTAAGTCCTGTCTAACTAATTAGAGAATCACAGAAGGGAGTTGGAAGGGTTCACAAGGGTGATCTGTTTGGGGGCTGAATAAACCCCACTAGAGATGTGATCTTCTCAAGATGTTCCAGGAGGCCTGACACGATGTCCTGATGTCATGGCTGAGATGTCACAAAGAGCCAGGGGCGGAGCCGAACACCCTCTGAATATTGAGGGGCCCCACCCTCCTAAAACACATTGCCCCCTGAAAGTGCCTCACCCCCAGGAGCTGGCACTTTTGTCCCCCACTTATGTGCATCCCTGCATTTCTTTCTGGCTGACACTGATATTACAGTGGTACCTCGGTTTAAGAACAGTCCTGTTTCAAAACGATTCGGTTTATGAACTCTGCAAAACCAGAAGTAGTGTCCCAGTTTGCAAACTTTACCTCAGTCTAAGAACAGAATCCGAATGGTGGAAGGGCACCAACGGCAGAAGGACTCATTATGGAAAACGCGCCTCAGTTTAAGAACGGTTTCGGTTTAAGAACGGACTTCCGGAACGGATTAAGTTCATAAACTGAGGTACCACTGTACTGGAAAAGGCTATGTATAAATCTAAAACACGTATCATAAAAGTATTTTATACAAGTTTTTGTTTTTTTAAGCTGCAGAGTTTTCTTCAGATATTTAGCCATTTACATATTGACCTAGTTGTACCTAGTTTAGATTGCTAAACTAAAAATCTAAGCTTGTGCCTCTTTTGAGTACTACAGTCTAGAAAAGCTTAAGAGTACCTAGTTTGTCCTTCTTAATGCAGTGCTCAAATATTTACATTAAAAATGCTGTGGAAGGAAGTGCAGATGCTGTAATCAGAAACTGTCCCTTTATTATTTGCGCAACTTCCCTGCCATGTAAACAGAAGTGGTTTTCTACCAGCTGGGCAATCAGCTTCAGGTTCACTGCAACTTATCAACTATCAATGTGATATACTCTTCAGCTGTCTTCACAGTCCTCTGGAATTTTTCGCAAGCTGGCTTCAAGATCTTCACAGCGTCTTCGAGGGTGCTTGCCGCTAATTCAACCGTTTTACTAGGTGGCTGTCCTTTAAAAGCTACCCGCATGAAGTTAGTAAGTGAGAAAGCCGTGTTAATGACTGGTTGGCTCTGAGTCCTTGTTCGTGTGGCTGTTGCTATTGCTGCAGCTGCTGCATGGGATGAGGTGGGGCAGGCGTCTGAAAGCGCTTTGGCAATTTCTTCGTTAGTCATGAGAAGGTCACCCACTCTGAGAGAGAGAACAGGACTGCTTGTTAAATCCCGAATGGCGGCGTCTAGTATCTCGGGGAGATTGCCATTTTTCAGTAGTGCTGCTGAAACGGGACCGCTGATATTGTCAATAACTCCCTTATATTTCCCATAAAGGTCCTTTATCAGCTTGATTTTTTCATTTGTGGAGGTGGAAGGCAACACAATACTGGAATACAGTGGAAGGCCGACTTTTTGCTTGATATCCTGATCTTTGGCCTCCACTTTTTCCTGCATCTCTTTCAGAGCACTCATCAGAAGCTGAAGGTTTTCTTTGATGCTCAAGTTTTCCCTTACTGTAATGATGGCTAGGTCAGTTCCCAGAAACTGGTTGAGCATCCGGAAGGCGATGTTGGTGGAAGAAACAAACATGTAGACACAGTCGTACAAGTTGCGGCTGGCATTGAGTAGCCTTTCCTCACCCTTCTGTGCACCGAACTTGCCCAGCATTTCCAAAAAGGGAGATATCACACTGAAATACAAACCAAAGTATGCTCAGCAGAAGAAAGTCAACAAAGCTGTTATATTCAACTTTTGTCCTGGGAAAAACTATGGAAGGAAGATTTGAAATTTACCAGCGTGATGTTTGTTGGAGGAACACTATATGAAAATGATGTATAGATGGTACTTAACACCAGTAAAATTAGCAAAGATGTATAGAACTGCTTCTAAAGTATGTTGGAAATGTAAAGAGAAAGAAGGCATGTTCTACCATATGTGGTGGATGTGCAAAGTAACAAAAGCATTCTGGGAAAGGATATATAATGAACTGAAGAAAATGTTTAAAATAACATTTGTGGAAAAAATCAGAGGCTTTTCTATTAGGTATCTTAGATACAGAGATTCTGAGAGAGCAGAAAATACTTTTCATGTATGCGATGACAGCAGCGAGAATACCACTGGTCCAGAAATGGAAAGAGGATGAAGTTCCAACCAGAGAAGAGTGGCTGATGAAGATGATGGTCTATGCTGAAATGGCGAAATTGACCGGGGCAATCAGAGACCAGGATGAGAAGAAGTTTAAGAAAGTATGGGGAAAATCTATAATGTATTTAAGAGAAAACTGTAAACAACTAAAAACTTTGGCAGGATTAGAGTAATATAATATACAAAATACAATGGAAAAACAATAAATAATATTTTTAACAAATTAGAAAAAAAAGGATAGGCTGAAAGAAATAGGGATTGACAACGAAAACCAGAAAAGGGTGGTGGGAAGTCAGGGGATTCTGAGAATCCAAAATGTGATGGTGAATGGTATGTTTAAATTGAAATATGTTATGTAATTAAAAATATTTTTTAAAAAGCTGTTATGTCAGCCATGTATCTCCAAAAATCTCATGAACAGCACTTACCGTATTTTTTGCACCATAACACTCACTTTTTTCCTCCTAGAAAGTATGGGGAAATGTCTGTGCGTGTTATGGAGCGAATGCCTATGGGTGGCAGGGGGGATGCAGTTGTGAGCAGAGGATCCATGGTTCCCCTTCCTTCCCTCCTCCGTGGCTCGCTTTGAAACAGCAAAGCGGGAGAAGAGCCGCTGAGTGGGGAGGAGAGAGGGACAGAGCGCCTGCTTGCTTTAAAGGAGCAAAGCGGGAGAGGATAGGAGCCGCTTACACGAGTGTAAGCGGCTCCTGTCCGGTTGGCTCCTTTAAAGCAAGCAGGCTCTCTGTCCCTCTCTCCTCCCCACTCAGCTCGCTAAATAGCATTATTAGCAGCATCCTTCTCCACACACCCCATGTGTGCTCCTTGTCCCTTGAGTGCTTTTCCTTCCCTCCCCACTTAAAACGTGGTTACAAAGCACGGATCCACATGGATCCTCAGGAGTTTTGCACTGGGTCACCCCAAATTCACCATCAGATCACATAGCATGTCCATGGCTACATCTTGCACCAAAAAAATCACGCACCCACTGTTGCCTGGGGTCGCAGTGGTGCAAAAACGTGGTTACAAAGCATGGATCCACATGGATCCTAGGAGTTTTGCATTGGGCTACTCCAAACTCACTGTCAGATCACATGTCTGTGGCCACAGCATGAACCACAAAAATCATACATCCACTGTTTCGTTTAGAATATTTTTTTTCTTGTTTTCCTCCTCTAAAAACTACGTGCGTGTTATGGTCTGGTGCGTGTTATAGAGCGAAAAATACGGTAATTTAAAAAGTCAAGAGTGAAGCAAAATCTACTATTATACAGCTACTAATAGGTACATAAAATATTTCTGAAAACCTATTTCTATATTTGGAGCCCATGGAATATACTCTATTGGAATATATAGTTGTATAAATTGTTGAACTGTTGGTTGGCTGCTTCCGCATCTACTTTAGCTTCTGCTCTGCTCCTCTTGCTCACCTCAGTATTTCTTAGTACAACTACTGTTTAAACATTTCTTTAGTGTCAGCTGCCAACAGTATGCCTAAAAGACTTAGATTGTATAGAGAAATCCCCCCACTTATGCACGATCGACTCACAAACAACCTCGTATATGTGCAGCGCTGGGTGATCGATCGATCGATCGATCAAACAAACAAACAAACAAACAAACAAACAATTCAAACCCGGAAATGGCAGGAGAGAGCTGGAAAGTCCTTGTGGCTTGTTAGGAGCCCCTCCCCAGAGCCTGAAGAGGATCTCAGTGAGCCCAAAGTCCAAAACAAAGGTTTTTACTGTGTGTGTCTGTTTTTTTAAAAAAGAATTTATGGGCTCTAAAACGGCGCACGAGAGCTCCTGCTGTTGCCTGCTACCCTGCTCCACAGCTGTTGGGCAGGAAGCTGTATTGCAGCGGGCTCAGAGGCACTGTTCCCTGTCCTTTCTGGCCATCTGGAGGCAAAGGTACAGTGTAGAAGAAAAAGGTACGGTACTGTATTTTGGATGCCTCTTAAATCACCCGTTCTCTGCTCCAAAGAGGCTCCTCACTTCCATGCATTTCACAAGTGTGCGTGGGGGCCCGGAACGTAACCCCAACGTAAGTGGGGAGTCTCCTCTATTAGATGGCCAGTGTAGGGATGGGGAGAGGTGTAATGAACTGATAATGGGGAAAGGGTTTTGGAAAAGATCAAGTAGCAATGAAGGCCTGAAGGAATGCCAGGAAAGGCTTGTGATCTCAAACCACGGCACCCATCTGCCACTGCCTGCATACCTTCCCTGTCCTGTGGATTGCGCTCTCAGCAACTAAACTCCCTGTGATTTATTTTTTTTTTACTTTGAACTAGCAATTATAGAACAAACTGGAAACAGCGCCAGCCCTGAATCTGGCCTTTGGTTTAATATTGAAATGCATTCCCGCATGCCGGCCATTCTTTTGTCAGAAGATGAAAATGGGGGTTGTTTTCACAGTGGAGGCCTCTAGTGCTGCTGAGGCCGTTTCTTTTCCACAATCAGATGTCAATGGAATTAAAATGGAGATCCTGTGTAGCATGTTATACAGTGTTACTTTTAACTAAGAATGCCCTTCTCCACAACCAAGATCTACTCACATGCAAGTGCCATTCAGCAAAGTTTCTTGTTATTGCTTCCTGAAAGCTTTCTGTTTACTATTTTGCTATAATGGAAAGAGAAAACAAAATGGGAAAAGTCCATCAATTCAGCACCCCCACCTCCTGTGGAACGGAAGCTCACCAAATAAACATTTCAGCACTAATCCGCCAGCCCTGTTGACCAAATAAGCAATAAAATGTGCTGAACTTGCAAACTGAAAGCTTTAAACTTAAAGGAACAGTTTGGGCTGGTAGTTATAAAGACAAAAGTCCAAGTTTAGGGATGTGTGAGCTGGAAGCAAGAAGCAGCAGAAGCCAGAGAGAGAAAGAGAGAGAGACAGACAGATAGACAGACGCGCAGAGAGAGGTACTTGTTTTCTGCTTGAATCTAAGGCTGCTGCTTGGGGCGTTAATGCTGTGAGCCCCTCCACTGTAGGCTCAAAATAAATGTGCCAGCTTAAGGATGCTTTTTTATAATGTGTTTCATTTAATCTGTAGTTTGGTCTTGCTCAACATCAGAAATGTATCACGAGTTAGAAATCCCTGCTGAATTCACATTTTGACAGCTTCTGAAAAATACTCTCGGTGGACCTGCAGACTGATTCTATGAGTTTCTGCCTACTAAGTAAGTCAGTGGCACAATGAGTGCGGCCTTGTGACCCCCTAATGCTGAGCTAGCATTGCAAGGCCAGGAAGCTGCATCAGAAGTAGGAGTCAGCATTCACCTACCATCAACAGGCAGAGCCCAAAATAGGATGGCACTCTGCACAAACCCTCAAGCTAATTGTGTCTCGCCGACATGTGAGAAGAGAACTTCATAAACAATTTGTATTGTATGGGCAAGGCAGTTGGGCAAGGCGTGATGCTGATGGGTACTGAGATGGTGGGAAACTGATAATAAGGATTTGGATATTTAGTGATGGTTATTAACTGAGCCCAGCATTCAGCTAAGAAGACAAGTCTCATTTGATGGTAAAATTGGCAGAGTCCTCACGGCTGACAAGAAGGGGTGAGTTTCCATTTAATTTGCCTACTTGTCTCCACTTGCTGGGAATCCAGTCATTTATTTATTTATAAAAAATGTTTATATACCAGTGTACCATTTTAAAAAATGTATCACAGTGGTTCACAACAATACAAAAATGATGTCAAAACATTTTCACTCTAGCAGTGAAGGGATAAAACCTCTAGGACCTTGGTAGGTAAAGGGACCCCTGACCATTAGGCCCAGTCTTGACCGACTCTGGGGTTGCGGCGCTCATCTCGCTTTATTGGCCGAGGGAGCCGGTGTACAGCTTCTGGGTCATGTGGCCAGCATGACTAAGCCGCTTCTGGCGAACCAGAGCGGCACACGGAAACGCCGTTTACCTTCCCGCCGGAGTGGTACCTATTTATCTACTTGCACTTTGAGGCTGTGGCTAAATGTGGCTGCATTGGGAAACGCTTAAAAACTGCCCTGTACCTTGTCATTCTCCGATTACCAGCCAGCAACTTGGTGCTGCCCAGCACAAATGGGAACAGACTTGAGGCAGCCACTGTAGTCATCTTAGGGGGAGCTTTTCTGTTTCTGCCACTTCAGCCCTGAAATTCCCCACTGGCAGCAGATGAAGCTCCCGCATGGTGAAAATGTAGACAACATACCAAATGGTGTCATGGGCCGCCTATTGGTGCCTCTAGCTCTGCAAGGGAATTCTTGTAGACACAACTTGCTGAATAATAAATATAATCTTCCTCTTTCAGAATAAAATGAAAAGCCCAACAACATGCCTATCTATGTGTGACCAAGTGCAAAATCTGCCCAGCGGGTGGTGCTGTGTGGTTGCGTTGCAACAAGAATCCATGAAGAAGAACTGAAGAACACAGGACACTTAGGATTAATGTATCAAGTAAGTCTGCATTGGAGGGGAGCGGGTGGCACTGTGGGTTAAACCACAGAGCCTAGGGCTTGCCGATCGGAAGGTCAGCGGTTCGAATCCCCGCGGCGGGGTGAGGTCCCGTTGCTCGGTTCCTGCTCCTGCCAACATAGCAATTCGAAAGCACGTCAACGTGCAAGTAGATAAATAGGTACCGCTCTGGCGGGAAAGTAAACGGCGTTTCCGTGCGCTGCTCTGGTTCACCAGAAGCGGCTTAGTCATGCTGGCCACATGACCCGGAAGCTGTACGCTGGCTCCATCGGCCAGTAAAGCGAGATGAGCGGGCAAACCCAGAGTTATCCGCAACTGGACCCCCCGCCCCTCCATAGAAGGACCCTTTTGCCTTTCTCTTCTTCATCAGTCTGCTACAGAATTTCTTTGTGTTCTGCTAAAGGAGATTATGGTCACTGATTTGATTTTTGTTAACTTTATCGTTAGTAATTACTAAAGTACAATCAAAGCCAACAGCAAAAGCAGACCAATAACACCTCCTACCCTCCCAATTTTTAAAAAAATTGCTGGTGAGGAAAAAGAAAGGTCTTAATACCAGTGCAAAGAGGATCACACTTAACATAGAAAAAATAAAAAAGAATCAACTGAAGTAGCAATGGCATGCACATTGCTTTAATAATTTTGAGTTGGCTTCCTGTTTTATCAGTTAGTGGTCTCCCAATATTTTATTTACGAGTATTTTTATTGTACTTCTGCTCCTTGAGTTTATCATCCCTAACCACAATTCCGAATGCTCACAGCAGAACTACTTTCCTCTTCTATAATCAGCTCATCTTTGCAGAATGAGCCTCAGTGACCTTCTCTACCCAAACAATCCACAAAGACGCCAGGATGTGATTGCTCTGCACCAGGAACTGCTTGACTGCATGCAGCTGAATTTTAAGGCTACCGATGAACTAATTGGAGCACTGAATGAACATCTGGGAGCCAAGATTGCGCACGTTAAAATGAAAGAGGGCGGCACCATCAAAGAGAACTGTGACATCATCATCCGAGCCATGACTGATATTCAGCAAGAGGTATGGAAGTTTGATCAAGAAATAAAGGAAAAGCTAGAGCCACTGATGTACCGAAAGCTTTATGATATCAAGGAGCCTGAGTTGGAAAAAATTGCAATAGCTCACAGGATTGTATCTGTTATTCTTGGAGAGGCTACTGCATCTGCAGGTATAGTAGCTGTAAAATTGGTGTGTTCGAATATTGTAACTGTTACTGTTAACAAACTAGTTGCTCTACTTGCTCAGATTGGGTTATCTGTTCTGGGAGGCATTGCCATTAGTGCTCTGGGGCTGGGTATCGACATAATTCTTCATGCTATATTGGGAGCAGTGGAAAGAGATCACCTTGTAGCATGCATTGAGAGCTATGAGCAGCATCTGGCAGAATTTAAGGAAGCCTCGCAGATTTATCATTGTTCCATTACAGAAGTCAGTGCAATGGTGAAAGACAAAGCTAAATTAGGAATATCTGGGGATGTTCCTACACACTGGTGATTACACGAAACGTATTCTAATATGACTGATAAGAACTTTCCTTTTTAATACGGCTTGTTCGTTTTTGCAATTAGCAATATAGAAAGAAAGTGTTTGGTGGTGAATAACCTGTTAAAGACAAAAGACCCTTGTAGATAAGCAGTAACTGAAAGGTGTAGGTTTCTGCAGGTATGTGACATGAGCGAATGCTCTAACGGCACAAACTTAACCATGTTTACTCAGAAGTTAAGTCCCATTGAACTCAGTGGGGATTCCTTCTGGATAAGTGGGGTTGGGATTGTAGCCTTTGATTGCAATCCTAATGGCTCCTCCCTTTCAGTGGGGATTTGTAGAAAAAGCATACACAAATCCACTGTACAACAATTGCATACTAGAAATCAAGATGTAATTATGCAGTTTATCCTTTTCCATGTGAATCAAGCTTGGTAATGTGGAAAATATTGAAAACATGCTTTGCGTTATTGAGTTTTGCATATTATGAAATACAATTTGAAATAGCACAATATATAACTGAATATGTGTTTTCTCAAATAAATGCATTTGCCTGTGTTTTTTTCTCTATTCTGTCTGTGCATGTTACATCTCAAATCAGCATAGGGCCAATAAGAAAATATTTTATGAGTTGTAGGTGGGGTCAGTGTAGATGGTACCCTGTGCCCAACCTGTGGTCCTGTGTGGGTGGGTAGGTGGTGTGGGATAGACTGTATAAGAGCAAGCTTGCCAAATCAGTTCCATTATTAAAGCCATGGCTTTGTAATCTCTTGGTATTTTTCCTGCCTTATAACTTCCTTTCCTTTCTTTGTCTTACTTTCTTATTATTAACTGAGCCTTGGTGGGAACATTTTGGTAAAAGCAAATTTGACTATATTAGTATGCACATCTGCCTCATACACTTCTGGACTGGTGAACCACCATGAAACAAAACATCCTAGGAGGAATACAATTAAAATAGATATTAAGAAGTCCCAACCAAACCTGCCATTCAGCTTACAGTATTATGAAGAAAAAGTCCGATGGAGAAGGACTAGGCAAGAGCACTTCATCTTGGTGTAGGACTATCAGTTGCTGTAAAATGGTGACATCACAGAGGCTGTGAGGTGGGTAGTCTTGCATGATACAAAGAATGTGACAATGACATCATAGGCTCAAGCAGAGGAGCCAGAAAACATGAAACACATTATATTAAAATGATGCAGACTAAACAGAAAATTCTTTTTCTAGGCTGTACATGCCCAGCTCCCATAGCTTAGACTTTATCATCATGCTTGTTAAATTCAGTTTCAAGGTACAATATTTTCAACAAAAGACACAAGAAGGCCATTTTTCAAGGGGATATTAAGAGGGAGCAACATTTCTTTATCCACTTCAACTTTCATAATTTTATAAATATCCAGGCTTCTGTAATCCGAGATACCACTCACTGTACTTGGAAGTAACTGACATTGCTATCAATGGGACTTGCAACAAAATGTACTTAGGGTAATGTTTATAAGTCAAACTTCTGTACTGCCAGGAGTCATGTTTTATATAAAGCATTTTTAATGCTCTTTCGATATATGTTATGATATGATGATATGATCTGAACTGAACTGAGTCTTCTTCCCTCTAAAAAGCATTGTGCGATTGAACCTTGCAGTATAAAGTTATTTCTGAGCTTGTGCAAGAAAAGGACTTGGAAGAATTTATTTCTAGGACTGGCAGGCGAGCGCCCCCTCTCGGCCTTCTCTGGTATAACGGACTTCTAGACCAAAAATGGCGCCCTCCCTCTCCCGGCACCTTCTTTCAGTGTTGCCTAGCGATTATGAGAAACCTAAACCATAGAGATGCAGACCTTGGGAGGTCTGAAGGACAAACCGGTCTTGAGCACCTCTGAGCTCAGGCGAACCGGAAAGAGAGGTTTGCGGGCGGTACCGTTACCATAGAGACGGGGGGAAGTATACGGTCTCAGTCCTATACAGACACTTCTGGTCTGATATTGATCACCTTTCCACTTTACAGTAATTCTAAATACAAAGTACCAAAGAGACGCCGCAGCCTGGAGCGTCTAGTAACAAGGACAAGTATAGAGATAGGGAAAATAGTCGGAAATCACGCAGAAAGAATAAAACCTTAAGATTCCCTTTGACGTTTCCACATCCCAGGATGTAAATAAGAACTGCCTATATAAAATAATAAAGAAATCGAGGATTTTAGCGTACTTGAGAAGCAGGAGTCCACTCAGAAAGAAGTAGTTCTTGCTTTAAGTTAGGACTTACTTTGTGAGAAAAACGTGACTGCTGTCGGGGGAGTTTGTATAAACTGCAGACCACTGTTCCCATGATACTGTGGCTGAGATAGGGTTTTTTCACTTTTGGGGGGTACAAAGTAGTATACTGTCAATCGAGCATGTCAGAAGCTAGTTTGATTTTCCAGCTCCAAATCCCCCACACTTAACACCTCTCGGGTTGCAGCAAACGGTAAAACTACACAGGGATAGCGAACATGGTGCCTTCGAGGTGGTCTTGAACTCCAACTCCCAGCAGCCCCAGCCAGCATTGCCAGCGGTCAAACGTACTCCAACAACACTTCGCCGGTTCCAAATGGCGACCCCTGGGACGTCACTCACAACTTGCAGCCCAAAGCTCAGTTGGTGCAAAGCCTTGTGCTGTATTTGTTCGCATGCATGTAAGATACCCGCAAAGTGCAGGCGGGGAGAGGAAGGGAGCACTGACTTCCGAAGTGCCATAATCTCCAGTTTACCTCTCCAAAGAGTTAAGTTTTTGTCATTTGTAGAACCCGAGATACGAGGCAAAATGGACAGCTGCTGTTCTTATTTTCGTGTGAGAAATCCACTGCTCCCCTTTTTAGTGCTTTATTCCCCCCCCAAAATTTTTTCCTACAGACGCCCATACTGATGGCTGTATCACTGGGCGGTTGCCTCAGGCGGCAGCTGAGGGGAAGGAGGAAGCAGTATGAGTTGCATATATTTCCAGTTTTCCACGCCAGGCAAAATTGTTCCTTTTTAACCAGAACTTTGGTTGATTTCATTGAATCCTATGCCCGTTTAAAATATGATTCTTTTTTTGGAGGGGGAATTGTTATTAGGTTGTTGTTTTAATTTTATATATATATTTGTCTCCGCTCCTCCACATGCAGCTGCTGGGTGACCTTGGGCCAGTCACACTTCTCTGAAGTCTCTCAGCCCCACTCACCTCACAGAGTGTTTGTTGTGGGGGAGGAAGGGAAAGGAGAATGTTAGCCGCTTTGAGACTCCTTAAAGGGAGTGAAAGGCGGGATATCAAATCCAAATCCATATGTAGTGGTTTTATATTTTGATTTTTTTTGGTGATCCGCCCTGTGAACCTCCGTGCATAGGGCGGTATATATGAATTCAATAATTAAACTAAAAACAAAATATATGAGCTCCGGTGCTTGCTGTCAACCTTTTGTTCGGGGTATCCTAGGCTGGGGATGCTAAAACCCTGACCTCCTTAATGGTCCGCTACTTCAGGCCGAATCAACTTCCCGGAAGTTGGGGATGGAAGCCGAGTCTTTGATGAGAAGTCCACGTGCCTCAAAATTCCTCATTTTTGCCGGAAGTTCAGGTTGTGGGCTACTCTAGCCGTTCCGCGCCTCTATCGCTGTTGCCGCGAGATCGCGCTGCTTTTCAAGATGGCGGCGACGCGGAGAGTATCCGAGGCGCGGTTTCTGTAGGGCCCTTTCTCTCGTTGGAGCGACCGGGCGCCGCTCTGCCGTCGAGGTTGGCGGGCTCCGGCCTCTTCCTTCGCGCCCCGTGGATCGACTGGGGTCAGGCGCGGATCTGGGCTGTCCGCCTCTCCCTGCTTGGAGCCACCGGCTTTGGCGCCAGGTAACCTGTTACCGTTTCCCGACATAGAAATCCTTTCATCTTCATGGGCACAAACAGTTGTTTATAGTACCACGAAGGTTGGAGCTTTGTGCAGAGCTGCGTCTCCTGATGGTCCGGTGTTAAAACCCTGGTCGGATCAAGGGCGAGCGTTTTTCAGTAAATGCCTGACTTTTAACAGAAAAGGGTTTTTTTTAATGAAAAAATATATATACTATATTACTGTTGTTGTTATTATTTATACTATATTATTATTATTATTATTATTATTATTATTATTAATTACTATTATAACGAGATGTACTTCTGTATGACTTGCAGAACTTCACTCGTGTGTTTAATACTGACGTTTATGCTGAATTATATATATTTTTCTCCTCCTGGTCTAGTTTTCATTCAGTGAAACAATAAAATAAACAAACTGTCAAAATGGGGCGAAGATCTACGTCATCCACCAAGAGTGGGAAGTTCATGAATCCCACAGATCAAGCTCGTAAGTGTACAGAATTTATTTTTTAAAAGTAAGGGGGAGGGTTTTAGGGGAGACGTATGGTTGAAAGCATGTAGCACAGTGTTAGAAACTAAGATAGGAAAACTAGGAGCCAAATCGCACCTTAAACCTAGGTTACGGGCGCAACAATGGAATGTCTAGGGGCACTTTTTTAAATAACTAGAATACAAAGCTGAAAATGAACGAACTGCTGCTAAAATATTATGTTCATTTTTCACATGGTCTAGTCCTTCCCCTGCCCCCCCCCAATATTCTTAAGAGGGTCTCTTCTCCAGTCTTCAGAGAGTAGCTGAAAGTGGGGAGGCAGAAAAAGGTCCTCCTTTCCTTCTGCCCTGCAGTTTTAATTTGAAATCTGAGGCGCAGTAATGCGCCCAGACCTCAGAAACTGCTCACACTAATTAAATTCCCTGTTGCAAAATGTGCCTGTAACAATGGGAGTTTCGAACACTAATGTAGCCCGAGGTATAAGACCTAACACTGCAGGCTAAAAATGTTACAGTATACTGTGGGTTTAGCATTAAACAATGTCAGTGAAGGAATGTACAGGAATATAAAATAATGGGATGATGGTAATGTCAAGTGGAGATTTTTCTTCAGAAGATTGCTTTATATCAAGCTAATCAGTTGAAGGCATAATGTTGCTGCTTTATAAATCTCATATACAAATATTTATATTAAATTATTTGAAGAGCAGTCAGTATGACTTGCTTCACTGCAGTCTGTTAATTATAGGATTTCTCATAGTTCAATCTAAGTGCACTTCTGTGCAGCTTCAAGTCGGTCCATGTTTACTATGGCTATGTACACACTATAGCTTCAAAGCACCTTTGAAGCACAGTCTTTTCCTCAAAGAATTTTGAGTACTGCAGTTTATTAAGGGTCCCTGGGAATTATAGGTATGTGCAGTGTAAGCTATAGTGCTCTGAATTTTTTGAGGGAAAGAATTTGCTTCAAATGTGCTTTAAAGGTACTGTATAGTGTTTACACAGGCTGTGTTTGCAAGAGTCAGATTCCTTTCGGATGGTAGAACACTCAACTTCTTTTCCTTAAAGACAGTTTTGGAAGAAGGTGGAGTAAGTTTTCAGGGTTGGTCAGGCAACATTGTGTGTGCTTTTGTGAAGTATACAAGTAAAGCCTTATAGACTTAGATTCCTCCTTGGGCAGATGCTGATTGCATTTGCACATAACAATAAACCAGATTTTCTGTCCGGCTGTTGTTTGTTGTGAACAAGCAGCATTCTGGTGCATGTTGCCCAGTTCCTGCTTTGCTCCTTCCCTGGCACAAGTACAGTACTTCTTAGGATTCAAAGTGTACTCTGAAGTACAATGAGTTCCGTGATAAGTGTGGTTTTGATTGCAGCCCAAAGCTTGCTAGTACTGGGTCTGAAATTGAGCATTTATATCTTTGCAGGCAAGGAGGCTCGAAAAAGGGAGCTTAAGAAGGTGAGAGATCGTTGCTTTACTAAAGGCTGGTGACCCTATACTTCTATCTGTTATGTGCCTAACGTAAAGCATACCTTGTTAATGTAGTACTTGCTAACTGATGAGCCCTTTCCTATTTAAAAATACAGTATTTTCCAAGTATTCATAAAGCTGGAGAAATAATGCATTTTTAATAGAATTCTGATAGTACTAATGTTATATATTTATAGTTTTCCTTGGTGGATGATTAGTCTTATTCTCATCTGTAAGTATAAATATCATGGCAGTGTTTGACCAAGTACTCAAGTGTCTTTAAACAGGAAGCCAGTAATATAAAACCCCACAGAACTAGAGACTGAGGATTGTAAAGGTTGATAGGGTATAAATGTGAAGGTGTGTTAACACACTGCCTTTAAAATTGGAATGTAAAATCAATTTTAACAGCTTAGAACCGTGTTGTGCAGACTTTAGTCTTGTGGGATCTGCTTTTTTAAAAAACTAGAAACTTATCCTCCAAGTAGAGCCGGGTGCAAGATATGTTATAGTGGGGGCAGCAGACTCTTAAAATTAAGGAACAGGGTGCCTCTAAGCACATGTTTGGCCCATAATTATTTTCCCAGTACCAGAATTGAGCTCACAGTCCTGTCATGCAAAAACCCACTCCTGGATCCCCCTATTTTTTGTATTGTATATGTTGCTTGGTTTGGCCGATACAGGAATCTTTCACTCTCTCTCATTTTCTGGTGAGTCCAGAACAAGAAGCAACGCATGATGGTGAGAGCAGCAGTGTTGAAGATGAAGGATCCCAAGCAAATAATCCGAGATATGGAAAAACTTGATGAAATGGGTAAGTTTGAATAAACCTTTTGGGGGGTTGGGGGAAACTTGAATGGAGAAACCAGATGGGGCCAAAGGCATCTGTGAAGCTGAAAGACTTAGGGGTAGGCAATATGGTACTCTCTATATGTTATACTAAAGCTCTCATTGTCCCTGACCACTGGTCATGTTGGCTTATGGGAGTTAATAGTTTAAAAATATCTGGAGGAGAAACACATTGGCTGATGTAACAAATGTTATCAGATACCATGTTTGTTGTTGTTGTTTTTTTTTTTTTTGGAGTAAGGAGATCAAGGGCTGGGTACACTCAAGTGGCCCCGTCCCCGTGTCCTTTTTCTTTCTCTCTTTTAGAAGCCATCCTAGAAACATTGATTGGACCAGGCAAGCTGCCCTAGAAAGGGGGTTCATTGAATGGGGAGCCGGGCCCAGGAAGGCCTTCCCCCCCCCTCCCTAGTCACTACTTGGGTTGCTGATCAGGCTGGGGCACCTGGGAACTAACAGAGTTATTTGAGCACCAGTAAGCTGTCTTCCCAAATATGTATTCTCTTTTAGTGGCACTTAGGAGGAAAGCTTTCTTCGGGGTTCTGTTTCTGAACATGGATGCCACAATGGCACATGTGTTATAAATGTGGTGTGGTGAGAGGAAGAGAAAACAATGACTTAATTCAGGCTTTGCTTGTAAATCTCTCTCCTTCCACATGGTGGTCTCAATCCTAATGCTGGATCAGAGTTTAACCCAGTGCAGCAACCCCAGCTCAATGAGAAGGTGCTGAAGGACAAGCGTAAGAAATTGCGTGAGACCTTTGAGCGTATCCTGCGGCTCTATGAGAAGGAGAATCCAGACATCTACAAGGAGTTGCGCAAGCTAGAAGTGGAATATGAGCAGAAGAGATCTCAGCTCAGTCAGTACTTCGATGCTGTAAAGGTATCTGCCCTCATCAGATTTGAATGGCATTGATTTAAGGGTTCTTACTCCTGGCTTACTTAAGTGTAGACAGTGCAAAGCCAGTTGCTTGGTTCCTTCTAAGCCCTACTGCGCTTTTTTTTAAATTACAAGCACACCATGCATATGTCTGGTAACAAACAGTACATGCAAGCAGTGGTGTGTTGCATTTGAAAATCATCTATATAAAAACTGGCTTTTCTGAATCTCCTCCCTATGTAGTTTGGTGACCAGAAACCTTCACTTTTCCCTCCTCAGATTTCATTGGAATGGTTTAAATGACTATTTCATTAATTTGACTGGTCGTGTGATGTTCCTTCTAAATGGTTGCTTGCATTTATGAGTTGTCGGGAAACTAAATGTTATGCCACTGATTGCTTCATGTTGCTTTCTCATTTATAAAGCACCTAAAATTTGCTAAGTGCTATGCAACCCCCCCCCCCAACATTCCTGCCTGCAGGCTTACAATCAACTAGACATGGCTCAGAAGGGAAGTGAAAGCCCTCTTGGCTGATTATTAAAGCTAGTAGTTGTTGTTTTTTTAAATTTAAATGTGGTTTTCATTTATGCTAACTGCTTACAGTCTTAAGTGACAGAATTCAAAAGAAATGGGGAGGGGAGAGGAAGATAAGTAGGTTCCAGGCCTAAGTCTTTCATGAGGTTGTATCAGGCATAGGCAAACCCGGCCCTGCAGATGTTTTGGGACTACAACTCCCATCATCTCTAGCTAACAGGACCAGTGGTCAGGGATAATGGGGACTGTAGTCTCAAAACATCTGCAGGGCCGAGTTTGGCTATGCCTGGGATATACAATCAAGATACATAATGAGCAAGGGAGGAGAGGATCCAGGCGCCGGGTGATCCCAGTTGAGCTGATGGAGGGGCGCTTGTCTCACCTCTCTGTCACATACCCATTGTCACCTCCTGAAGATTAACCTAAGGGAATGTTTAAAAATCTCTTTCAGAATGCTCAGCATGTCGAAGTGGAGAGTATCCCCCTGCCAGATATGCCTCATGCCCCTTCCAACATCCTCATTCAGGACATCCCCCTGCCTGGAGCGCAGCCCCCCTCTATTCTCAAAAAGACATCAGCCTATGGGTAAGCAAGGAAATGCACTGGAAAAGGCCAAAGCTCTTTTAGGGGTTGGTCTGTGTGGATTACAATCTGATGCTGCTACTATGATTAATAGGCTTTTGTGAATCTGATGCTGCTACTATGATTAAATAGGCTTTTACTTGTGCATTTAGAGCTTTTAAAAACCACGTGCTATAATTTGTGAGCTGCTTTTTGTTCATGCGGTTTAATGGTGGTTCTTGAAGTGTAGCTTAAGGCACAAGACATGGACTGACATCATTTGGGCTGCATGCTAGTACAGAAAAGTGTTAAGTGTGGCTGTTGATTAAATCTGGGGCACATGCATATATTGAATTAAATTGGTGCTCAGCTTCTTGTCCTTGTTGTCAGCTGTTTTGTTGCTGGCTGAGAAGAAATACTAACTTCAGCCACTAGGGAGACAATTGGCATAATATTCACAGGGCATAAGGAAGTAGCCAGAAACTAGGGCAAAAGCTCAGCTAGTGCTGCAGTGGCATCCAACACTCTAGCTCAAACTGAAAAGCTTGTAAATCCTTAGCTTTTAAACTGTTCAAAACCTTGTTTCTAGACCTCCTGTCCGGCCTGTTTCTGTACTTCCACCCCCTGGGCTTGGTGTTCCTCGCTTACCTCCAGGCAGGAAGCCTCCAGGACCTCCACCAGGGCCGCCTCCACCTCAGGTCTTGCAGATGTACGGTCGGAAGGTTGGATTCACCTCAGAGATGGCCCCTCGGAGAAGAGAAGAGGAAGTGTCTTACAGTCCAGAGACAGGTAGTTATGTTCCTCATCCGCAAGTGCTACCTTTGAAGGTGACCCAGAAACTACAACTAATCCAGAATGCGGTAGCTAGACTGGTGACTGGGAGTGGCTGCCAAGACCACATAACACCGGTCTTGAAATATCTATTTTGGCTCCCAGTACATTTCTGAGCACTATTCACAGTGTTGGTGCTGACCTTTAAAGCCCTAAACGGCCTCAGCCCAGTATACCTGAGGGAGCGTCTCCACCCCCATTGTTCAACCCAGACACTGAGGTCTAGCTTCGAGGCCTTCTGATGGTTCCCTCACTATGAGAAGCGAGGTTATAGGGAACCAGGCAGAGGGCCTTCTCGGTAGTGGTGGCCGCCCTGTGGAACACCCTCCCATTAGATGTCAAGGAAATAAACAACTATCTGACTTTTAGAAGACATCTGAAGACAGCCCTGTTTAGGGAAGTTTTTAATGTTTGATGTTTTATCGTGTTTTTAATATTCTGTTGGGAGCTGCCCCGAGTGGCTGGGGAAACCCACCAGATGGGTGGGGTATAAATAATAAATTATTATATTATATTATATTATATTATATTATATTATATTATAATTACCATTGTAGTTGAGGATGGGGGCTGGGGTTTCATATTCTTCTGTACACAGGCAGTTGTGCTTTGTGGAAAAGTTGGGGAAATCTTCTGACAGTTTCCTATGTTGTTCATTCTCCCCTGTACTTTTAAAAGATGTAAAACTAGATTTAGTTTTGAGGACACAGATTTGTAAGGAGAAGAAAAGACACATTGCCAATTTTGAAGGAGGCCTAAAAGATGGATGGCAAATAAATAGAAAGGAAAGCCATGTAAGACATTCCCATGTTTTGAGCATGGAAGAAGCATTTGAAATATCTGGTATGCATATGTATTCTCGTGTATATGCTTTTAAGAAGCTACTAGTTCCCAAGAAATACATTAGGCTTGCTATTTAGAACTCCCCCCCCCCCTTCCCCCAAATCTCAGATTTATGTGAACGCTTTTTGGATATGACTGCTATGATACTTTGCATGCTACAGTTAAACATAGTTAATGGAACACTCCCCTAGCATGAGTGATAAACAATGATGCCTTGCTGAGCAATATGTCTGAATCAGCAGTTGTGGTTTTGTTCCAAGCCACATTGTTAAACCAAGGTTTGTTCTTGGCATACCAACAGTGGCTTGTTTGGATGTAATGGTAAGCCAGAGATTGTATTTTGTGGATCATGCCAAGGAAGGAGTGAAGCAGAAGCAGTTTGTATGTTCCAGGTAAACCATTAACTATGGTGTACAATGATGTTCAAATGTCACCACTAAATAAATATTGTCACTGTTAACCTACTTTGTTATTTATTTATTTTTTGCTTTGTTCGGGAACAATTTTATATAAATTATCATCAGCTATGCTCATTTGTAGACACTTTGCTGTACACCTGTGGGTTTATAGAAGAAACCAGCCATCCAGAAATCAAAGTGGGCAGGTGATGCAGGTATTCTGATATTTCATAATGATTCTTCTTGGCTGTGAAGTTTGCAGGAGACTATTGGACCTGAACTGTTGATTCTCCTCTTCACCTCCCTACCCCATCGTATTGTAAGGGAAAGCTTTTACAGTATCAAAACAAGCTGAACGTTGCTTTTCTTGGTGGCTTCATGTTTGAACTACTCAGGTCCACGAGGGCAGGATGATGAAGCTTCCAGTACCAGTGAAGATGAGGGTTATCCCGAGGACATGGATCAGGACAAACACGATGACACTACTGATGACAGCGACAGTGACAGAAGTGATGCAGACAGTGAAGGGGAAGAGTTCATGCATCACGATGACACGGCTGAGAGGGAGGGTGGTGAAGACAAGAAATTGGGTAAGCTTCTCAGGAGAATGGATTTGAAATAGTTATGCTTTCATAGTGTTTGAGTAGGTGAGAGCAAGCATGAATGCTTTACCAACATCTGAATTATTGTTCTAAGCTCTTTCATAGGATGCTTTCCAGCATTATTTTGTAGAGTGGTACAAGCAATCTCTTGAGTTCTTTCTTTATAAACATACTGTTCTTGACTAGTCTGATACGTATCCCACCTGATGTATATACTGGCTGCATCAAAGGGGGAGTTAATACAGCAAAGTCTGCTCTGCTGGGACCAACCGTGGGTTGGCTCCTCCTCCTCTTAGAACTGTTTCCCGTAATGGCTGTCCATCTGGTTATTGTAACAATTGCATAACTTGATTTAAGAATTTGTGGCTGAATCTGCTGTTTTGCTCTTCCCCCTCTTACCATTTTTTGTGTGTGTCATGCATATTAACATTGTAAGCTTGTGGAAGGGTACTGTGTGGGCATTAACTTTGTGCAGTGCCTAGACCAGCCTGGCACCATCCTGTTCCTTTAGAGTACAACTCCCATCAGCTGTAGCCAGCAGAACCCTGGGATCCAGCAACATCTGGAGGAAACCAGCTTAGAGGAACAATAACAGGGACATTGAGGCACTTTATAAATAGTAGCTAATAATAATGTTGGGTCATTTGGTTGTTAGAAAAGATAAATGGCTTTGTACAACATAAAATCTAGCAGATAATGTGCTCACCTGTAAGAGTCACTTGAAGCCTTGAAAATACATAGCTACTTAAATTTCTGAATTGCAGCATGGAAGAGCCTGGATTTTTAAAGCACTCCAGACATTAAAACTGAGAGGAGATGACTGATGAATTCCTAATCCTCCATCAATTTACTTCTGCAGGCCATAGTGTACGGTTTGCTGAGATACCTGGAAAATCACGCAAGAAGAAGAAAAACATGAAAGAGCTCACGCCACTTCAGGCCATGATGCTGCGAATGGCTGGTAAGAAAGCCTGGATTTTTCTCAGCTTTATTTCCCACCCACCCCCAACCTTCTTCATTTTAGTTGCAAGCTATGGAAGTCTGTTTACCCAGAGAAATTAACTCACAAATAGTTTATTAAGCAAGGATTTGCATTAAAAATCTATCTAGAAAGTGCCTTATGAATAGAAGCTAGGATATGGGACCATTTAGCACATCAGCTGACTGATACAGCAGTGAATTTGACCTCATAATTCGCATGTGTGGTTGTCTTCCAAATTCCTGAGTCCCCAACCCCTGATTAAATTAATATGAAGACGGAAGGCAGGGACTGGTTTAAAGGATGCTTTCATAGCTTTCTCAGACTGGTCATGGTGAAACTGGTATGTAGCTGGGATTTTCAGACACTGTGGGATGAAGGAACCCCATAAGCGGCTGCCCACAAAATATTAACGCAGGACCATTGCAGAAGAGTGTTAAATAGACCTTCAAACCTTGAAGATAACACTGAGGAATCCCTAAGCCAGTTCTATCTAGCTTTTTGAAACTTAGCGAGAAAATGAATTCCTTGACACCACAGGGCAGCGGGGCACCTTTAATGACGGGTAGGTGTGCCATGGATGGGGGAAGCACTGTGCAACCATCTCCATGCTTCAGAAGAAAGAAAGTGGGTGTAAGAAAAATTCTGAACCCTGCGCTCCTACTCTGGATTAGGTCCCATGCCACTTGCTGGAATTTATTTCCGATCTATGCAAGGCTGGGGCACGGCTGCTAATCTTCCAACCCCATTCAACAGGAGGGATGCAGGAACGAGGCAGCGGGCTTGGAACATCCTGGAGGAAATTTGGGCCTTGCCATAGCCGCCCTGTGGAGATACTTGTAGCATTCAATAGCAGTTTCCTAATTACTGATAGAATATTTTTCCTGGGCCTTCAAATCATTCTTTTCTAATGTTGGCCTGTGGTCTATATTGCCTTTTAAAGTCCCAGAATCTGTTTTAAAGATCAAGCCTCCATTATTTCTCTTCAGGCCAGGAAATTCCTGAGGGAGGCAAAGAGGTAGAAGAGTATTCTGAAGAGGAAGATGATGATGACGATGATGACTCTGAGGCTGAAGATACACCACAGCAGCAAAGCGCGGAAGAGGCCCATGCTGAGACAGCATCATCGGCAGCCTCTCAAGCATCCCAGCCACAGCAGCAGCCACCACCTCAGCCTGTTCCTCCGACTCAGATGCAAGCGCCTCCCATGCCTGGGCCACCCCCTCTTGGGCCACCTCCTGCACCACCCTTGAGGCCTCCAGGGCCACCTACTGGCCTCCCTCCTGGTCCTCCTCCAGGTGAGCACCTGATGAAATTTAAGAAATCCAGGCTTCTCTTTGCTTTGGGCTCCCAGCTTGCAAATCCCGAAAACAGGCAGTTGTCTTACTCAGCTAGCATGCTGGTGGAGGCTTCCCACTCCAACGTCACATGAATGTTGCACTTCAAACACTTGTCTTTCTCATCAGGCAGATACTCAGTTTTTGTTTAATCAGTCTCTTGCAGCCGTGGCAACAAAAGGAGGGGTGGGGGGAGGCAGCTACCCAGTGGGTGGGTGACTGTTTTTGTACATCTCTGGCACTTTGTAAATGATTTGACGTGATTCAGAAGGAAAAAGCAATGTATTTTGATAAAAAAGTGGTCACCATGGGCTGTGTTGGAGTGTTTGTGTAAAAAAGCAAGGTAGTCTTAAAAACCTCTCTTTCTCATCTCTTTGGCACAACAACAGGTAAATGGTAATGAGGATTTGCCATGTTAACCCATAAACTAAACTGTCTTTGTGCAAATGCTTTCACAGGGGCTCCTCCGTTTCTTAGGCCACCTGGGTTGCCTGGAATGCGTGGCCCTTTACCACGACTGTTGCCTCCCGGACCTCCCCCTGGCCGCCCCCCTGGCCCTCCACCTGGTCCACCGCCAGGTCTGCCTCCTGGCCCTCCTCCAAGAGGACCCCCACCTCGCCTGCCACCTCCAGCCCCTCCAGGTAATACTACAGTTTACTCACAGGATCTCTTTTATTCACTGTTATGGATAAACAAAATTAGTCTAGTGGTGTATGCTTTCATCTTAAGGTTTTTTAATGTAGTAAGAGTTATGTACTGCTTAATAAAAATCATAATTTATAAGTGGTCAACTACAAGCTGTTGTTGAATCCTAAAATTAGAGGGTGATATTTTCCTGTCCTTTTTGTTCCAGCACAGTGAAACGCTCTAGGTTTTATGAATCGTTGGTACACCTGTTGGAATTTGATGATTTAAAATGTGTGTCCCATGTAATTTTGCAAATATAATGACCTTAAATTAAGGGGAGGCAAAAGGAACTTGAGCTGATGCTGGTATTGGTTCCTTCTGAGCAAAGAGTAGCAGGCTAACTTTTATCTCTTCCTCCAGGCATCCCCCCTCCTCGTCCAGGCATGTTGCGCCCTCCTTTGGTGCCCCCACCTGGGTTATTTCCCCCAGCTCCCATTCCCAATCCTGGGGTGCTGAGTGCTCCGCCCAGCTTGATCCAGCGTCCCAAGGCGGATGACACCAGTGCAGCCACCATTGAGAAGAAAGCCACAGCGACCATCAGCGCCAAGCCACAGATCACCAACCCCAAGGCTGAGATCACCCGCTTCGTGCCCACGGCCTTGCGAGTTCGCCGAGAAAACAAAGGGACAGCTGCCACCACCCAGAGAAAACCTGATGATGAGCCTTCTGTTCAGATAACCAAAGCAACTCCTAAGGCTGGCTCTTCTGCTCCCATTTCTGTGCAGACAAAAGATGATGTCTATGAAGCTTTCATGAAGGAAATGGAGGGGCTACTGTGACAATCTGTTCCCAGTTAACCTGTATATTCTCTGCGATTATGAGATCAGACTACTGTCTTAGGGGCAGAGGTTCCATGTTATAGTGGCATCCGGTTGAAGAGCTCCTTCATTTGTGACAATAGTCCCCCATCCCTATTAACTTGTGATCACATTTGGGAGAACGACCACTGTAGAGAGTGGAAAAGGGGTGCAATTACTCTACTCACTTTTTAATGAAAGACTTGGTTGTGTCTGTGTGCTCATGGAAAATCCTGTTGTCTCATTTTTTTATTTTTGTTAAAGGGAGGAATTACTTGAGGAACCAGAACACACTGTTAAAGCATTTCTTCCACATGTACCGATCAAGTTTTTATGTTTTGTTTTGGTGGCTTTCTGTAAATATTTTGTAATGCTGTTTTTAGCTGGGTGAGAAAAATGGGTTTACACATTGTTGTAAGGTGGGCAGGTTACTGTTTGCATATATGGCATGCAAACATTTTGCACCCTGTGTATCCTGCACTCACTACTGTGGCTTCTTGCTAACAGGAGCGATCATTGTCTTATTGAAAGAGAATAAATATTTGATGTAATACACCACTGTCTGACTAGTTATCTGCACTGCTATTTTGGGTTTAGGAAGGAAAAGAAGTAGCCTGAGGACCTGACAAACAGCACCTATGGAAGGTAGCTAATGGTGCTTTAGACTTAAGAGAACATCCCTAATATCTGAAGAATCCATAAAAGGGAGAATAGCTGTTCATTCCATTTGGGAAACATGATACAGTTGTATATCTAAAAAGTATCTCTTGCCCACATTAAAAATGAACCTGAAAGGAACCCAGGCTCCATTCATAGATCACAGAGATGGCATATACATACAGACTGACAATTAAAGAACATTAGTTAATGTAATATGAATATCTACTTTAACTGGATAGAAGTGTATGTATAATCATCACCTGATGAAGTGAGTTGTGTGTAAAAGCTGAAGGGGGAATGTAACACTTGGTGTAACAAACCAGAAATGGATGTTGGGGGAAGTCAACAGGGAGGAGGGAAACTAGAAAATTAATGTTTAGTAATGATATTGAATATTAAATTATACAAATAAAATAAAAAATAAAAGCTGAAAGGGGGTGGAGAGATGGATGCACCAAGCCTCTTCCATAGACAACTGGAGTGAAATGTGAAATCCTGTGTCTTCTGTCCAGTATCAGTGCGAGAACGTTGGAACAGCACCTTAATCCAAGGCAAAATGCATTGTCATTCACATATGTATGCCCACTGCTAGTACTATGCTTGCCATAGAATTGCCATGGTTCACTTGGTTTTGCACCATCTAGAGGTGGACCACCTCACATCACAATAATGTGAAATACAAAATACCTAACAATTGCTTGTGTGGAGTTCAGGCATACAGGCCCCATGCCCAGTCTGACATCTGTTATAAAAGGGTTGCAGGGCTGGCAGCCAATGACAGGTAGTATTCCGCTAACTAGATGGATTTATTATACAGCAGAGAGCAGGTGGGGTGTTCTATAAAATGAGGGGGAGAGCCATGTACACCACCTTAAACGCATTGGAGGAAAGCGAAGCATAAACAGCTTCAAAAGCAGAGCAAGGATTTCAGATGGGTACCCCCCCCAAAAAAAACGTTGCCGGGCAGAGGGAGAACAGGGTAGGTGTATACGTAATACAAATACATTGGCACTGGCATGAGTATTTTGGAAATCGGATGATTCAAACTTTCGCCAGGAGGAAATATTTCTGCAGATGTAAAGAACAGGAAGATCGCAAGTCCTGGCAGAGGATAGGAGCGTGGTCATTGGTTATGGATGACGGCAGAGTAAAGTCAAAACAGCATCTGGGGGCCCCAGGTTCTCCACCCCCGTTTTAAGCTCCTACCCAATTAAAAACCGCAAGTGAAGCACGAGGGCACCTTAAGGTAAGCCCTTCGCTCCTCGACCAGTCAAGAATTGGGTTGTGAAAATTCAAACTAGTTCCTTCCCGTTCCCAAAATGGCGCTTCATAAAGCAGAAACGGGGACACTTATGTATACAGGAAGTGATCTGAAATCCTCGCATGGCAGTGCAGAGGCACTTTGTACTAACTCACAAATTGGGGTAGGGGGAAGGGAATCTCAAGCTCTTCTCGGGATGCGGTGTAGTGGCTCTGAAAAGAGCCTTTGGGTTGTTGGTGAAGCTGGGCGAGGGCGAGGAGCGGCTAAGCCCTCTCTCCGCGGATGCGCCGCGCCAGCTGGATGTCCTTGGGCATGATGGTCACCCTCTTGGCGTGGATGGCGCACAGGTTGGTGTCCTCGAAGAGCCCCACCAGGTACGCCTCGCTCGCCTCCTGCAGCGCCATCACGGCCGAGCTCTGGAAGCGCAGGTCCGTCTTGAAGTCCTGCGCGATCTCGCGCACCAGGCGCTGGAAAGGCAGCTTGCGGATCAGCAGCTCCGTCGACTTCTGGTAGCGGCGGATCTCGCGCAGCGCCACGGTGCCCGGCCGGTAGCGGTGAGGCTTCTTCACGCCGCCCGTGGCCGGCGCGCTCTTGCGAGCCGCTTTGGTGGCCAGCTGCTTGCGAGGCGCCTTGCCGCCCGTCGACTTGCGAGCCGTCTGCTTCGTCCGAGCCATCTTTGGGGCGCGTTTGCACTCACGAAGACACCGCGAGCAGCCCTCAACCAGCCGCAACTGCAACTCCGAATAAAGGAGCGAGGCGATCGCGACCCTTTATTTATAGTGCTCTCGTGTCTCTGTCCCCATTGGCTGACATCAGTGGAGCAGATTCTCATTGGACAGCTTCTCCATTCGAAAACTCCCGCTTTGGTTTGTGTCACCTACGGACCGCCTCCTAGCAGCTCTATAGATAATTTTTTTCAGCGGCGAGTTTCCCCCGAATATTTACCCTCTAAAATCAAGCAGATTCTGCCTTTTCTGTTCAGTGTTGTTCAGTACCAGCCGACAGGCTCTTTGCTTGTATAAACTCTCTCTCACTAGAAGCTCCTTTGCTAAGCTTGCCTAAATCTTTTATATAAGATCTTCTTGTTTGAGAACATTTTGGACTGTCTCTTCATTTTAACGTTTTTCAGCGATTAGTGATATTGACAGGAAAAGACAAACATTTACTGTTTAGGGTTGAACCTCCCCTTCCCGATTTCTCATAGTTTACAGCGCACTTTTCTTGAGGTTTTTTTATTATTATCCCAAAGTGCGTGAACTTCAGCTCGTGAGGTTGGAGCCTTTAACATCCTTGGGTGTAAAATCCGTTTAACTCAGAGGGAGCTATTTCCTTGTAGCTATTTCCAGTAATTTCTATGGGAGAGCACGTCAAAGTCCAGGCGAAGGGGGGGGGATCCCATTGATTCCAATTCAAATATACTGTACCTAGCTGTGGCCGCATCTAGGAAATAAGGCTCACATTAGTTAATGGGACTTGTTCCCAAGTTAGTTTGTTTAGAGATGCAGCCTTAACAAGGGGAATCGTATTTTTCACAAACGGTCACCTGTGGAGTTGTCTATTTACACGAACTGTTACCCACGAGAAGCATTTATATATATACATATATAGGATTTTGACGCCAAGTGACTTCGAAATACACTCCTTTGAAAGCAAGATGGCTTTTATCTCAGAATGTGCTGTAAGACTGAGGAGTGAACCTGCCCTTTTCACTTTGAGACTAAGGACCACCTGGAGTCTAATCGTTGTTTTCCAGGGGTTTGTTCTGAAAAAAACATAGATGGATTTTAATTATTTATTCAAATTCCTATAACATTCTTAAGGTATCTAAATCAGTCTGCATAAAATAGAGCTGCCGTGAAGTCCAACAGTCAGTCACATACCTTGTGGGTTGTAATTTAAATTCTGCATTAAACTCTTGAATAGTGTTTGTGTGTGTGATCATACACTATCAATATAGTATTGGCTTTGAATGTACCTAAATAATACAATATTTAGCACCTTTTCTATAGCGCAGGCGAGCTGGTAAGGGCTTGGCCGATTAGCAATGGTGAATCTATTTTGTGTAGTCTTGTGTTACCTCCGTTTACTTGAAGTCCACCTGCAACGAGGAGACTAGCTTAAAAAACTCACACCACGTCCTGTGACAGACCTTACTGTCTGAAGATGTGACCCGCACAGTTTTTCGGGTGTTTTGGGGGCTTACATTGCTTTAATTTACAAAGAAAAACAAAAGTTTCGCTCTTGGGAGGTCTCCCCAGCTCCTGCAGCCGAGCCTTAAGAGCCCTTTTCCAAACGTTGCCTTTACTTTTGCGCTTTCAAAAAAGCAACGAATGCGAAGCACCCTTCCCTCTTCGCCCCGGTTGAGATATTTGATTATTTGGTGGTCGGTATGGTGTAAAAATCGCACTTTATTAACTCGAAAGAAACACAAACTGGGCGCTCGAAAGAGTTCCTGTCTGCCTGGCAGAGGGGCGGGCCCTGCAGCGGACCAATCGCGAGGCAGCTCCTCTCTATAAATAAACAGCGGCTGACCTACTTGAGCTCACTTTTCTTCTGTCGGGAATCTTTTTTGTGTGTGTGTCGCGCATCTCTCTCTCCTCGCCATCATGTCCGAAACGGCGCCCGCGGTTGCCGTCAGCGCTGCTGCTCCTGTCGTGGCCTCCAAGGCTCCGGCCAAGAAGGCGAAGAAGGCTAGTGGCGGCGCCAAGGCGCGCAAGGCTTCGGGCCCCAGCGTCACCGAGCTGATCACCAAGGCGGTGGCGGCGTCCAAGGAGCGCAAAGGGGTGTCTCTGGCGGCGCTGAAGAAGTCCCTGGCGGCCGGAGGCTACGACGTGGAGAAGAACAACAGCCGCATCAAGCTGGGCCTGAAGAGCCTGGTGAACAAAGGCACCCTGGTGCACACCAAGGGCATCGGCGCCTCGGGGTCCTTCAAGATCGGCAAGAAGGCCGGCGAGGGCAAGGAGAAGGCGCCCAAGAAGAAGGCGGCTGCCGTCAAAGCCAAGAAGCCCGCCGCCAAGAAAGCCGCGGCCGGCGGCGTCAAGAAGCCCAAGAAAGCCGCGGCGGCCAAGAAAAGCCCTAAGAAGCCCAAGAAGCCGGCGGCTAAGAAGGCGGCTAAGAGCCCCAAGAAAGCGGCCAAGCCCGTCAAGCCCAAGAGGGTCGCCAAGAGCCCGGCCAAAGCCAAGGCGGTGAAGCCCAAGACGGCCAAGCCGAAGGCAGCCAAGCCCAAAGCGGCCAAGGCTAAGAAGGCGGCGCCCAAGAAGAAGTAGACGTGCCCCGGCGCGCTGCTAAAAAACCCCAACGGCTCTTTTAAGAGCCACCCACCTCCTCCTAAAAAGAGCTTGTCACAAATGTACATACACTCTTGCAATATATAGATACATACACATACACACGCCTGCCACAGTATATCTTGCACATGTTTGGTCAGAATTTCAGTCACTGCTCCTGGGACCGCGCAGAATTATTAGCCTGAATTTCTAGAAATTGGGACATTAGATCGGCCTCTTTAGCGGGATACTAACTTGCTCTGGGTTGGTTGGTGCGCCAGTCTGGAATCCTGTAGCTTCTTGAGTAGAGTGGATCTAGTTAGGCGGGCACGGAAGTGAAAGAAGGGGAGGGATACGCTTTTATCCCAGAAAAGTTAATTTCTAAAAAGTTATTTTTAAAAACTAGAACTTTGAGCCCATGAATAAAATCAGCTTGAAAGTATTGTTGCGGAAAGATGGGGGAGAAGCCGCGCTACTTGATTATCCAACTTAAAGGTGTGCTTTTTGGGGGGGGTGTATTTGTGTGAATTAATCCTTCTTCGGTGAGAATTTTTACAACTTTTATGCTGCACTCATGCATAGTTAGGAGCACACGGTGTCGCTAGTAGGATTTATTTCTGCGCCAAAATACATAGAACTGGGTTTCGGTTTTCCTGAAAGTAAGTCCCATTTAAACATAAAGCAGTTTAATTCTGAGTCAATATGTTTAGGACTCGGATTTACAAAGTATTAAAACAGCCCGGTGCTTGTGGCAAACCGCTGTCAAAAACTAAGAAACATTGTACCACGTGTCCAGGGTTAGATTGTCTCGGTTGTCAAAATTTGCTGGCTAGTTCTTAAAGGGTCCTACGATTCACGGCAATTAGCTACTAGATGAAGCACCTTCACACTGTCAGTCAATGCCAGCTTCTGCTCAGTCCCGTTGAATTCGGTGTATTTACTTTAAAGAATTTAAGACAATTTAGAAGGGGGCGACTTTCAAACTTTTAAAATAGTTTTTTGTGACTGAACGATCGCTTATGCCATGTCGAACGGCAGGTCTTTCATTTTCCCGTCAGAGTCGGTGTGAGTTGTGATTGGCTGAAACCGAGATATTGCTTCAAAACCAGCCAATGGACACTCGGCATCTGACTGACCAATCATGAACGAAAAGCGAACGCTTGTAACTCTTTGCGATTTCTCAGCCAATAGGAAATGAAGAATACAATTCTTTCATTTGCATATCGCCAATATAAAAAACAGCAGCGCTCGTGAGCCCGAGGTGACTGGAGAGCGCATGAAAACGCAGAGATGCCGGAGCCAGCGAAGTCAGTGCCGGCTTCCAAAAAGGGATCCAAGAAAGCTGTGACGAAGACTCATAAGAAAGGCGATAAGAAGCGGAAGAAAGTTAGGAAAGAGAGTTATTCTATCTATGTCTACAAAGTTCTGAAGCAAGTTCACCCGGACACTGGCATTTCATCCAAAGCCATGAGCATCATGAACTCCTTCGTGAATGATGTTTTTGAGCGCATCGCTGGGGAAGCCACCCGCTTAGCGCACTATAACAAGCGCTCCACTGTCACCTCGAGAGAGATTCAAACGGCTGTCCGGCTCTTGCTGCCCGGGGAGCTGGCTAAACACGCTGTCTCCGAGGGCACGAAGGCTGTCACCAAGTATACCAGCTCCAAGTAAATTACCGCCACTCACTGCAACCTAACGGCTCTTTTAAGAGCCACCTATTTTTTTTCATTAAGAGAGCTTTACGACACTTCTATCCCCTACTAAAAGTTTAATGCAGTTTAGTAATCTGCAGTTTTATAAGAGTAGATTAATAAATGAGCAAATTAAGTTAAATTTGGATATGCAGAAGATATTACAGTTAAATTTAAGGAGCCGCAGAATGGGGGAAGGAAGTTTTGAAATGCTTAAAAAATTGTGAAGTTGGTGAAATGTATAAATCTGAAAGCATATATATATATATATATATATATATAGTTTAATGCAGTTTAAATATAAACCATCTCCCTACTATATGCAGTAGTTAAAAGCTAAATGACCAATAAACAAATGATCGAACAAAGCAGATACCCTAGAGCTCCTTTCATATGATTCTCCTGCGGTGAATAAATTTTACTTCGTTGTGTCCCAGATGAAATCTTAGTTTTATATGCACAGAAAGAATGACTGATAGTTGCAGAAAACCGAATTGGGAAGCAGTTTTCTAGTAATAACAGTTGGGTAATTTGAATTACCCGCGCTTTGCAGTTATTGGTGAGCTGTAGCCAGCTCCTATATACGGTTTGTAGACGTGCGGTTGAACAACAAAAGTGGCCAGTGCTTCGAAGTTCCTAATGATTAGTATGCATGCAATCTCCAAGTTATTTTTTTAGAATTCACTTATTAAATGTTCGTGAAATGGGTAGGATTACTGGAAGTGCAGAACACCTTCGGAAAATACAGTCCCGAATGAGGATATCTTATTACATAAACAGGGTTACATACAGGCGCACACAAACAGTTCCTAAGCGATGTGGCTTTTGTGAGGCAGCTGAATAAACATGGACACGTATTTTCTACTTTTAATAATATTAAAAAGGTGATTTATGTGAACGAGACACTACACGACCCTTAGGTTTACACGTAGCTTGGCATTCCCCCGCCCCTGGCGCCTACGCAATGCAAAACGGAGGGAGAAATTTAAAAAGCGAGAGGCTGACGATTTTTAAACGTCAATGCGCGCCTTTTCAAACTGTCGAATGAGCTTGAGGTTTTGTAATTCCAACCAATCCAGAAGTAGAATGTATCCAATGGCGAGAGCTGTTCATCTGGCAGTAGCCAATCAGAGGGCAGAACTAGTGTATAAATTTTGCCTTCTGCGCTCAGCTTTTAGTTCTTTTCTGCATTTGCGAAGATGGCTCGGACGAAGCAGACGGCTCGCAAGTCGACGGGCGGCAAGGCGCCTCGCAAGCAGCTGGCCACCAAAGCGGCTCGCAAGAGCGCGCCGGCCACGGGCGGCGTGAAGAAGCCTCACCGCTACCGGCCGGGCACCGTGGCGCTGCGCGAGATCCGCCGCTACCAGAAGTCGACGGAGCTGCTGATCCGCAAGCTGCCTTTCCAGCGCCTGGTGCGCGAGATCGCGCAGGACTTCAAGACGGACCTGCGCTTCCAGAGCTCGGCCGTGATGGCGCTGCAGGAGGCGAGCGAGGCGTACCTGGTGGGGCTCTTCGAGGACACCAACCTGTGCGCCATCCACGCCAAGAGGGTGACCATCATGCCCAAGGACATCCAGCTGGCGCGGCGCATCCGCGGAGAGAGGGCTTAGCCGCTCCTCGCCCTCGCCCAGCTTCACCAACAACCCAAAGGCTCTTTTCAGAGCCACTACACCGCATCCCGAGAAGAGCTTGAGATTCCCTTCCCCCTACCCCAATTTGTGAGTTAGTACAAAGTGCCTCTGCACTGCGATGCGAGGATTTCAGATCACTTCCTGTATACATAAGTGTCCCCGTTTCTGTTTTATGAAGCGCCATTTTGGGAACGGGAAGGAACTAGTTGCATTTTCACAACCCAATTCTTGACTGGTCGAGGCGAGGAGCGAAGGGCTTACCTTAAGGTGCCGTCGAGCTTCACTTGCGGTTTTTAATTGGGTAGGAGCTTAAAACGGGGGTGGAGAACCTGGGGCCCCCAGATGCTGTTTTGCCTCTGAACTGCGATGCGAGAGGGGAGCACATTTAAGTCGAAGGAGCTGCGGAGCCTTCGCTGGTTAACTTGGTACCGTTAGGCATGCGTGAAAATAGTAAGTTTACTCCGCATAGTTCATATAACGTAGACAAACCACTGAGTTCATTTTTATATTGAAAAGTTTCCTTTAAATTGGGTATTGCCCTATGTCTTCGCACAAGGAACTGATCCCCGTTTTTCTTATCTCCGCCTCTACAACTCGCTGTATGGATCGTTTTTAAGTGTTTAGTTTCGTCTTAAGCCTTCCATAGGTCTGGGAAAGTCTTGGTGGTTTCTTCCTGTCTGATTGGCGGGAAGCTTGAGACGTTAAGCTTCAAACCAGAAAAGCCCGCGCTCTGCCCTCTTCGGTTGCTCCAACCATCTTTTAGGAGGCGTGTAAGGCGGGAAGTTTGAGCGAGGCCCTTTCCGCTCCCGATTGCTTTCCTACTCCGTCCGAATCCGAGAGAATTTCGGCTTGATCTTTAATTTTACTGCTGCAGCTTCCTCCAGTTCTTCGAAATAAAAACAAAAACCACCTTCGTACGCTGCTTTCTGTATGCTTAGTAATGCCTCAAACAAAACTAAATGCTCTTTCTTTCTGAATAAATAACTCTCTTACAGCTGATGCAGAAAGAACCTCAGACACAGTCATATTGGCGCGGGTGAGAGAAGATGTGAAGGCTGTGCTGAGTCGGAGCTGCAGCGAAAAGGAAGGCCCTTCTTTAAATTGGCTTCCCTGCTGGCCATCTGCCCTTGGCAGTAACCACTGTGCCCACTGAGCTTTTCTAGTTCTTATAAATTTTTGTACTTCTACAAGTGTTCAGGTTTACTTGAGCCCACTGGTGCTGTGTGTGTATGTGTGTGTGTGCGCGCGCACTGCTGTTTTAGCTACATGAAGACTTGCACTTGAATACTGTAATGAATTTGGTATTTATAAGCATGTATATGACACTGCATGTTTCTGGAATTGCACTTGGCGGCTTGATTAGCTCAAAGCTAGCTGTTGTCCTTCTGAGTATGAATGAGTGTGTGGTTTCTTGTGGTTCTCACAGCAAAAAATAAAATAAAAAATCCATTCAGTTCTCTTACATGGCACTTTCCCCTCTTTTGGGTTTTGTTCAGATCCAGAAGTACTCGTATGGCGGCGTTATAAATGAAAATACACTTTTCACCTTTGCAACTATGTTCTTATTTATTTATTAAGAAAACACAGTATGCTTTGTTTTCTATAAAGATACCAAAGTGCTAGTTGTTTTAGGGATATCTAGATGGATCCCAGGGTGGTGTTCAATAATAACAGCAAAATACAATAAAAACAATTGGGGAGCTGCAGTATGGGGGATATGTTGTGATTACCCTGTGATAAGGAACAGGCCATAGGCAGCTGCCAGCACCCACTATTTGATTCCCCCGCAGTGCTTCGGAAGTAGTGTTACTCCTAGGCATTCTGGGAAATAAAAATGGTCACGCCTGCTGTGGCTCTGCTGCCAGGGGATAACCACTGAGGGTCCCACCAGAGGGCATCTTGCCAGGGAGGGGCCCTCAATTCTAAAGCGGGTTCTGATAAGTAAAGGGTGCATTCTACAACTGGGCTAGCCAATGTGGTGCCCTCCAGATGTTGCTGAACTACAACTTCCACCATCCCTGGCCATTGGTCATGCTGGCTGGGGCGGCTGGAAGTTATAGTCCAACAACATCAGGAGGGCACCATGTTGCCTACAGTTGACACCTTGGAGGCATTTAGTAGCTTCAGGTTCCAGGCCTCTGCATGACACTGAAACTGCGATCCATAACTGAAATTAAGGCCTGTTTCAATGTCTTTTCATTTTTGTACCTTGTAACTCCTGTTTGTTTGTGTGTGCGTGCATGTGTGAATAGTGTTAACCAGGCCAGAAGTTTGATATATTTCCCTGCATTATCACACCCTTATAAGTAAATTTATTAGCTGGGTGAGTGGCCGAGGGTATCATTTGGTGGGATGTGTCAGAAAACATCAAAGCAGCCTTGCAAAAGTCATGATGCAATATGCTTCTCTCCTCACCCCACAGTCACCAAGCTGTTAGTGCATCCTTGCTAGTATCAAGCTGTCAGGAATAATCTTAAATGCACTCTAGAACCTAGGTGGGCAGTCTGTGTCGCAGGTCAAATGATGGATGGCTTGCGTTTTGCTGGATACTTTGGAGAAGCACACACATTTTGTTATCAAAGCTAACAATTTGTAAACATTTGAAACACTCAGAGCGTCCCAATATCTTCAGCATTAAAAGGGAACTGATGCACAATTTAAGATTATGAGACATTTAGGAAGTGCCACCTGCTGCATCTCAGGAATCACCTGCTGCATCAGGCAAGTGTTTGGATGTTGGCACTTTATGCTTAGGAACATTGCGTGGAGTCAGAACAGAGATAACAGCCACCTGGGATTAGAAATGGAGGGCTAAGGAAAACTGCCAGTCGCTTGCAAGCTGAAAAAAATTCTATTCATGCTTCCCGATCAGTTAACCTTTCCTAATGATCCATAAAAATAAAGAATTTTGTGATTAACATCTAGTGCTCATATGATGTAGCTCAGCTCTCCTTAGACAGTTAGTGCCCAATAAATTAAATAAATGTGGTGTTGCCTCCTTTGATCACAGAGCAAAGGGAACATCTTTTTTTTTGCAAAGGGAACATCTGAGCCCTGCTTTGGTACTTCAGAATGCAACGGGGCAGCAATCTGAAATAAAGGAGCTGAAGTGGGGTGGGGGTGGGGGAGGGAAACCAACCAAGTTGAAAGCCCATCTACCATCTCTTCCCTTGCCTCACTAATGAAACATTCTTTGTTAAGCCATGCCTACACGATACGATCTTGATAACCACATGCCACAAGCAGAGTGCAGGAATGACCAAGATGTCCCTACAGGTGCCTGCACCTGATTCTGTTTCAAAGGCTGTCCTTTGCCAATGAGCTAAGCCACACACCTGTCTCTTCCTTGTCTCATTAGTGGAGCTGGCTGGAGGCTTCTGTCAGCCTTTAGGCAAGAGTATCTAGGGAGACTGAGATATTTGGGGGGGGGGATTTTGCACACCCAAATTCCTTCCTTTTTTTGCAGTGCTGTGGGGTGAACCTATAAAACCAGGCCAGGCATCAGCTGGTGTTTGACCTGGACAAGCCCATAGAAGCAGCCATAGTCACCAACCTTTAAAAAAAATTAGCACAAATTGACTGAATTTTTCCATCCCGTAGTCATGCTTTTGAAAATATGTCCCATGTTTGAAAATGTAGTCCAATGTAGTTTGTTTCTGCCCTTGATCTCCTTTCTGTGGTGCAATGATTTTTGAGAGCTCTAGTTACCCCAGACATTATAAAATACTGTAATGAATTAGGAACTTTCAGTAGGGGAAATTGCAAGCTTCCAGAGCTGAAGGATGGTGGTTTCTACAGCTTTTTGCTGTAGGGTCTCCTTCTGCACCACCAGCTTCTGCCCCTCCAGGCTATGCATAAAGCCTTCATAGATAATTCAAATTTTCCCAGTGCAGACTACATTGATAGACTGGGCTACAAACTGGAAATCCATGATTTTGCCACCTTAAGCAGAATGGGACAAGGGCTTACCCATGCAAATTGGAAATGACCTCTAAAAACCCCAACAGTATCATGGAGCACTCTGAGGTGCCCAGAGATAGTTGGCATGGCGGATGTCCATTTAGCTGCACTGTCCTAGGCAACTGCCTAGTCTACCTGTACGTTAGGCCTTGAATCTTAAGTACGCACTATACCTTTAAAGAACATTCAAATCACATTCTTTCCCTCAGAGAATTCTGGGCACTGTAGTTTAACCCTCACAGAGTTACAATTCCCAGCAGCCCTTAACAAACTACAGAGTCCAGAATTCTTGAAAAGGGGAAAATGTGCTTCGAATGTGCTTTAAAGTTATTGTATGTACACAGCCTGAAACATTTAAGTGGAACAAACTAACAGGCAGAATTACCCAGATCCTAGACAACCTTTTCATGATTTCTGTATGGGAGTAAAAATTGCAGCTATTTTGAAATCTTTTGGTATAAACAGTATTAGGTTAAGTAAATTGACAACTTACATTTATGATATTGTCTGGTAGAATGCTATTTTATCATGACAACAAATGTAATTGAATTCAGTATGTCTAATATTAATAATAATAATAATAATAATAATAATAATTATTTATTTATTTATATGCTGCCCACCTGACTGGATTGCCCCAGCCACTCTAGGTGGTTCCCAACAAAAATTAGTAAAAACACAATACAACACAATACACTAGAAACTTCCCTGAACTACTTCTGAGTAGAAATGGTTAGTTACGGTATCTAGTTTTCAGTTTTATGTGTACACCACAACTTTCTGTTGTGTATGAAAGGTATGAATAATGTTTCATCTTTTGGAATTTGACTGCTATTTCTATGTTCTGGCTGGTCCTGTTAAGTCAGTCACACCATGGACCCATTATATCTTTATCTTGCCAGATAAAAAGCAGTGCCCAAGAACTGCCCTACTGCTCAAAGCTTTCCCAGCTATAAGACAGCCTGGCTTGTGTGGGTACATTGGATTTCGAAGTTTTGAGGAACAGCCTGAGCAGAAGGAGCAAAGTGGTTTATCTGAAAGGAATGGAGAAGGTCTCGGATGCTGAAGCAAAGATGCTGAGAACTCTGTAGAGTGTTCCAAAAAGCGGATAAAATAACAAACATGTTACGCAACTCTGCATTTCTGGTTATTGCTGCTCTGCATTGGCTCATAACACACAAACGTAAGTACAGTTTTGATTCAGTACTTTGGTAGACAGATTGACCCTAAACTGTTTGGGACATGTGGACTTTACTGGATCCAGCAAGGTTACTTGTGTTTGTATATTTGGGGCTAAAAAGTACTGCCAGGACCCAAAGAAGACAAATTGTGTTCCATATGTACACAATATCCCTAATTATATCATACCTTAGTACAGATTTTAATTGTAAGCCACTTTGAGAGCCCACTGTGGCTGGAAAGCAGGATAGACATATGATCAGTAATAAAATAAATTGTTCAGCCTCACTCATCATGAGGATCCTGTTGACTGTAATCCATGAAATATAAGTGATCAAATATATGTGATCAAAGACAAAATCACAGCCAGGGCCCAAGTGACAACGTAATGATATAAAAATGATGATTATTTAAACATGAACAGCTATACATGTAAACATATGTGAGTATGCTTCATGACTTTCGTGAGCATGCACACTTCTTCAGATACCTGAAGTATTTGAAGAAGTGTGCATGCACACGAAAGCTTATACCCAGAACAAACTTAGTTGGTCTCTAAGGTGCTACTGGACAATTTATTTATTTATTTCGACTGTGTCAGACCAACACAGCTACCTACCTGAATTGGTAATTGCTGTTCTTTTTTCCAGGCAGTGCTGGCAATGTTGCCATTGCAGATGCTTCAATAATCCCAGTTGGAGGTAAATCCTGAGTGTGTCTTATTTCAACGTAAACCCTTCCTTATCCCACTTGCCTGAGATGGCATATGTAATAATAATAATATTTTTGCTGTTGCTGCTGTTTGTTGGAATTTGTTGCCTGCCCTTCGCCACAAGGTCCTGATGTGGGATATACATTCATTCAACAAAATGGCATTAAAGCATCGTTTTAAACCACAAAAGGCACAACGATTACTACAGGGCAAGAGGGTGGGGGACAGAACTATCTGATCTTGTCTGCTCCCCAGAGGCTGAATTAAGATGTGTCTTTTGCTGGCTACAAAATATAAGAGAAGGAATAGAGGGAAATGATTCACTCTCAAATTATAAAACCAGGAGTCTTGCATGACTATTTGCATGGGTGGCGGCTGCAGTCAAGTGCAGATGCCTGATTTTGGGAAATGCTAGGAAAACAGTACTTCCTGATGTCTGCTGAAAGTAAACTGCTGTGTGTGGTTGTGCATGCAATAAGCCTCTTTTGGACTGCAGGCTACTACTGTGTAAACTCGACAATTCTGTGATTCTATGTCTGATGTACAGACTCCTCCTGAGTTCACTGTGCACCCAGATGGTTGTGTGAATAGACCTTCAGAGTCATTCATCAAAACCAAAATCAGATTCAAGTGCGTGAGAGAGGCAGCAAAATATCTCTTCACACAGTTGTATATGGTTAACATGTGAAACGCCACTAGCACACTAGTATAAACTGATAGATTAGACAACTTGCATCAAAGATAAGTAAGTGGCTATGAGCATTGACAGCTAGATTTGTATCTTCTATATTGAGAGATAATATATTCAGAGATAATAAATCCTTTAAGTTGGAATTGCGTAAGACTCATGATCTCATGGGTTGGAACCCCATGTTGGGTGAAAGAATCCTGCATTGCAGGGGGTTGGACTAGATGACTCCGGGGTCCCTTCCAGCTCTGCAATTCTATGCTTCTAAGTACCACATTCTGGGGACAAGAGAGAGTGTGGATATTGCCATAACACCCTTTTTTCTGAACTGCCACAGAGCATCCAGTTAGCCACTGTCACAAAGACTGAATGGGATTTTAAGTGGACCATTATATGATCTGACTTCAGTTCAATATCCATGTGCTATCTGTGTTTCTGCTTTTGTTTTGGCAGTAAATAGAGGTTCTTCTTTTTCTCCACATCCCCTCCAGATCCTAACATTGCAGTGGGAAAAATGTCGTCCCAGTCCAGCACATATGAAGAAAAGGGGAAGTCAAAGAAGGCCATAGATGGTTCACTGGCCAACAGTTATGCTAATGGAGACTGCACCCTGACGAGGAAGGATTTTGAGCCCTGGTGGATGGTAGATTTGAATTCAGCATTTCAGGTATCTGCTGTGGTGATCACAAACAGAGGAGACTGTTGTGAGTCAAGGATAAAAGGAGCTGAGATTCTCATTGGAGATTCACCACAGAAGGGAGGCACGATGAATCCCAGGTATTTCTCTGCTGTTAACAAATGTATGGTGATGGAAAACCAATAAAGATGACATGCAATATGATCTTACTTGGAAGTGAGTCCTGTAGGGTTCAGTGCAACCTACTTTCAATAAACTTTTCTTAGGATTGGAACCTTAGACCCAATCCTAAAAATATTTTTGTTGTGACTAAGTCCCATAGATTTCACTGGAGCTTACTATTTATTGTTTGTTTTTACGCATTTAGCACAATTTATATACCACCTGATGTGCAATCACCTTATCAAAAAACAAAGACTTTCAAGCTGTTTGCAATGTTCCGAGAGTGAATCTGCTGTAGTTTTCGCTAGCAGGTTTGTTAATTATACATAACTGAAAAAATAGACAGATCTGGAAGTCAGTTAGTTGTGTTGGTTTCCAGAGGACTTGGGGGATTTGGAATCTGCAGTATAAGACCATTGATTCCTCACTGATGATGTTGGCAGGGCTCAATCTGAAAAAAATGTACTACTAAAACATGAACATCCTAACCCTCTCAGTTAAATAAACGGAGAGGCTGCTTCTTGGTTTTAACATCTATTGCATCAGCCACTCTTGTAGTCCATCTGTATCTCCTCTTCTCTCCCTTTGGAGGGACGAGCCTGGAAGCTTGGACTATGTTGCCAACTGCCAGGACCCAAAGAAGACAAATTGTGTCCCATACATACACAATATCCCTAATTATATCATACCTTAGTAAAGATTTTAATTGTAAGCCACTTTGAGAGCCGACTGTGGCTGGAAAGCAGGATAGACATATGATCAGTAATAAAATAAATTGTTCAGCCTCACTCATCACGAGGACTGAACCTGTTGACTGTAATCTATGAAATTGGTAGTTTCCAAAAGATATTCTGGAGGATGCTGTCATTGCATGGAAGCTTCCTAGGGGGTTTTCGGTGAGAAGTCTAGTAATGGTGAACACATCATCTAGATGGTGCACAAACTAAGAGCTTGTGGACTCTCCTTCCTTGGAGGTTTTTAAGCAAAGGTGGATGGCCATCTGTCAGGGATGCTTGAGTTGATATTCCTGCATTGCAGGGGGTTGACTTGAGGTCCCTTCCAGCTATGATTCTAGGAATCCAAACATCCCCAAGCATCAGCTTCCTCACCACTGCTAGTCTCTCCCTGCATAATGCAGCTATAGGCAAGTGTTGAATATGGTTTCCTTGTGTGTATGAATAATATGTGTATGAATAACATGCAGAGTAAGATAGACCTGTTGTATTAACAGAGTAAGTATTCAAGAGCAAGGGCATCCAGTATGGTCCCCTCCAGATACTACGGACTCCAACTCCCATCAGCCCTGGCAAGCATCATTGGCAATCAAGACTATAGAAGTTACAGTCCAGTGACAGCTGGGAGGTACCACATTGCTGCAGAACGTGCTGTAGAATTGTCTACACTTCTGCATAGTTGAGCTATGGCATCTCGATCACAATATGTAGTGATGACCACTGTCGCAGATGACTTTGAAAGGGGATCCAATAAATTCATGGAGGATATGGCCATCAATTGCTACTAGCAATGAAGGCTGTATATTGCAACCAGCATCAGAGACAGTATGTTGGGGAGTATGGTCAGGGGAGTGCTGCTACACTCATGTTCTGCTTGTATTGTGGCTTTCCATAGGCAACTGGTTGGCCATTGTGAGAACAGGATGCTGATGTAGATAGCCCTTTGATCTGGTCCAGCAAGGCTCCTCTTAGGACGTTTAACTGCAAAGAAATGATTGAGCAAAATGTTCTGTGTCTCTTGCTGATATCATTGATCCTTTTGGCCTAAATATTGGTGGGGTTCCCATATTTCCATGTGCCATATCTCCACTGTGCTCTGAGGTCATGCCGCTGAGTAATGCTCTAGTTGCTTTGCAGGTGTGCTACAATCAACAGCATGGGGCGTGGGGAAACCATGTCCTTCACCTGTGCAGGGATGCAGGGCCAGTATGTGACCATTACAATCCCGGGGAGATACGAGTTCCTCTCACTCTGTGAAGTGCAAGTTCTCGCACACCCATGGCTCCATGTGGGTGAGTAGATGGCCTCTGTTGTGGATTTGATGTGCACAGCAAAGGAACGTGTTGTTCATGCGATGCGGGAGAACCAAATCACTGATTGTTAGAAAACCCCTATTATCACAACTCAGGTGAGAGAGGGCCTTCCTGCCTTTTCTAGAGCTGACCCATGAATAGATAATGTCTGTAGCTGCCAATGGGGCTGCATTGCTCTTCCATCTTTCCAACATTGTGTGTCACTACAACTTCTGGGGGGTGGGCAAGGCAGTGGGAGTTTGGCATGGTGTGAGAGGAGCAATGGAAGCAATCCAACGCTCTAGCTGCTGCATGTATTTTGTACCCGCAGCACATGACGTTCCTGCTGCCTTGCCTCCCCTCTTGGTAACAGGCAGGGAAAAGACAGCCGGGTAATATTCTAGTCTATGTTAGTCCTATTCACCGTTGAAGTCAATAGACAGGACTAACTTAGGTTTCTTAATTTCAAAGGGTCTACTCTGACTAGGACGTTGTTGGACACAACCCCAGGAGAGCAACACAGCCCCACTGGCTGCTACTGGAGAACAGTATGTCTGTCGATGGGGAGTAGAAGCTTCTCCTGCCTCCACATCTACTCTTCTGCTGGAACTTCACCTCTCTCTTTCCGTTCCTGATGTATGACAACCCACAGTTTCGTCACATACATTTGGGTTGTTGTTTTTTAAAAAAGCAAATAATTTATTAATTTCATACAACCCATACAAAATTTAAACATCAAGAATATTATAGAAGTTTACTATCATAGACAGACAGATAATAAAAAGCATATATACTTTCAGCTCCTGTCAGACATAATCTTCATTTTACTGAAACCTGCTCTTATATTTTCCCTGACATAATATGTTTCAGAACTTCATAGAGCTATGTAATCAATTCCCTGCCTTAAAATTTGCAACTCACCCTTTATGTATTGTGTTGCCAGGTTCCGCCCACTAATGACACTAATAACTTCTCTGAACCTCTCTCTCTCAGCTGTTAATTTTACAGCATTTAGCTGTTCTGATATCTTTCTTGCTAAGTCTCTGTTATTATGTTTCTGATTAATTATCCAGGCTTTTGCATATAGTATTTTAGCTAGAGTTATAATATATATAACACTTGGTTTTGATCGCATACTCTTATATGGTCTTTTACATAATATTTTACATGAGGAGGTCCAATGAAACCTAGCAGCCCAATATTTCATGAAGGACTGTAATAACCATTTGCCTTATTTCATTTCCACCAAAGGTGAAAGTTTGGTTACATAACACTTGTGAGTAACGTGAATATTTTTCTCACCAGTGTCAGAAGCTCAGACGTGTCATTTCTTTTGCAGTTCATGATGGTGGACGGAGCCCTGTGAGAGACAGCGAAACTGATTTAGGTAAGTGCTCAGTTGTGTGTTGGACTATGACTCCCATCGGCTCCAGCCAGCCATGACCAAGGATGATGGGAGTTGTAGTTCAGAAGCATATGGAGCTCCACATGTTCCCCGCTGCTTTGCTGAACAGTGATTTCCTGTAGAAGTGCTAATGATGTTTCCCCTTCTAGGTCTGCAGGGCAGAGTTCTGAGTTTCCTTAATGAATCGAAGGAGAGTTATGTTGTCATATCTCCACTGCAGCCTCTGAATGTCATGGAATTCACACTCTGCATGAGAGTCTCAGTAGAGGATCTGAGCGATCGCAAAGTCATTCTCTTCTCCTACCGCTCTCAAAAGGACGAACTGAGGATCTTGCGTGAGGCAAAGGGCTGCTTTGGCTTACACATGGGGGGTCAGAGTGTGATGTTTGCCCTCCCCGATCTCAGCACTTTGGGAAGTCATATGTGTGTCACCTGGGAAGCTGAGTTTGGCCTCACCGCCTTTTGGATGAATGGGAAAAGGAGCGTCCGAAAAGTGCACAACGTAGGGCATATTGTTCAGTCGGGGGGCACTGCAATGCTTGGATGGGATCAGAGTGCACAAAATCCATCCGAACAGCAGGAACGGCATTTTGTGGGGGAAATAACGGATCTCTACATGTGGGATTATGTACTGAAATCTCAAGACATTCAAGATGTGTTCCAGGTCCACCAGTTTCCTAGAGGAAACATCTTTGACTGGAAAATGTTATCGTACAAGATTACGGGGAATGTGCTGGTATTACCTAAGGACTAACACCCAAGGAGGATATGGGCATTATTAAGATATGCAGGAGATCTTTTGTCTTCCTCCTTTGCAAAAGAATAGACGAAAAGGGAAGGAGGGAAAGCACCACCTGAGATGTGGAAGTGCAGCTGGTGTCATTATTCACATTGCCTGTAATTATTCACATTGTAGGATTGTTGACTGCCGTATGAAAATTCTTTCGTACTGAAAATTGTTGAAGTAAATCATAAATTTTAAATAAAACAGCCCTATGAATAATCAAATTTGAAAACAAGATTTATTTACTCATGGCAAGCTGTTGTGTATATAAGAAAGACATATCTATAACTGTACTAGGGGCTAGAAACTTATTGTGCGTTTGCGAAAGAAAGCTGTGGATTCTTAAAACGTCTATAAAGACCTTGTGGCTTTAATAAGGGTGCTCCAGGAGATATTTGAGATGCAGCGAGCTGTGCTATTTTCATTTTTGTGACCATTATTAAAGTATGTGCACTGTTGCTGGCCTCAGTGTACTGGATAGTCTGAGTCACAAAAACCAGAAACATACAAATGAGAAGCAAAGCTGTTCCTAGCACCAAGGATCAGACAATCTAAACTTGAAGTACTTAGGGATGCAACAAAGGGAGATGAAAGAGTGACAAAGAGCACTGCTGCTGTGCAGGCTACAGTCTCTAAGCCCACTGCAGGCTAAAGTTAAATAAAATTCCAAAAAATAAGCTCTGTGGAATAATTATATGAGCAAACATCATGTCATTCAGGACAAAGTTGTGAAGAGTGCTGATGAAATTAGAAATAGGATGAATAGTATCTTTGCACTCCAATAAAATCCATCTGGGAACCTACGGGAGATGGGTTATTGTTTATCCAGTTCAGTTGAAAATGTTTTGAGTGGGGATTCAAGAATCTGACCAAGACAACGTATACACATTTTATTCTAGAATCAATGGAGACTTCATATTTGTGTTTTCTATGTAGCCCACACTCAGTCTAGGTCTAGTGCCCCCCCCCTTTATTGCTCCTCAAAAGCACTTATTCAGAAACTGGTTTCATTCTGAAAATAAAAGCTCGTTGCAGATTGATTCTGCATTACCTCACAGTATGTCCATTTCAAAAGAGATGTAGGTGGTTCTGGCAATGGGGATTCAATCTACACTTGGCCATAGACCAAGACTGCAATCACCACATCCTTCTTCGTTCACCTGGGGCATGTGCAGGGAGGAAAAGACAGGGATAACCTAATCAAGGGGAAGGTTTTCAAATGTGTATCAAGTAAGCACACACCCACTTTGTCTGATTAACTTATATACACAGTCACCTATATAGAAAAACAACCTTTATATAGAAGACTGTCCCCTAACTGCTTTTTAGAAATATGGGGCTGGATAGCTCAGTTACTACAGTGATACCTCAGGTTAAGTACTTAATTCGTTCCGGAGGTCTTCTTAACCTGAAACTGTTCTTAACCTGAAGCACCGCTTTAGCTAATAGGGCCTCCTGCTGCTGCTGCGCCGCCGGAGCGTGATTTCTGTTCTCATCCTGAAGCAAAGTTCTTAACCTGAGGTAATATTTCTGGGTTAGTGGAGTCTGTAACCTGAAGCATATGTAACCCGGGGTACCACTATACTTGCAAAGTGCTAGAACAGGCCGTACAATTTGCAGCAGAGAAATGGCAAGAGAAAGGGAATACTTAGCCTTTCCTGCCCCCATAACTTTCCTCTTCTAGTTCCTTCCCTGTTTGTTTTTACAGTCTGTGTATATTTGCCATAATAAGTAGATAAAACCAGCTTGGAAGGGAGGAAAGTACAGCATTTCCATCCTATACACTGTTCTATAAACAGTCCTGTTTATACTGCTTTGTGGATGAGAAGCAGCTTCCTAGCCCCTTAATGGCAGGTATTAATGTAGTTCCAAGATGGCGGCTTTTGATTTATTAAGATCTCCACCATTGTTTTCCTACCATGAGGTCTTCCAAGTTCTTTTTGCAGAAAGCTTTGTTCCTTCCTTTATTTGTAAACTACAGCTTCTTCTTCACTGTTACAAGTTGTGCTCAAGGAAACATGCAAAAGCCACATCCTTGGCACATGGCTACACAAAGAACCCTTCAGGCCTTTCCTGTTTTCAGATGGGTTTCAATCACATACAGGTGAATTCAGGTTTTGTAATTAACACTGACTTGGAACCCTTGAACAAAAAATAACCCTGCTCCTCCTCCCTGGCACATCAGAATTTTTGCAATAAGGAAAATAAGGGGAAATGCACTGGGAATTGTAGTCCAAAACATCTAGAACACTGGTTCCCAATTAGGGGGTCCGTGGCCCCATCCCTCGCGGCCCCCCAACTAATTTTTTGTCATTTTTGCATGGTAATATAACAAATTTTATGGTCTGTTTTAGCGCTGTGCAATTTTTCAATATACTGTACAAAAGCACTTTTGAAATCACACCACGATCAGGGGCGTAGGAAAGGGAGGCAGGGAGCCACCCCAGGTGCCATCATGGAGGGGGGTGACAAATTATCAAGGAACAATTACTGCCCTACTAGGGAGGTTCATTAAAAAAAACTTTTTAAAAAAAATGCCTGCTCCAAAGGTCTTATCTTACTACACTAGGGATGATATAGCTACATAAGAAAATCAGTTAATATCTTGACCCTCCTCCATGAAAATAGCTGTTTATTTGGCCGTTTTCCTATGTCGTGAAGGCTGAAATTTCAACAAAGCACATACCTTTGCTAGACTCTTTTCAGGCACCTGCTAAAAGCATTCTTCTTTAGGCAAGCATACCTAGATGCTTAGGAAGTTGAAGTAATTTTAATCTTAATATTTTAGCTTTTGTATGTTTTAAAGTAGGATTGTTAATTTTTCTTGATTTTACTGCTGTGGTGTTTTTTTTTGTTTTTTGTTTTGGTAAACCACTTTACAGGTTTTTAAAAATAAATTTTATTAAATAAATAGGCAATAAACATAAATAAAATAACACAAGCCAAAAGACAATCCACAGTATCTGCCCACAGTCGTCTACTTGTTATCAGAGGCTCAGAATCCACATTCCTTTGTAAGAAAATATGAAATAACGTAAAATGATTTTTGCAGGCAAAAATTAAAAAATCAAAAAAATCAGTGTGTGTGTGGGTGACAATAAATTTTCTGCACTGGGTACCACCTGACCTTCCTACGTCTCTGACCACGATAACGATTTTGAGCCAGCAAGACGCAGAAATACAGCGGTACCTCTGGATGCAAGCACAAATTCCCCCAGTGCTGCTGCGTGCGGGAAACTATCTACGGATCTAGGGTCCGTAGTAGTAGTAGTAATAACAACAACAACAACAACAACAACAACAACAACAATAATAATAATAAATGTATACCCCGCCTATCTGGCTGGGTTTCCCCAGCCACTCTTCCAACAAAATATTAAAACACAATAGTCTGTTAAATGTTAAAAGCTTCCCTAAACAGGGCTGCGTTCAGATGTCTTCTAAAAGTCTGGTAGTTGTTTTTCTCTTTGACATCTGGTGGGAGGGCATTCCACAGGGCGGGCGCCACAACCGAGAAGGCCCTCTGCCTGGTTCCCTGTAACTTGGCTTCTTGCAGCGAGGGAACTGCCAGAAGGCCCTTGGCACTGGACCTCAGTTTCCGGGCAGAACGATTGGAGTGGAAATGCTCCTTCAGATATATTGGACTGAGGCCGTTTAGGGCTTTAAAGGTCAGCACCAACACTTTGAACTTTGCTCGGAAATGTACTGGGAGCCAATGTAGGTCTTTCAAGATGGTGTTAGTGGCCGCTCCCAGTCACCAGTCTAGCTGCCGCATTCTGGATTAGTTTTAGTTTCCGTGTCACCTTCAAAGGTAGCCCCACATAGAGTGCATTGCAGTAGTCCAAGCGAGAGATAACTAGAGCATGCACCACTCTGGCGAGATAGTGTGTACCTTTTTGAGGGGGAAAGATTGTGTCTTTAGAATATTGTTTATAATAATGTCCCTTATTACTTCAGTTTAATCTGGTGAATTTAATGCATACCTTTCCAGATATGATTGCACTTGGGAAATGCATGATAGAAAAGCAGAATATAACTCACTTATGGGAAACAAACAAACAAACAAACAAACAACAACTGAACAACATCGGTGTAAAGATGATGACTAATTCCAAATGTATGACGATCAGTGTCTGAGCTAAATGGGTGCTTTGTGCAAAGTTAATTGCTGGTTCTTTGGAAGGAGGCTTAGGTAAATATGATATTAAAAGCAGGGAAAAGGCCAATGATAAATAATCATACCACTGGTTGAAAATCCTGGCATCAAGAACAGTATATCTCTGTGGATATAACATGGCTGATGCAACTCCGTATTTACAGGCTTATGGCAAAGTGAAATATACTCAGAGTCGCAAAGTGATTTCATGCTCTTTATTCAGCTCATAGTGGTGAGGAGGAATGAATGAATGTCCCCTCACAGTATCTGCTTTATATACATTATTTACACAATGGGCTGCACATGATTGGCTAATTCTGGAATTCTACTGTAAGCCAATCAGGTTGTGGATTCACTTCTATCTGGAGCAGGATTGGGTGGTTCCTGCCAACCAATCATACTGCTGCATTGTTCTAGGACCAATCAGACTGCTGCATTCTGAATCCTATTGTTCTAGGACCAATCAGACTGCTGCCTTTTGGATCCTATTGTTCTAGGACCAATCAGACTGCTGCAGTTTGGATCCTATTCAACTCAGTACATAACACCCCCCCCTCTAAGTTCCAGTCCTGCCCGGGAGGTCACATTCATAGTCCTCAAGGTATGCCGGCGGCCTACGTGTGCGTTGTGGCCTGGGGTGTTCCCTGGTCCGGGCTCCAGGTTCTGGCTCGTGTTCCAAGGATGCTGGCTGTGATGGGGCTGTTTGGTCTGGTGCAACCGGCTCGCTCAGTCGTGGTTCTGATTCCGGTGTCCTTTCGGCCTCACGGGTCCTCTCTGTATTTACTGATTCTGCCTCTCCTGCTGGCCCCTCCTGCTCTATGGGCCTCACGGCCCCGCTGTTCCCTTGGGACTCCTCTGACCTGTCCTCCTCCTGGTTTTCTCCCGGGAATCGTCGCCGTATCTGGTCGCAGTGGCGGCGCCAGCATTGCCCCCCCATCCGTTAGCACCTCGTACGACACGGGGCCAGTGACCCTGGTGACTGTGGCGGGTACCCATGCTGGGCCTGCCCCAAAATTCTTTGCGTACACTGGGTCCTGGGCCTCGAAGGTCCGGAGGTTCCTGCCTTCCGCCACCATTACCTCATCCTGAGCTCTATCGGGGTGAAGGCGGTCCAATCTGATTGCAAGGCGCCGACCCATTAGTAGTTCAGCGGGGCTCCGGCCAGTCGTTGAGCTGGGGTGCTGTGCTGTGCTAGAAGGAATGTGGCAAGGCGGTACTCCCAGTCCCCTTGCGTCATGCGGCGAAGGGTGTCCTTGGTGGTCCGCACCATGCGTTCTGCTTGGCCATTGGTGGCAGGGTGGAACGGCGCCGAACGGATGTGGCGGATGGCGTTCTGCGCTGTGAAGGTTTGGAATTCTCCTGACGTAAATGCAGTCCCGTTGTCTGAGACGAGAGTGTCAGGGAGCCCGTGGACGAAGGTGGGATCCCGCTGAGCTGACTGCCACACACAGCACCGCAGCACCGCCAACTGCCGCACCGCTGCCTCGCACCGTGTATCCAGGCTTCAGCTCCGGGACACAAGGAACTCAGAATGGCAGCCAACAGCAGCTTCTCGCCATTCAACACAGCATCTGGAGACTGGGAAGCGTACGCCTCCCGTTTCACCTTCCTCCTAGAAGCCAAAGGGGTCACCGACGAAGAAGACACCAAGAAGAGGGCGATATTCTTCAGCGTCTGCGGAGAGGAGACGTTTGAAATCGCCCGGGCTCTCCTTGCGCCTGAAGACGTCGCTACTGTTCCATACAAAACAATAATGGAACAGCTGAAGGGGCACTTTTCGCCGCAGCCCTCAGTGGTGGCTCGTCGAAATGCCTTCTACGCAAAGCGGCAAGCCCCTGGGGAAACCATAACTGGGTTTGTGACCTCTCTCCGCCAAGCCGCCCGGTTCTGCAACTTCTCAGAGCTGGAGAACATGCTTCGTGACCGCCTCGTCGGTGGCCTGAAGGATGAGAAGCTGCAACGACGCCTCTACGCTAAGAAGGACCTAACGTTCCAGGTCGCTCTGGAGGAGGCCCTGGCAACGGAAGCTGCCGAGAGGTCGACGCAAGAGGCACGGCTGAGCCTGCCATCCCAACCGAGGGTCCACCACGAAGACCTCACAGACGACTCAGGATCCGACAGGGAGGAGGTGCACCGAGTACAGCAGCGCACTCAAGCAGCGCACAGACCACAGCTGCCTCGACGAGAAGGAGGGAACTGCGCAAGCTGCGGGGAGAGTCACGAGAGGAGGACCTGCCGTTTCCACAACGCAGAGTGCAGGCAGTGCAGAAAATTGGGACACATCGCCCGGGTGTGTCGGGCTCGGCCCACCCGACACCAGGCATCAGATGACCAATCCAAGAGCCCCAGGTCCCGGGGCCCAACGCACCAAGGCAACTCGACGGAGCTCACGGACTGCCAGGTATACCAGTTGCCCCACCCCAACGTAGAGAAAATTTATGTAGAGGTACAGATAGAGGGGGCCCCATGCCGCATGGAGCTTGACACGGGTTCAACTCTATCCATAATCTCGGCAAGGACCTTAAGGAAACTGTGTCCTATTGGGGGTCCCAAACTCAGGCCGGCCCCATTCACCCTACGGGACTTCCAGAAACGTAAGGTCCCCACAATGGGGGGTGGGGACCTTCAGGGTGCAATACCGAGGGCGGACGCGGCAACTGGACTTGCTTGTGGTCAAGGGCCCCTACATTAGCTTACTGGGATTGGCATGGTTTGGACCACTGGGGCTAGCTGTCACCGGGGTGAACCACACTAGCTTACAAGTGGACGTGGACGCCATATGCAAGGAATTTCCAGGGGTTTTCGATGGGAAATTGGGACAGTATACGGGCCCCCCCATTGCGCTACAGCTTGACCCCGCAGTACGACCGGTCAGGCTCAAGGCCCGCCGGGTCCCGTTCGCCTTGAAACCCCGTATAGACGAGGAATTGGACCGACTCGTGGAGCAAGGAGTGCTGGAGCCGGTGCCTAATGCCCCCTGGGAAACCCCAATCGTCACACCCGTCAAGCCTAATGGTTCGGTCCGCATCTGCGCAGACTACAAATGTACCATAAACAAGGCCCTCACGGCCCACGCATACCCAGTGCCAGTGGTCAGCCATGTCCTTGCCACCCTGGCTGGGTCGCCAATTTTTGGCAAGCTGGACTTGGCCCAAGCATATCAACAGCTGCCAGTAGATGAGGCCACAGCAGAGGCACAGACGATTGTGACGCACAGAGGAGCGTTCAGGGTAAAGCGGCTGCAATTCGGTGTCAGCGTGGCACCAGGCATATTCCAGAATCTAATGGACTCTCTCCTTAAAGGGATTCCTGGCGTCACCCCTTCTTCGATGATGTGTTGATTGCCGGGCCCACACCAGAGGAGTTTGAGGACCGCCTCTGCACCGTTCTGCACCGTTTCCAGACGGCGGGTCTCAAGGTGAAGCGGGAAAAATGTCTACTAGGAGTGCCTCAGGTGGACTTTCTGGGATTTATGGTGGACGCAGAAGGGGTCCACCCGACTGGGGACAAGGTACGGGCCATTTGTGATGCCCCAGCGCCCAAGAGCAAGACTGAACTTCAGGCCTTCTTGGGACTATTGAACTTTTACCATTCCTTCCTTCCCCACAAGGCGGCGGTAGCGGAGCCCCTACACAGACTCCTGGACAAGCGGGCCCCTTGGGTGTGGGGCCAGCGCCAGGAGGCCGCATTCCAGGCAGTCAAGGACTTGCTTGTCTCAAACTCGGTCTTGGCACACTTCGACGAGAGGCTGCCGGTGGTGCTAGCATGCGACGCCTCACCCTATGGCATTGGAGCTGTTCTGGGGCACCAACTCCCAGATGGAAGAGAGGTACCAGTGGCGTACTTTTCCCAGACACTCAACACAACCGAGCGGAACTACTCGCAAATCGACAAGGAGGGTCTGGCAATCGTAAAGGGAGTAAAAAAATTCCATGATTTCTTGTACGGGCGGCCCTTCACCGTGGTGACTGACCACAAGCCGTTGCTTGGCTTGTTTGCCCCCGAAAGCAGACCCCCCAAGTGCTGTCTCCTCGCGTCCTCAGGTGGTCAATTTTCCTTGCCAGCTACCAGTATGCACTGATTCACCGACCTGGGAAGGCGATGGGCCATGCGGACGCCCTCAGCAGGCTACCACTACCGGAAACAGGCCCTGACCCAGCACCTGCACAAGTGGTTATGAGCCTGGAGCTGCTTCCCGACCGCCCCATTCAGGCACAAGAAGTTGCACACCATTCCAAGAAAGATAGGGTCATCTCCCGGGTCCTGGACTGGGTGTGGAGGGGGATGGCCCAGCAGCAGCCCCGGGCCAGAATTCGCCGGCTACACAACCCGCAAACATGAACTGTCGGCCCACAAGGGGTGCCTGTTATGGGGAAGCAGAGTCGTTGTTCCCCAGCCCCTCCACAAAAGGGTCCTCACAGCCCTACATGAGACACATCCAGGGGTAGTAAGAATGAAGGCCCTTGCCAGGAGTTATGTGTGGTGCCCGGGGATCGATGGAGAGATAGAGGCCTGGGTCAAACACTGCCAGGCCTGCCAAGAATCCCATCCTCGTCGCCAGTGAAATATACTCAGAGTCGCAAAGTGATTTCATGCTCTTTATTCAGCTCATAGTGGTGAGGAGGAATGAATGAATGTCCCCTCAACAGTATCTGCTTTATATACATTATTTACACAATGGGCTGCACATGATTGGCTAATTCTGGAATTCTACTGTAAGCCAATCAGGTTGTGGATTCACTTCTATCTGGAGCAGGATTGGGTGGTTCCTGCCAACCAATCATACTGCTGCATTGTTCTAGGACCAATCAGACTGCTGCATTCTGAATCCTATTGTTCTAGGACCAATCAGACTGCTGCCTTTTGGATCCTATTGTTCTAGGACCAATCAGACTGCTGCAGTTTGGATCCTATTCAACTCAGTACATAACACACAGGGAGAACAATGTAGTGGAAAAGTTTCAGACAGATCCCTAGCTATTTGAGTTCCCAAATATTTTGTGTCTGTCCTGAAATTTTCATGTGATTTCACCTTGCTGATCAATGTGGTGTGATGCAATATCTGTATTGATATGACTGGGAGAGTCAGAGAACTGTTTCCAATTTACCTGTTTGTTTTTAAATTTAAGCACATAGTCCATGCATGTTTGCTGAACTTTTCCTTCATTTCAGTTTCCTTCCTCCATTCATCATTTTGTTACTGACAAGGAGAAATATTTGTTCTCTGAGAAAATCAAATCAGTATCTCGTGTCCTTAGTTTGGAAGAATCCTAATTGGAGGATATCAGTATTCAGAAAGGTATATTAACCTCTTCGAAATTCTCCAGATGCATTGAAGAGGAGAGTGTTTCCCCAACGATTTCTCTTCTGAATTTTCTTTACAAAGCCATTGAGGAGGACACCATGCTGTTAAGAAGAACCTCCATATCTGTGGCATTTTATCTCTGCCTGCTGCTTATGACTCCTCTGCCAACGCGAACTTTCCAAGAAGGTATGTTTCTGAGCTTGGGCATCAATTTCCCCCTTTTCTTCTCTCCTTTTCAGTGATTCCACCAACAGCAAGATTCCATTTATTTATTTATTGCATTTACACCCACCTGTTTCTCCAAGGAGCTCAACGTGGCATACGTGGTTCTCCTCATTTAATCCTGTGAGGGAGGTAAGGCTGAGACGCAGTGTCTGGCCCAAGGTCACCCAGTCAGCTTCATGCTGAGTGGGGTTTTGAACTCTGGTCTGCCAGGTCCTACTCTGATACTCTAACCACTGTACCAAATTGGCTCTCTTTCAGAGGCTCATCAGCCCACAGGTACGTACCAATTCACAGCACTCTCGGTATCTCTCCAAATCTGAACTACCGCAGAGTGTTTCTCTGCTCTCCCCTGACTAGCTGAAGTGTATTTTACTTCCCAAAGCAGTTGGGGGTGGAGGGAAGGAGGGAGCCTTCCAGGGCATCACAGGAAACCTCAGCCATGAGCTCTTGATGGGGGCAAAGGACCAACCAGCCATTCCTGCCTAAATGGCCACTGGGAAGGTGTCCCAAGGGGAAAGGATAGATGGGATCTTCCTTCTGAAATGTGAAACAGAGCTCTAACATCAGAGTGGTAGATCTGATGCCAAAACCTCCCTTACTCTCTCTGCCACTGGCTCTTTCAAAGCGCTGGCCTTACTGGCACTGGCTCTACGGCTTCAGAAGGGCTGGGAAGGGGGCATTCTGGTAAGCAATGTGGATCCGAAACATCCTAAGTCATCCTGGTCCTCTAACACACCATTAAAATGGGAAAATATTGAGTCATGTTCCTGAGTGTGACTAAATCTCCCCCTCTCCTTTGGAAAACATTTTTTTTTAATGGTAATGCGATAAAAGGAGAGAGGAGTGCATGTGTGTTCAAGCCTATTCCCACAGTAAGAGAATAATAACCTGCGCTACAGCTCTAGGAGTCTCTCTTAGCCAGTCAATCAGATTTTTATTGTTTGTGGTCAATGGAAACTGCAATATTATCTAATAACTCTGCCGCTCCTTGCAGGATTCACTTGCCCAGAGAACTGGTTGAAGCGTGAAGGAAACTGTTATGGCTACTTTGAGGAACCTGTGACCTTTGCACAGGCTAGGGTAAGAGATGGTTTATCATTGTATTAGCTGTGCATATGAGGAGTCAACATCCCTTTCCTCTCTGTGAAAATAGAGATGCTGTTTTTGTTTCAAACATTACAAATTTTGGACAAGATGGATTGTTTCAAGAAGTGGCAGAAAGATATTTCTAGATTTGTTTGGCAGGGCAAGAAGCCTCGAATAAAATTTAAGATATTAACTGATGCTAAAGAAAGAGGTGGATTTGCCCTGCCAGACCTTAAACTCTATTATGAATCAGCTGCTTTTTGCTGGCTGAGAGAATGGCTGCTTCTTGAAAATACTGACATGTTGGATTTAGAAGGTTTTAATAATGTATTCGGTTGGCATGCATACTTGTGGTACGATAAGGTAAAAGTACATAAAGCGTTTAAAAATCATATTGTTAGAAAAGCATTGTTTAATGTCTGGATAAGATATAAGGATTTGTTAGAAAAGAAAACCCCAAGATGGCTGTCACCAATGGAAGCGAAGGCACAGAAAAAACTCAATATGGAGGCCAAATGGCCGAAATATTGGGAAATTCTGGATCAAGATGGAGACAGAATAAAATTGCAGAGCTTTGAAAAATTGAAAAATAAAGTGCGAGATTGGCTCCATTATTATCAAATAATGGAGGCATACAATTTGGACAAAAAAGTTGGTTTCCAGGTGGAAAAATCAAAATTGGAAACAGAATTGCTAGATACAAAAATTAAGAATTTGTCAAAAATGTATAACTTGCTGTTGAAATGGAACACTCAGGATGAAACGGTGAAATCAGCTATGATTAAATGGGCACAAGATGTTGGACATAACATAATGATGGCTGACTGGGAACAGTTATGGACCACAGGTATGAAATTCATGGCATGTAATGCCCTAAGAGAAAACTTAATGAAAACGATTTATAGGTGGTACATGACACCAGTCAAGCTTGCAAAAATTTACCATTTGCCCGAAAATAAATGTTGGAAATGTAACGAGACAGAAGGCACATTCTTTCACCTTTGGTGGACATGCCCAAGGATTAAGACATTCTGGGAGATGATTTATAATGAAATGAAAAAGGTATTTAAATATACCTTCCTGAAGAAACCAGAGGCCTTTCTCCTGGGCATGGTTGGCCAATCGGTGCCAAAGAAGGATAGAACTTTTTTTATGTATGCAACAACAGCAGCAAGAATACTCATCGCGAAGTATTGGAAGACACAAGATTTACCCACCCGGGAAGAATGGCAGATGAAGTTGATGGACTATATGGAATTGGCGGAAATGACTGGCAGAATCCGAGACCAGGGAGAAGAGTTGCTGGAAGAAGATTGGAAAAAATTTAAAGACTATTTACAGAAATATTGTAAAATTAATGAATGTTAGAAAAATGTTGGAATGAAGTTATATGGCTTTAGTAGAAATGTTATAAGGAATTAAGTACAGATAGGTTAACAGAGCATTAAAGGAAAAATAAGGTTAGAATGAGTTAAGATAAATATAGGATAGAAAACAGAGGAAGATGGAAAGGAATTGCTGAAATAATTAATAGAAGTGGAATACAAAGAGGGAGGTGTGAGGAGGTCGTGGAAATAAGTGAATGAAAGATGGGATAATGAAATTGTTTGATTTATTTTTTTGTTTTATTAATTTGATGTGTTGTATTGTATTGTCTTTTTTGTGTTTAAGTTTTTGGAAAAATAATAAATATTATATATATATAAAAAAAGGAAAGTTTTTGCCAGGCACAAAATCATGACTTTTCAGCCTTCGTAGCATTTATCTGTTTCTCTTTCATTCTTCTGCATTATTGTTTTAATGTAAAAAAAAGATGAAAAATGGAACAAGGGCAAAACTGGTATTAAATTATGAGCACTTGGCACTAGTGTTTGCATAGGGCTGGAAGGCTTATCCTGCAAAGGCTAAACTGCAACCGGGGGCAACTTAATTGATAAAAAGAAAGAAAGAAAAAAGAAGCTAAACCTGACTCTGTTGATAGCTGAGCTCTAGCTGTTGCAGCAAGCAAACCTTTGTTCAGTTTTGGTAGAGGATGATTTGATTAAAAAAGAAAGTCAAAGCTAGCAGCTGGGGACTGTGTCTAGAAGCTGGTGCAACCCATAGAGTGAATGGCATTCTTTGTGTCCTTGTGTAGGAGAAATGCCAAAAGGAACATCGTGCCGACCTAGTCTCTTTCCATAGCAAGGAAGAAGTCTGTGCAATTGCGAAATTTGTTACCGGCTTCAGTGACAACAAAGATGTTTGGATAGGTCTCCACGATCCTCAAAAGGTGAGTGCAGCAAGCTCCCTGGTGCTTAACGTCTTGGGATGTTTCCAACACTCTTCTCTTCTGAATTTCTCTCTGGATTTTGGAAATCAAAAACAAGATCAAGTAATTCAAAAGTGGAACTGATGCACTGGAGATCTCCATGATGGCAAATATCAGCCCAATCTGTCAGAAAATGCCACTCTCTGACCTAGAAAGCCTTCTCCAATAATTCCTTATCTGTAAGAACTTTCTCTCTCAAGGTTGGGGAGAAACACATACTGTATTGGACTAGCTGTAATGTGGAAGTGAGAGTGTCAAACTGGGTGCAGGAAGGCCCGGGTTCTAATGTTGAGCCAGCCAGTCGCCATCTAACCCAGGGAAGGGGAATCTGTGGTCTTCCGGGTGTTGCTGGGCTTCGACACCCGTTGTTGGGAGTGAGCCAGCAATAAATCACACAGACTAAGTGAACTTAACTCTTTATTTGAAGAAGTGGGATCTGCTCAGGAGTGCCAGGCCTAATGAGCACTACAACTCTTATTCGGTACAACTTGTCGTTATGAGGCAGTTGCGAAGAATGGAGGCTTCCCACAGGTGCCCAACCCTCCTCCTCTCCTAGGTTTTCCCCAAGCAATCTGAGACTGCGGCTGGGTGTCTGCCTTTGCAGCCATGGGAAACACCCATGCTTCTTCACCAGCCTGACTCATCTCTGCCTCTTGGCCTCACTCCTCTCCTGCTTCTGTTTCTGCTGCAGCTTCCTGACTTCTCTCTGCCACAAACTCTCCCTGATCACTAAACCCTGTTACCTCTTCAGCTTCTGACACCTCCTCCTCCTCCTCCCTCTGACCACTCATCATTGTCCCACCACCAATCCCCTGTCTCTGAGCCTTCTTCCCTTGGAGGTTCTGCAGCTGGTTCCCCTTATTCCTCCTCTGCATCCAACCAGTCCATGGCAGCCATTAACCCCAGCCAGCATGTCCAGTGCTCGGGATGATGAGTGTTGGAGTCCAACAGTACAGTGGTACCTCGGGTTAAATGCTTAATTAGTTCTGGAGGTCCATTCTTAACCTGAAGCACCACTTTAGCTAATGGGGCCTCCCGCTGCTGCTGCCCTGCCGGAGCACGATTTCTGTTCTCATCCTGAAGCAAAGTTATTAACCCGAGGTAATATTTCTGGGTTAGCGGAGCCTGTAACCTCACCTCATAGTGATGTCAGGTGACGCTTCCCCTGGGAACCCCAGTGAGCAGGACTTCAAAGCAAACTGTGGGGCTTTCGAAGAGCCCTTTGTAAACACAGCACAAAGGGATGTTTACAAAGGGCCGTTGAATCCTGCATCTGTGCTTCTCCATCAAACCTTCACAGAGATTTGAAGCAGAAATGCAGAGATTTGAAGGTGGTGGTGTTTGAAAGCCTTGAGCATGGTGCAGTCCTATTGCCCATCAGCTGATAGGATGGGAATGCAATGCATCAAAACTACCCAGAATCTGAAGAAAAAGACCAAGTTGCTTATTGGCTCCCAACCAAGGCATATCACATTGCGGACCTCCTACTTAGCCGTAAACTCAATGAAGTCATACCACAGGTGTGGGAAATCTTTGACCTCCCAAATGCTGCTGAACTACAACTCCTAAGCTTCTGAAAGCATGGCTAGTAGCCAGAGATGGTGGGAATGTAGTCCAAAAACATATTTGGGGTGTACAGATTCCCAACCACAATTTTATTCCCAGGCAGACTGGTCTAGGACTGCAACCTTGGTAAGTTTCTGAGCCATTCCACGAGCATTCTCCAAAGTATTCCACATGGTTGATTCCCCTAGTAACCACATTTCTTGCCTTCCACCTGCAGGATAACGTATGGTGTTGGACTGATTCCACCAGGTTTAACTTATATGCATGGCTGGATGACACACAGAGAAAGAATGAATACTGTGCGCTATTGCTCCACGGCACAGGTAAGTGTGCTGGTGCTTTGGCAGATGGGGACACAGGGATTCAGGAAGGAGAAGAGCAAAATATGGCTGCTTTTGTGTACCTTCCAGCTCTAACATTTGAGAGCTAAGATTTATGGGTGTTTCCTCTAAACAGCTGCAAAGCACTGCTTGGGTCAGAGGCGGGAAGGATGCAGTTTGTAGCAAAAAAGTGGCTGGCACACCTAGACACTCCTCTTCTGTTGCAGCCTCTTCCCTCTGCCACATTCACCCCAGCCAGGGTTCCAGGCATGTGCTTGCTAGGTTGTTAAAGCAAGAGCAAAGGGGGAAGAGGATTCCAGAGAAAATGCTTTCAGCAAGTGAGGTAGCTGTTCACCACCTGCTGTTCTGTACAGCAATTGTACTGTGAAATTGCTTGGAGATGCTTCCCAGGATTCCTAAATGACATAAAGGACACCACCACCACTCCACTTAGCAACTGTTCAGTAGAGGCCTGACTTCCCAAATCTGCCAGCTTTGTAGCTCAAACCAGTGGTAATCCTGATGGGCTTAAAGACTTTTGCCTGCCAGGAAAGGTGGCATATACATCAACCAGGTGGCTAGCACAGGTAGTCATAATCACATTTTTAATATGCTGCCACTGCGTCACCTTAAATATCCCGTGCTGCACTTGTGTATGTCTGTGCATTCACCTCCAGCCAAGGAGGCTAGAAATTTAGCAATTCTCAAAATGCAAAAGTTTAAATCAAAACCCAAAATTCTCAGTTGCACAGAGGATTGCATTTTGCATATCACATCTACAGCTTTGCTTTTAGCCTTTCTCCTAAGGATGTAATCATGTGCTTGCAAAACTGTAAACAGATAATAACTCTTCTCGAAACTTAGAAGTAGTGCTGAAGAGCGGACATTGGGCTGATCCGTACTTACCTTTCCTCTGCGCTTCCCAGACACAGGGCTGCATTTTAAGCTCTGTGTCTGAACTGCTGAATTGGAGCAAACAGCACTCCGCAGAAAATCCTATTGCCATTTGGTGTGCTTCAGCTTTAAAAAGCGGGTTTTTGTGGGGTATGCTCCAGGGCAGGGAAAAGAGTGCTTGGACACAGAGTTGTGCCTGGAAAGCACAGCTCAAAAGGTAAGTGCACATAAGCCCATTGTCTGTGGTTTCTTATTCTTGCTGCAGCCTGCAGTTTAGCCAGTTTTGCAGGTTTCTGTGGTGCTTCAGGCAATACTTATGACTTTTCCAGACAGCCTTTCTAGACAGTACATTCATGGTTATTTCTGCTTGTGATGGCACAGGGCAGTCTGACGAAAACCTGCTTTCAGTACTCTTTGTGCCTGAAATGTTTTGGGGCAGATATCCTGCTTGGTTTGCAATCAGCGCATGTCCTGCAGCTTCCTGCTGAAATCCTGTAGCTTTGTATACTTCAAATGTCCCAGGTTATTGTTGTCTTGCCTTTGTTGCCCTGTGGTGCAAGAGTGGCCCCTCCAAATGGCAATGAAGCAACAACACCAGGGGGGCATTGCAGAACAACTAACGTATTTTTTGCACCATAACACTCACTTTTTTCCTCCTAGAAAGTAAGGGGAAATGTCTGTGCGTGTTATGGAGGGAATGCCTATGGATGGCATGCCTACGGATTTTCCTCCTCTAAAAACTACGTGCGTGTTATGGTCGGGTGCTTGTTATAGAGTGAAAAATACGGTAATAAAGCAAAATGATGCATGGATGGTCCACTATAAATGCACTGCTCATGCATCAGTGATATGTTGCAGAACACACCCATGCAAAACCCCCATTCTGGAGGAGCCCTCAGTGAAGATGAAAAAAAGGAGCTGAGTCAGCCACTCATGCTTAGCATTTGAAATCTCAGGAGCCGAATTGGTGAACTTCCTCTAGGTCAAACATTGTGTTTCTGGTGATGGATACAGCAATTCTGACCATGGTTTTGATCTGTGACAGCTGTTTCATACATATGCATTTTCCATATAGGAAAAAAGACCCGCATAGTAATGTTCTATTGCTTCAGATGGGCACTGAAGACAGTTTCCCCCTTGACAAGCTTTGAGGAGGATTGCTCCCAAGTGAATTTCATACCGTTATCTCTCTTGACTTTATTTTATTAGACAGAAAACCCTTATATGTTTTTGTTCATTGCGTGTGTTGTTTCTTATGCATTGTAAGTGAACCTGGATAATTCATACAGAGGTGGAATATACAGTATATATTATTTCAAAAGAAAATAAATATTTAAGGCTGTGGTCATCTCACATGAATGTGTGAACTAGCCTTAAAAGGCCATGGAGTGAACAACACTTTTCTAATAAGACAGAAGACAGTTAATATTTTAATTATGAGTTTTAATAACCTATATTGCATGTTTAATATTTTGCAGTATGTTGTCCAGAGAATGTTTGTGGACGGGTAGCTATAAACATGTAATTCATAAAATAAACAACCCTGGCAGGTTGCATCCCAAGGAGAGCATACATCCTGCAACCCACAAATCACCCTGGTATCTCAGCTGCCTTATTTTTCTTTCCGCATAGATTACATTGCATGGGACAGCAGAAATTGTGAAACCAAGAGCCCCTACATTTGTAGAAAGACACCACAAATTATCGTTCGTGAGTGCTAACAAGGAGGAACCCTGTCTGTCTGTCTAGAAGAACCTGCACCCAGAGGGATGTCAACTCCTTCCATGACTGCTAAACTCACCTGCTACTCATCTATAGGCTGAAATCCCAAATAAACAGTAGAACTTGCAACTCAATGTGGCTGGGTGTGTCATCTGTTACAAGACGGGGAAACGTATTCCTTGATTTTTCTTACCTATTTTATTTATTTAAACAGTCATAACCCTTACTTTTATAAAGTGATGGTGTACCCAGCAGAAATAATTTAGACAGCAAACAATCTTGGGGGTTGAACCCAATAACCTCTTGGGGGTTGAACCCAAGACAACAACCCTGTGAGGTGGGTCAGACTCAGAAGCAGTGCCTGGCCAAAGGTCACCTAGTAAACCTCATGCCAGAGCTCCAGTCTCTCAGGTCTTAGCCTGACACAAACCACTACACCATGTGGTACTGTGTTCTCTCAGTACCTTTGGGGGCAAAGAGCAGCAGATGGAAGGAAATAAAACCTGCCAAGAAAATGGCATGTTTCCATGGGGCTTTTATCTTTGTCCCACAGAGAGCGAGAAAAACCTGCCTTTATTATTGGAAAGTGTTTGAGTGGTGCTAGCAGATGAGTTGTAGGAAACCCACAAGGCGTATGCTGCCAACATTGTACAGTAAACAGCGCTTGTACAGTAAACAGAAAAGTCCATGAAGAGAAAAACAGCACATTGTGCTTGCCTATCAGGTAGAGAGGGACACATATGTCAATTTCAGTTTCTTTCATTTTCGCCTTTATTCCAGTCTATTTTCCCAGTCCAGTTTAGTCCCTCACATCAGTTTCTGTGGTTTTTTAAAAAGTACTCAAGACAATTGATCAACATTTTCCTTCAAATTTAACCTACTGTGCATATTTTTGTGTGCAATTTGCCCATACACAATGCCTGGTTGCTTCAATAAAACCTTCCCAGGTGGAGGGAGTTTGGAAGAACCCCTCCGGATTTCTGTATAAATATAGCGTAACAGAGATATAATGCATGAAACCACAGCATGGCCCATGGGATTTGTTTCTGGGTAGAATATATATGAGAGAAAACCAGCCATGTTATTCTGCGGTTGCAAAAACACATTTAGAATGAGCAAAATGGTGATTCTACCCAACAGGTGAGGCAAGGGTTGGTTCTACAACTGAGCTTGGCTGTGGACCAGATTCTCCTTATTGGGTGTCATCCAGATGTTGAACTACAACCCCAGGAGCCCCAGTCAGCTTGGTTGGAGAAGGTTACAGTAGGCATACAGACTGAACTACTTGTCTCCTACTGCCACTCAACTGCCATTCCTCCCCTTTTATGGCCATGTTAAACAAAGCTGCCAATTAAGAATCTCACTTCGTACAGCTGATAAAGTGAACACTCTCTCTCTTTTGCACAGCTGGAGTTTGTTCATAACTTGTAAACAGGTCCATCAGGCTGTTCCCAAGGCTGCCAGATTAGATTAAATCTTTAGGCCTTGAATCAATATTGCTGCAGTTGAATAATGTTGATTTTCAGGAGCTGAAGCTGCTAGCCTTGAACTCTGTTGCAGAAGAAGTTGAATGGATATTGACAGTTTTCCAGAAACCACCGGGCAGCAGAGTCCCAGCTGTCTTTAGCGAGGCAAGATAAAACTATCTTGCATGCCTCCCACCCTGCTTCTACTCTTGGGCTGGAAAACAGGGAACATGGTCTTAAAACTGTATAGGGATGGGTGCGTCTGTCCATTTTAGTTTCTCTCAAATTTCCCTTCTTCCATTCTGAAGTTCCAGTGATGCCAACACTGGATTGGGGGCCCTGCATCCACCCACTCAATCAATCAATCAATCAATCAATCAATCAATCCATACATATATGCTTATGTACATTTATTTACTTAGCCTAGTCTGCCTCACAGGGCTGTTGCAAAGATAAAAAGAGGGGAGGACAAGACACACAACCTTGCGCTTCTGAGCTGAATAGCAAGATACAAATATACAACAAGAAGCAACAAATGTTTGCTGTTTCAGAACTCTCAGCAAAATAAACACATTCGGGGGGGGGGGGGGAAGAAACACACCCCACAATTTTATCAACCTCAATAAAGAAAAAGCCACAACCTACAGGAATTTAACTTAGCTGTCAGGTGAGGCAATGATTTTAGGGCTGCATTTGCTGATTTGTTTTATATTTTACACTTTTGTTTTATGGTTGTTGCATATGAATCAATAGCAGCCCAGTGATGACATGCAGGCCAGTAGTGGCTGTGTGGCTGACATGAAAAACTGCATTGGGGTGGGGTGGACACTGCAAAGTCAAGGAATCATACCAGTATCAAGTAAGTCATACTCAAGCCAGCCAATTGCGTTTTCCACTGTAAAGGCAGTATGCTTGAGCAGTGGATAAAATACTGTGGATATGGAGGACTGCACTTAAACATGCATCTAGCTAGCTTCCTCCTCCATCCAGCATCAGACTAGCAGCAATAACAAGATATTTCTTTTTCCCCCCGTGCTGCTCTGGGAGTGTGTCTGGGAGACCCAGGCAGTGTCATGGGCTGGCTGGATACAGAGGAGTGGTGAGAGGCACCAGCTGGGGAACCCCCAAGGGATCCCCCAGACTGAGAGCCAGGGGGTTGGGGGTGGGACAATGATGAGTGGTGGGGGGGAGAAGAGAGAGAAGACTGGGAGGAGGAGTTGATGGAAACTGAAGAGGTATCAGGGTTTAGTGAGCAGGAAGAGGCTGAGAAACAGAGCAGTCCTGATTCAGAGGCAGAAGAAGAGGCTGGAGAGGATCGGGCCAAGAGGCAGAGATGAGGCCGGCTGCTGAAGAGTCCAGGGAGTCTCTCATTCCTCCTCCGACCAGCTCCCCTTCCCCGGTCTCACAGAACACCATGAGGAATGAAGAGGGTGGAGCAATGAGAGGCTAGACAAAGGATTCTGAGATTGCTTGTGAAGGACCCGGGGAGAAGTGCAAATCTGAAGGATGACTGTGTTTCAGTTAGCACATCGGTATTCAGTTAGCACATTTCCCTGCTATCATACCCCTTGTCTTTGGAAGCCTTATAAGAAGCTGCTGCAGGAGAGGGACACTGAGAAACATCATGGGAGGGGGGTTTCTAGGACCAAGGTGAAACCGTGAAGCTCCTTTGTTATTTTTGCTATTGGTGGCTGCATGTAGTTTCAGTAATCTTGTTATGCAGGTGGGACCATTTTGTGCAGGGGTTCCATTCCTGACTCCCGCGCACATAAGCCTGTCCTGCCCTGACCCCATTCCTCCCCATTTTCGGGCCACCTCCAGGTCAGCAGTGATGAACGTGTGCATGACTGCACATCAAGCGGATGCGAGTAAAATTGTTGCTGTAACTTTGTTCTGAAAGAAAGAACAGGCCTCCTATTTATTTTCATTTCAGACCATATATCATGTACTGTTTCTGATCTTTTGCCTCATTTACCTCAGGCTCTGGGGATGCGGGTGGCGCTGTGGTCTACTCCACAGAGCCTAGGGCTTGCCAATCAGAAGGTCAGCGGTTCGAATCCCTGTGATGAGGTGAGCTCCCGTTGTTCAGTCCTTGCTCCTGCCAACTTAGCAGTTCGAAATCACGTCAAAGTGCAAATAGATAAATAGGTACAGCTCCAGCGGGAGGGTAAACGGCGTATCCGTGCGCTGCTCTGGTTTCACCAGAAGCAGCTTAGTCATGCTGGCCACATGACCTGGAAGGTGTCTGCGGAAAACGCCGGCTCCCTGGCCTATAGAGTGAGATGAGCGTGCAACCCCCGAGGTGTCCATGACTGGACCTAAGAAGGGTTACCTTTACTTTACCTTTACCTCAGACTCTGGCCTTTGTCAACCCTATTTTGTTGTAACTGGCAACAGGTCAAATATTTCTTCAAGCCACAAAATGAACCTTTGAAATGTACCTTTGAATGGTCTTGATTTTGAACAGTTCTCTGATTGGAGGAGAGCAGCATCCACCAGAGTTCAGTAACCTCGTTCCAATTCTGTTTGGGGCACTCAAATCAAGAGCGCTTCTCTTGGGAAGTCTTCTCTCCTGAGCCTGGCCAGCCTCTTTTTACAGATCCTGCAAAAAAGAGGACACAGTGGTTCCAAGAAGGACCGTTAAATACCGCCTTTCGCTGCTGCTTTTGATCATCCTGCCTTCCCGACCTGCGTTGGAGGGTGTGTTACCAAGAACTGGGTGTCTTTCCTTCCCCCTATTTTTCATCACTGGTCTTTATTTGTATTGTCCCTTGCTTTCCTTTTTCTGTTTCTCTTCTTTTTGTTCTTTCTTTTGAGTGCGATAACTGGGCCTTTATTAATGTCCAGTGACTGTAGTCTCATGGGGGTGGTAAATGGTAGACGCCTGGGTGAGAGACAGGAAAATGTCGGTCTCCCAGGTGAGAGGCTGGGAGGAGAAATGAAGGATTTCTGGTGAGAGCTGGGAGGAACTACGGTCCTCTGTGGGGGGTTAGGGCTAAGAATTACTTTTAAGAGAGGGCTCCGTATTCTGCTTACTTGATTTGTATTCTCGGTAGTTCTCATTTTACTGTTTTATTGAATAATTTAAAATAAAATCTTAAAAAACAACCAACCAACCAACCAACCAACCAACCAACCCAGAGAAGGCTGTCTTACTTCCTGCTGGAAATGAAAAGGACAAGTTCATTGCTATCCTGTTTATTTCAATAGGGCTTCCTATGTGACTGCCTGCCTTTAGATCAGGGTCCCTGTTTATGTTAAGAAATATTTCTTAACAGTAGTTAATCCAAGCGAAGATAAATTCCTGAAGTACTCCATGTGCCCTCTTCATTGGAAACTACTGTTTCCCACCAGCTTCTGCCCCCTGGGGCTCTTTTGAGTATGGACCACAGCTAACTCTTCAGTGACAATTCATAATTATAGGCACTAATGGAAGCACTCCTAACTTATTTACCTCAGAGTAAACTGCATTGAATTTGATAGGACTCTCAGGGCAATTCTAACTATGTCTGCTCAGGGGTTAGTTTAATTGACAATGGAACTTGAATTAGTCGTAACTAATTTGTTCCTTTCTTTTCAGTGGGGATTTTAGTGCCACTAAAGTGCACTGTAAGGTTTCATACTAAGGAACGAGAGCTAATCCACACCTCTGGCAATAAAATGGAAACTCCCCCCCACTCTCTTTCAGTCTCCAATGTGGCCCTCACAGGAGAAGCTTTACAATCCAGCACCTACAACCCGCAAGGAGGAGCTATGAATGCCATTGATGGGTCTTTAGTTGGTGTGTAGTGATACAGAGGGATCCTGCACCCACACAGATTATGAAAGTAATCCATGGTGGACGGTAGACTTGCAGGCGCAGTATCAAGTAGTCCATGTAAGCATCACCAATCGGGAAGACTGTTGTGCTCACCGTCTTAATGGGGCTGAAATCCGAGTTGGGGACTCCACAGAGAGAGGAGGCACCACAAATCCTAGGTACTGTATATGGATCGGATACTTTCTAGTCAGGGAAGGGGAAGCTGCGGTCCTCCAGGTGTTACTGTAGTAGCACTCTCATCATCCTTAGCCATTGTCCATGTTGGTTAGGGTTGCGATTTGGGAATTCAATTATTTGGAGGGCCACAGGTTCCTTATTCTGTCTTACACACTGAGATGTCATGAGGTACAATTATCTCTTTCTGCCCTGTTTTCGTCACATCCAGGACTGTTTCCATTCCACTGCAGTTCACTGTCTGCCAAAAGCTACATTATTTTGTTTTGCTGTCTGCTGTGGCAAAATTACATAATTTATGTATCGTTAATTCCGTACGTAAATTATATAAGTTACATTGTCCTATGATGCCACCCCACTCATTTAAATGTAAAGAAAATGCAATGCAAATTGGGGGATGTAATGTAATCAAATATTGTCTGTGGACTGAAAGAAGCCAAAACAGCAAACGCTGATCGTATTCACTGGATCAATTTCTGTTCCGCACATGGAGTGAATTTGTGAACATTGGCCATTTCCACTTCTGTTTTTGCAACATCCTGTGGCATCCCTGCTTTACAGGATTATGGCACAGGGAGAACAATGTAGTGAAAAAGTTTCAGACAGTTCCCTAGCTATTTGAGTTCTCCAAACATAGCAAATATTTGCTCTCTTTCCTGAAATTTTCATGTGATGTCACCTTTCTGATAAAGTTCTTCAATTATTGTTTAGTACTGTTTCTTGATGCTTTCTTTTCTTTTCTAGATGTGCTATAATAAATTCTTTGGATGCTGGGGAAACACGCAGTTTTTACTGCGAAGCGTCAAAAGGGCAGTTTGTTACAATTACCCTACCAAGGGGCGGATACCTCACGCTTTGTGAAGTCCAGGTGTTTGGTCAGAAGATAGATTCCAGTGGTAAGTAGGAAAGATATTGGTATCTGTTTATGTGCAAAGAGACTGAGGCTGCATACATCCCATGTACTTAAAGCACATTTAACTGCATGCTTCCCCCCCACCCCCCAAAATTCCTGGGATCTGTACTTTATAAAAGGGTGCTGGGAACCATAGCTCTGTGAGAGGTAAATCACAGTTCCCAAGATTCTTTACAGGAAGGTATGTCCTTTAAATGGATGGTCTGTACCCAGCCTAATATACAGGAGAAACACAATGTCTATAATGCTGACTTATTCATTAATGGTCATTCTGGATGCTGTAGTAGCAGATTTTCTTCACTGAGGTGTTGAAGCAGATTACCTTTGAGGTTCCTCCCAGTGCTATGATTCTGCCATGCCAGAGATCCCTGGGAACCGTAGCGTTATATGAGGGAATCTTTCATTAAAGTAATTTCCCCCACAATTCTATGGAGGAAGCCATGACAGTTACAGCATTATAATCCATTCCAAACCCAGCACAGTATTTTCTAAAACTTTCCCCCCTCTCCTCCCCTGTGACCCACACCTTCTTCAAATCTGCTCTGCAGGGTTGAGAAAACACCCACGTGGTAAGAATTTACTTCTACACTTCGACTGTGCTGAATGAATTACATCAGCAGATAAAGCTCAGCTAAGCCTTTTATTTCTTTTTATTATAAATTTCTTTGGCAGCTGACCATGAGCCAGAGAAGAACAAGCCACTCACACCAGGAGAACAAGTTAACACTTCTGGTAAGTAGACCATTGCATACTGCTAGTTGGGAAGGAATGTTGCTGGTGGTGTAGTCTTGTAAATGTGGGTGCCAGTTTGGGCATGAATTAGCCACTTTTAAGCAATTTCTGCAATGTGAGTTCTTTAAAGTCACTCAGCGCTACTTCCTGATATCCGTTAACTCAAGGGAAGCTGTGGCTTTCCCGATGCTGCTGAGCTCATCCATCCTTGGCCATTGAACAGTAGTTTGTGTTGATAGGAGTTGGAGTCTAACCAATCTGGAGGGCCATAGATGCCCCATCCCCACTTCAGCTGGAGATGCTGGTGAATTTAGGACTTGAGAATTCAAGGCATTTGCTTACCCACTGATTGATGGGCCCCCAACTTTAATAATAAGACTAGCACTTATAATTCATTCATATATTTATTGCAGATCCATTTTGTATATTCTCATCACCATTGCTCAGTGATTTAAGTGCAGACAGCTTACATAAAAAAGAAACGAAATAAGCATTATTATTTTTTTTAAAAAATCACAATTGCCAATAAAGAAATGGTGATGTTGGCAGGACTCAATCTGAAAAAAATGTACTACTAAAACATGAACATCCTAACCCTCTCAGTTAAATAAATGGAGAGGCTGCTTCTTGGTTTTAACATCTATTGCATCGGCCACTCTTAGAGTCGATCTGTATCTCCTGTCCTCTCCCTTTGGAGGGACGAGCCTGGAAGCTTGGACTATGTTGCCAACTGCCAGGACCCAAAGAAGACAAATTGTGTCCCATACATACACAATATCCCAAATTATATCATACCTTAGTAAAGATTTTAATTGTAAGCCACTTTGAGAGCCGACTGTGGCTGGAAAGCAGGATAGACAGATGATCAGTAATAAAATAAATTGTTCAGCCTCACTCATCATGAGGACTGATCCTGTTGACTGTAATCTATGAAATTGGTAGTTTCCAAAAGATATTCTGGAGGATGCTGTCATTGCATGGAAGCTTCCTAGGGGGTTTTCGGTGAGAAGTCTAGTAATGGTGAACACATCATCTAGATGGTGCACAAACTAAGAGCTTGTGGACTCTCCTTCCTTGGAGGTTTTTAAGCAAAGTTGGACAGCCATCTGTCAGGGATGCTTTAGTTGATATTCCTGCATTGCAGGGGGTTGATTTGAGGTCCCTTCCAGCTATGATTCTAGGAATCCAAACATCCCCAAGCATCAGCTTCCTCATCACTGCTAGTCTCTCCCTGCATAATGCAGCTATAGGCAAGTGTTGAATATGGTTTCTTGGTGTGTATGAATAATATGTGTATGAATGACATACAGAGTAAGATAGACCTGTTGTATTAACAGAGTAAGTATTCAAGAGCAAGGGCATCCAGCATGGTCCCCTCAGATACTATGGACTCCAACTCCCATCAGCCCTGGCAAGCATCATCAGCAGTCAAGCCTATAGAAGTTAGTCCAATGACAGCTGGGAGGTACCACATTGCTGCAGAACGTGCTGTAGAATTGTCTACACTTCTGCATAGTTGAGCTATGGCATCTCGATCACAATATGTAGTGATGACCACTGTCGCAGATGACTTTGAAAGGGGATCCAATAAATTCATGGAGGATAAGGCCATCAATTGCTACTAGCAATGAAGGCTGTATATTGCACCCGCATTCCAGACAATATGTTGGGGAGCATGGGGAGTGCTGCTACACTCATGTTCTGCTTGTATTGTGGCTTTCCATAGGCAACTGGTTGGCCATTGTGAGAACAGGATGCTGGAGTAGATAGCCCTTTGATCTGATCCAGCAAGGCTCCTCTTAGGAAGTTTAACTGCAAAGAAATGATTGAGCAAAATGTTCTGTGTCTCTTGCTGATATCATTGATCCTTTTGGCCTAAATATTGGTGGGGCTCCCATACTTCCATGTGCCATATCTCTGCTGGGGTCATGCCATTGATTAATGCTCTAGTTGCTTTGCAGGTGTGCTACAATCAACAGCATGGGGCGTGGGGAAACCATGGCCTTCACCTGTGCAGGGATGCAGGGCCAGTATGTGACCATTACAATCCCAGGGAGATATGAGTTCCTCTCACTCTGTGAAGTGCAAGTTCTCGCACACCCATGGCTCCATGTGGGTGAGTAGATGGCCTCTGTTGTGGATTTGATGTGCACAGCAAAGGAACGTGCTGCTCATGCGATGTGGGCGAACCAAATCACTGATTGTTAGAAAACCCCATGTGGAGGAGCAGCTGCTGGGTGACTTTGGGCCAGTCACACTTCTTTGAAGTCTCTCAGCCCCACCTACCTCACAGAGTGTTTGTTGTAGGGGAGGAAGGGAAAGGAGAATGTTAGCCGCTTTGAGACTCCTTAAAGGGAGTGAAAGGTGGGATATCAAGAGGAGAGTGTTTCCCCAATGATTTCTCTTCTGAATTTTCTTTACAAAGCCATTGAGGAGGACACCATGCTTTTAAGAAGAACCTCCGTATCTGTGGCATTTTATCTCTGCCTGCTGCTTATGACTCCTCTGCCAATGCGAACTTTCCAAGAAGGTATGTTTCTGAGCTTGGGCATCAATTTCCCCCTTTTCTTCTCTCCTTTTCAGTGATTCCACCAACAGCAAGATTCCATTTATTTATTTATTGCATTTACACCCACCTGTTTCTCCAAGGGGCTCAACGTGGCATACGTGGTTCTCCTCATTTAATCCTGTGAGGGAGGTAAGGCTGAGACGCAGTGTCTGGCCCAAGGTCACCCAGTCAGCTTCATGCTGAGTGGGGTTTTGAACTCTGGTCTGCCAGGTCCTACTCTGATACTCTAACCACTGTACCAAATTGGCTCTCTTTCAGAGGCTCATCAGCCCACAGGTACGTACCAATTCACAGCACTCTCGGTATCTCTCCAAATCTGAACTACCGCAGAGTGTTTCTCTGCTCTCCCCTGACTAGCTGAAGTGTATTTTACTTCCCAAAGCAGTTGGGGGTGGAGGGAAGGAAGGGAGCCTTCCAGGGCATCACAGGAAACCTCAGCCATGAGCTCTTGATGGGGGCAAAGGACCAACCAGCCATTCCTGCCTAAATGGCCACTGGGAAGGTGTCCCAAGGGGAAAGGATAGATGGGATCTTCCCTTCTGAAATGTGAAACAGAGCTCTAACATCAGAGTGGTAGATCTGATGCCAAAACCTCCCTTACTCTCTCTGCCACTGGCTCTTTCAAAGCGCTGGCCTTACTGGCACTGGCTCTACGGCTTCAGAAGGGCTGGGAAGGGGGCATTCTGGTAAGCAATGTGGATCCGAAACATCCTAAGTCATCCTGGTCCTCTAACACACCATTAAAATGGGAAAATATTGAGTCATGTTCCTGAGTGTGACTAAATCTCCCCCTCTCCTTTGGAAAACATTTTTTTTTAATGGTAATGTGATAAAAGGAGAGAGGAGTGCATGTGTGTTCAAGCCTATTTCCACAGTAAGAGAATAATAACCTGCGCTACAGCTCTAGGAGTCTCTCTTAGCCAGTCAATCAGATTTTTATTGTTTGTGGTCAATGGACACTGCAATATTATCTAATAACTCTGCCGCTCATTGCAGGATTCACTTGCCCAGAGAACTGGTTGAAGCGTGAAGGAAACTGTTATGGCTACTTTGAGGAACCTGTGACCTTTGCACAGGCTAGGGTAAGAGATGGTTTATCATTGTATTAGCTGTGCATATGAGGAGTCAACATCCCTTTCCTCTCTGTGAAAATAGAGACTGGACAGGAAGGTGCTGGAAGGATGGAGTTTGGCCTGGCTATACCAAGGCCGGTGGCCATTGATGGAGCTCATGGTTTGGCGCACTCCCTGTGTGACAGGAATCACTTTGTGGCACAGCGTGGCTGGCTCCACACAATGCGGGAAATCCCACAAGACCTCAACTTGCTCGCATTGCATGGTCTTGCGTGAGTTCTGGGAGCGGGTGGAAAGGAGACCTCCTTAAAGAAGGTTGCTGTGCCTCAGGTCAGTCCTTTCCTCAACGAGTTTCAGATAAGAAGGCACAACAATCTGTAGGGAGAGTGCAGAACTTCAGAGGTTGGTATCAGGGTTGTGGGGCGTCAGGAGTGAACCTACTCTACACTGGATTATCAGTTTATTTACTCAAAGCAAAAGGGTAGTATTGCCAAAGAGTAGATCCCTAATGCACAATATTAATCCAGTAATTTTAAGGCAGAAGAAATAGTAATGAATATAATAAAGAACAATTATCATTATTATTTATTACATTTGTTAGTTGCTTTATCTTGCCCAGGGCAACCCAAAGTGACTTACAACCAACCAACAAACCAGCCAGATCAAAAAACACCATATAGATACATTAGAACCAAGAGGAAAAAGAAATACATGAAAAATATTCCATCCACTTCTAAAAGGCTACAGACAGTTGAAGGCCCAAGGACTGGTTATAGAGGAAAGTTTTTGCCAGGCACAAAATCATGACTTTTCAGGCTTCGTAGCATTTATCTGTTTCTCTTTCATTCTTCTGCATTATTGTTTTAATGTAAAAAAAAGATGAAAAATGGAACAAGGGCAAAACTGGTATTAAATTATGAGCACTTGGCACTAGTGTTTGCATAGGGCTGGAAGGCTTATCCTGCAAAGGCTAAACTGCAACCGGGGCAACTTAATTGATAAAAAGAAAGAAAGAAAAAAGAAGCTAAACCTGACTCTGTTGATAGCTGAGCTCTAGCTGTTGCAGCAAGCAAACCTTTGTTCAGTTTTGGTAGAGGATGATTTGATTAAAAAAGAAAGTCAAAGCTAGCAGCTGGGGACTGTGTCTAGAAGCTGGTGCAACCCATAGAGTGAATGGCATTCTTTGTGTCCTTGTGTAGGAGAAATGCCAAAAGGAACATCATGCCGACCTAGTCTCCTTCCATAGCAAGGAAGAAGTCTGTGCAATTGCGAAATTTGTTGCCGGCTTCAGTGACAACAAAGATGTTTGGATAGGTCTCCACGATCCTCAAAAGGTGAGTGCAGCAAGCTCCCTGGTGCTTAACGTCTTGGGATGTTTCTAACACTCTTCTCTTCTGAATTTCTCTCTGGATTTTGGAAATCAAAAACAAGATCAAGTAATTCAAAAGTGGAACTGATGCATTGGAGATCTCCATGATGGCAAATATCAGCCCAATCTGTCAGGAAATGCCACTCTCTGACCTAGAAAGCCTTCTCCAATAATTCCTTATCTGTAAGAACTTTCTCTCTCAAGGTTGGGGAGAAACACATACTGTATTGGACTAGCTGTAATGTGGAAGTGAGAGTGTCAAACTGGGTGCAGGATGGCCCGGGTTCTAATGTTGAGCCAGCCAGGCGCCATCTAACCCAGGGAAGGGGAATCTGTGGCCTTCCGGGTGTTGCTGGGCTTCGACACCCGTTGTTGGGAGTGAGCCAGCAATAAATCACACAGACTAAGTGAACTTAACTCTTTATTTGAAGAAGTGGGATCTGCTCAGGAGTGCCAGGCCTAATGAGCACTACAACTCTTATTTGGTACAACTTGTCGTTATGAGGCAGTTGCGAAGAATGGAGGCTTCCCACAGGTGCCCAACCCTCCTCCTCTCCTAGGTTTTCCCCAAGCAATCTGAGACTGCGGCTGGGTGTCTGCCTTTGCAGCCATGGGAAACACCCATGCTTCTTCACCAGCCTGACTCATCTCTGCCTCTTGGCCTCACTCCTCTCCTGCTTCTGTTTCTGCTGCAGCTTCTGGACTTCTCTCTGCCACAAACTCTCCCTGATCACTAAACCCTGTTACCTCTTCAGCTTCTGACACCTCCTCCTCCTCCTCCCTCCGACCACTCATCATTGTCCCACCACCAATCCCCTGTCTCTGAGCCTTCTTCCCTTGGAGGTTCCGCAGCTGGTTCCCCTTATTCCTCCTCTGCATCCAACCAGTCCATGGCAGCCATTAACCCCAGCCAGCATGTCCAGTGCTCGGGATGATGAGTGTTGGAGTCCAACAGTACAGTGGTACCTCGGGTTAAATACTTAACTAGTTCCGGAGGTCCATTCTTAACCTGAAGCACCACTTTAGCTAATGAGGCCTCCCGCTGCTGCTGCCCTGCCGGAGCACGATTTCTGTTCTCATCCTGAAGCAAAGTTATTAACCCGAGGTAATATTTCTGGGTTAGCGGAGTCTGTAACCTGAAGCGTATGTAACCTGAAGCGCATGTAACCTGAGGTACCACTGTATATGCCATAAATTTCTTATCACTGAAAGAACTTCATAGGTCAGCAGGGAGGAGAATTTGGTTTGATCTACATTTTTAAGTGAACTGATCAAATTCACACCTCTTGGGCCAATATATAAATTATCCTTTGGCTCTCACACTTCTGGTGGAAACACTGGTGCCTGCTGGTGTTGTGTTGGCAACCCCTATGGAAAATGAAGAGCACAGGCCTCCAAAACATATCTGCCCTTTACAGCAGAGTGGGGCGGGGCAGGGGGAACGTTTCTGGCTGGAGAGGGTCAGATCTTTATCTTCCCCACTCCTCTCAGGACAAAGATGGCAGGTGGGCAACCTGCCAATCACCTCACCTCATAGTGATGTCAGGTGACGCTTCCCCTGGGAACCCCAGTGAGCAGGACTTCAAAGCAAACTGTGGGGCTTTCGAAGAGCCCTTTGTAAACACAGCACACAGGGATGTTTACAAAGGGTCGTTAAATCTGCACCTGTGCTTCTCCATCAAACCGTCACAGAGATTTGAAGCAGAAATGCAGAGATTTGAAGGTGGGGGTGTTTGAAAGCCTTGAGCATGGTGCAGTCCTACTGCCCATCAGCTGATAGGATGGGAATGCAATGTCCTGCATCAAAACTACCCAGAATCTGAAGAAAAAGACCAAGTTGCTTATTGGCTCCCAACCAAGGCATATCACATTGCGGACCTCCTACTTAGCCGTAAACTCAATGAAGTCATACCACAGGTGTGGGAAATCTTTGACCCTCCAAATGCTGCTGAACTACAACTCCTAAGCTTCTGAAAATATGGCTGATAACCAGAAATGGTGGAAATGTAGTCCAAAAACATCTTGGGGGGGGGGGTACAGATTCCCAACCACAATTTTATTCCCAGGCAGACTGGTCTAGGACTGCAACCTTGGTAAGTTTCTGAGCCATTCCACGAGCATTCTCCAAAGTATTCCACATGGTTGATTCCCTTACTAACTGCATTTATTGCCTTCCACCTGCAGGATAACGTATGGGATTGGACTGATTCCACCAGGTTTAACTTATATGCATGGCTGGATGACACACAGAGAAAGAATGAATACTGTGCGCTATTGCTCCACGGCACAAGTAAGTGTGCTGGTGCTTTGGCAGATGGGGACACAGGGATTCAGGAAGGAGAAGAGCAAAATACGGCTGCTTTTGTGTACCTTCCAGCTCTAACACTTTGAGAGCTGAGATTTATGGGTGTTTCCTCTAAACAGCTGCAAAGCACTGTTTGGGTCAGAGGCGGGAAGGATGCAGTTTGTAGCAAAAAAGTGGCTGGCACACCTAGACACTCCTCTTCTGTTGCAGCCTCTTCCCTCTGCCACATTCACCCCAGCCAGGGTTCCAGGCATGTGCTTGCTAGGTTGTTAAAGCAAGAGCAAAGGGGGAAGAGGATTCCAGAGAAAATGCTTTCAGCAAGTGAGGTAGCTGTTCACCACCTGCTGTTCTGTACATCAATTGTACTGTGAAATTGCTTGGAGATGCTTCCTAGGATTCCTAAATGACATAAAGGACACCACCACCACTCCACTTAGCAACTGTTCAGTAGAGGCCTGACTTCCCAAATCTGCCAGCTTTGTAGCTCAAACCAGTGGTAATCCTGATGGGCTTAAAGACTTTTGCCTGCCAGGAAAGGTGGCATATACATCAACCAGGTGGCTAGCACAGGTAGTCATAATCACATTTTTAATATGCTGCCACTGCGTCACCTTAAATATCCCGTGCTGCCACTTGTGTATGTCTGTGCATTCACCTCCAGCCAAGGAGGCTAGAAATTTGGCAATTCTCAAAATGCAAAAGTTTAAATCAAAACCCAAAATTCTCAGTTGCACAGAGGATTGCATTTTGCATATCACATCTACAGCTTTGCTTTTAGCCTTTCTCCTAAGGATGTAATCATGTGCTTGCAAAACTGTAAACAGATAATAACTCTTCTCGAAACTTAGAAGTAGTGCTGAAGAGTACTTCAGCACTACTGTACTTACCTTTCCTCTGCGCTTCCCAGACACAGGGCTGCATTTTAAGCTCTGTGTCTGAACTGCTGAATTGGAGAAAACAGCACTCCGCAGAAAATCCCATTGCCATTTGGCTTTAAAGAGCGGGTTTTTGTGGGGTATGCTCCAGGGCAGGGAAAAGAGTGCTTGAACACAGAGTTGTGCCTGGAAAGCACAGCTCAAAAGGTAAGTGCATGTAAGCCCATTGTCTGTGGTTTCTTATTCTTGCTGCAGCCTGCAGTTTAGCCAGTTTTGCAGGTTTCTGTGGTGCTTCAGGCAATACTTACGACTTTTCCAGACAGCCTTTCTAGACAGTACATTCATGGTTATTTCTGCTTGTGATGGCACAGGGCAGTCTGACGAAAACTTGCTTTCAGTACTCTTTGTGCCTGAAATGTTTTGGAGCAGATATCCTGCTTGGTTTGCAATCAGCGCATGTCCTGCAGCTTCCTGCTGAAATCCTGTAGCTTTGTATACTTCAAATGTCCCAGGTTATTGTTGTCTTGCCTTTGTTGAAGGTGGTGCAACAGTGGCCCCTCCAAATGGCAATGATGCAACAACACCAGGGGGGCATTGCAGAACAACTACCGTATTTTTTGCACCATAACACTCACTTTTTTCCTCCTAGAAAGTAAGGGGATATCGGTCCTGGAGGTTCTGCTGAATATGATTAGAAGGGACCGGTTGGTTAAAGGTATACAGGTCGGAGCCGAACAGTACAAACTGAGAGCATTTGCAGATGACTTAGTATTGACATTACAGGAGCCAGAATCTAGTACTAAAAGGGTTTTAGAATTAATTCAAGAATTTGGTCAAGTGGCAGGATTTAAATTGAACAAGCTAAAAACTAAGGTTTTAGAGAAAAATTTAACACCAATGGAGAGAGAGAGGTTTCAGAATGAGACAGGCCTGACTGTGGTTAAGAAAGTGAAATACCTGGGGATTAATATGACAGCCAAAAATGGGAACTTATTTAAAGATAATTATGAAAAATGTTGGACGGAAGTGAAAAAAGATTTAGAAATCTGGTCAAATTTGAAGCTTTCACTGTTGGGTCGTATTGCTGTGATAAAAATGAATGTATTGCCTAGAATGTTGTTTTTGTTTCAGACATTGCAAATTGTGGACAAGATGGACTGTTTCAAGAAGTGGCAGAGAGATATTTCTAGATTTGTCTGGCAGGGCAAGAAGCCCAGAATAAAATTTAAGATATTAACTGATGCAAAGGAAAGAGGTGGATTTGCCCTGCCAGACTTTAAACTTTATTATGAATCAGCAGCTTTTTGCTGGTTGAAAGAATGGCTACTTCTTGAAAATACAGACATTTTGGATTTAGAAGGTTTTAACAACGTATTTGGATGGCATGCATATTTATGGTATGATAAGGTCAAAGCACATAAAGCATTTAAAAATCATATTGTCAGGAAAGCACTGTTTAATGTTTGGATAAGATACAAGGATTTATTGGAAAATAAAACCCCAAGGTGGTTGTCACCGATGGAAGCGAAAGCTCTGAAAAGGCTCAATATGGAGGCCAAATGGCCGAAATATTGGGAAATTTTGGAACAAGAAGGAGACAAATTGAAATTGCAGAGTTTCGAGAAACTAAAAACAAAGTGAGAGATTGGCTTCATTATTATCAGATAATGGAGGCATATAATTTGGATAAGAAAATTGGCTTCCAGGTGGAAAAATCAAAACTAGAAACAGAACTGTTAGAACCCAAAACTAAGAATTTGTCAAGAATGTATAACTTGCTGTTGAAATGGAATACTCAGGATGAAACGGTGAAATCTGCTATGATTAAATGGGCACAAGATGTTGGACATAATATTATGTTTGCTGACTGGGAACAGTTATGGACCACAGGTATGAAGTTTACGGCATGTAATGCCCTAAGAGAGAATATTATGAAAATGATATATAGGTGGTACATGACCCCAGTCAAGCTTGCAAAAATCTATCATTTGCCCGACAATAAATGCTGGAAATGTAAAGAAACTGAAGGTACATTCTTTCACCTTTGGTGGACGTGCCCAAGGATTAAGGCTTTCTGGGAAATGATATATAATGAACTGAAAAAGGTATTTAAATATACCTTCTTGAAGAAACCAGAGGCCTTTCTTCTGGGCATTGTCGGCCAATTGGTGCCAAAGAAGGACAGAACTTTTTTTTATGTATGCCACAACAGCAGCAAGAATACTCATTGCAAAGTATTGGAAGACACAAGATCTACCCACTTTGGAAGAATGGCAGATGAAGGTGATGGACTATATGGAATTGGCAGAAATGACTGGCAGAATCCGAGACCAGGGAGAAGAGTCGGTGGAAGAAGATTGGAAGAAATTTAAAGACTATTTACAGAAATATTGTAAAATTAATGAATGATAGAATGATGTTGGATAGTAATTAAGCGGTTTCCAGCTGTAATGTTCTAAGAGAATATGAAAAAGGGTTATAAATGGGTTAAAATCTAATGGTAAGGATTTGCTGAACCAATAAATTGAAGTGGAATACAAAAAGGGAGGTACGAGGAGGTCCGGGAAACAAGCTAAAGGAAAATAAGTAATAGAAAATATGTGTGTTTTTAACTGTTTTTATTTTGTATTTTTCTTTTTTCATTTTCATTTTCACTGTAATATTTCAAAAAACCTTAATAAATATCTTATATAAAAAAAAGAAAGTAAGGGAAATTGTCTGTGCGTGTTATGGAGGGAATGCCTATGGATGGCATGCCTACGGATTTTCCTCCTCTAAAAACTACGTGCGTGTTATGGTCGGGTGCGTGTTATAGAGTGAAAAATACGGTAATAAAGCAAAATGATGCATGGATGGTCCACTATAAATGCACTGCTCATGCATCAGTGATATGTTGCAGAACACACCCATGCAAAACCCCCATTCTGGAGGAGCCCTCAGTGAAGATGAAAAAAAGGGGCTGAGTCCACCACTCATGCTTAGAATTTGAAATCTCAGGAGCCGAATTGGTGAACTTCCTCTAGGTCAAACATTGTGTTTCTGGTGATGGATACAGCAATTCTGACCATGGTTTTGATCTGTGACAGCTGTTTCATACATATGCATTTTCCATATAGGAAAAAAGACCTGCATAGTAATGTTCTATTGCTTCAGATGGGCACTGAAGACAGTTTCCCCCTTGGCAAGCTTTGAGGAGGATTGCTCCCAAGTGAATTTCATACCGTTACCTCTCTTGACTTTATTTTATTAGACAGAAAACCCCTATATGTTTTTGTTTGTCACGTGTGTTGTTTCTTGTGCATTGTAGGTGAACTTGGATAATTCATACAGAGGCGGAATATACAGTATATATTATTTAAAAAGAAAATAAATAATTGAGGCTGTGGTCATCCCACATGAATGTGTGAACTAGCCCAAAAAGGTCGTGGGGTGAACAACACTTTTCTAATAAGACAGAAGACAGTTAATATTTTAATTATTAGTTTTAATAACCTATATTGCCTGTTTAATATTGTTTTGCAGTATGTTGTCCAGAGAATGTTTGTGGACGGATAGCTATAAACATGTAATTCATAAAATAAACAACCCTGGGAGGTTGCATCCCAAGGAGAGCATACATCCTGCAACCCACAAATCACCCTGGTATCTCAGCTGCCTTAATTTTCTTTCTGCATAGATTATATTGCATGGGACAGCAGAAATTGTGAAACCAAGAACCCCTACCTTTGTAGTTCGACACCACAAATTATCGTTCGTGGGTGCTAACAAGGAGGAACCCTGGCTGGCTGTCTAGAAGAACCTGCACCCAGAGGGATGTCAACTCCTTCCATGACTGCTAAACTCACCTGCTACTCATCTATAGGCTGAAATCCCAAATAAACAGTAGAACTTGCAACTCAATGTGGCTGGGTGTGTCATCTGTTACAAGACGGGGAAACGTATTCCTTGATTTTTCTTACCTATTTTATTTATTTAAACAGTCATAACCCTTATTTTTACAAAGTGGTGGTGTACCCAGCAGAAATAATTTAGACAGCAAACAACCTTGGCGGTTGAACCCAAGACCTTCTGTGTGCTGTGGCTCTTCCTGTTGAAGATACTCACCTGTCCCACCTGTCTTCTGTCATGGAACCCTGTGGTTCTCGGGTAGTCACATGTCCAGGAATTTACCAAATCTAGACCTGTTTAGCTACTTCAAAGTGATTGTCACCTGTGCCTTCACACCATAATAAAAGGCTAATAATAGCACAGTGCACATTGATGCATTTATTAATTTACTGCATTTATACCTCACCTTTTTCTTCAAGGGGCTCAAGGTGGTGTATGTGGTTCTCCCTGCTCATTTATGCTCCACAACAACCCTGTGAGACTCAGAGGCAGTGCCTGGCCTAAGGTCACCCAGTAAACTTCATGCCAGAGTCTCTCGGGTCTTAGCCTGACACAAACCACTACACCATGTGGTACTGTGTTCTCTCAGTACCTTTGGGGGCAAAGAGCAGCAGATGGAAGGAAATAAAACCTGCCAAGAAAATGGCATGTTTCCATGGGGCCTTTATCTTTGTCCCACAGAGAGTGAGAAAAACCTGCCTTTATTATTGGAAAGTGTTTGAGTGGTGCTAGCAGATGAGTTGTGAGAAACCCACAAGGCATATGCTACCAACATTGTACAGTAAACAGAAAAGTCCATGAAGAGAAAAACAGCACATTGTGCTTGCCTATCAGGTAGGACACATATGTCAATTTCAGTTTCTTTCATTTTCGCCTTTATTCCAGTCTATTTTCCCAGTCCAGTTTAGTCCCTCACATCAGTTTCTGTGGTTTTTTAAAAAGTACTCAAGATAATTGATCAACATTTTCCTTCAAATTTAACCTACTGTGCATATTTTTGTGTGCAATTTGCCCATACACAATGCCTGGTTGCTTCAATAAAACCTTCCCAGGTGGAGGGAGTTTGGAAGAACCCCTTTGGATTTCTGTATAAGTATACCGTAACAGAGATATAATGCATGAAACCACAGCATGGTCCATGGGATTTGTTTCTGGGTAGAATATATATGAGAGAAAACCAGCCATGTTATTCTGTGGTGGCAAAAACACATTTAGAATGAGCAAAATGGTGATTCTACCCAACAGGTGAGGCAAGGGTTGGTTCTACAACTGAGCTTGGCTGTGGACCAGATTCTCCTTATTGGGTGTCATCCAGATGTTGAACTACAACCCCAGGAGCCCCAGTCAGCTTGGTTGAAGGAGGTTACTGTAGGCAATGGGTTTTTGAGATTGTATTGCTTGTCTCCTACTGCCATTCAACTGCCATTCCTCCCCTTTTATGGCCATGTTGAACAAAGCTGCCAACCAAGAATCTCACTTCATACATCTGATAAAGGGAACACACTCTCTCTTTTGCACAGCTGGAGTTTGTTCATAACTTGTAAACAGGTCCATCAGGCTGTTCCCAAGGCTGCCAGATTAGATTAAATCTTTAGGCCTTGAGTCAATATTGCTGCAGTTGAATAATGTTGATTTTCAGGAGCTGAAGCTGCTAGCCTTGAACTCTGTTGCAGAAGAAGTTGAATGGATATTGACAGTTTTCCAGAAACCACCGGGCAGCAGAGTCCCAGCTGTCTTTAGCGAGGCAAGATAAAACTATCTTGCATGCCTCCCACCCTGCTTCTACTCTTGGGCTGGAAAACAGGGAACATGGTCTTAAAACTGTATAGGGATGGGTGCATCTGTCCATTTTAGTTTCTCTCAAATTTCCCTTCTTCCGTTCTGAAGTTCCAGTGATGCCAACACTGGACTGGGGGCCCTGCATCCACTCAATCAATCAATCAATCAATCAATCAATCAATCCATACATACATATATGCTTATGTACATTTATTTACTTAGCCTAGTCTGCCTCACAGGGCTGTTGCAAAGATAAAAAGAGGGGAGGACAAGACACACAACCTTGCGCTTCTGAGCTGAATAGCAAGATACAAATATACAACAAGAAGCAACAAATGTTTGCTGTTTCAGAACTCTCAGCAAAATAAACACATTCGGGGGGGAAACACACCCCACAATTTTATCAACCTCAATAAAGAAAAAGCAACAACCTACAGGAATTTAACTTAGCTGTCAGGTGAGGCAATGATTTTAGGGCTGCATTTGCTGATTTGTTTTATATTTTACACTTTTGTTTTATGATTGTTGCATATGAATCAATAGCAGCCCAGTGATGACATGCAGGCCAGTAGTGGCTGTGTGGCTGACATGAAAAACTGCATTGGGGTGGGGTGGACACTGCAAAGTCAAGGAATCATACCAGTATCAAGTAAGTCATACTCAAGCCAGCCAATTGCGTTTTCCACTGTAAAGGCAGTATGCTTGAGCAGTGGATAAAATACTGTGGATATGGAGGACTGCACTTAAACATGCATCTAGCTAGCTTCCTCCTCCATCCAGCGTCAGACTAGCAGCAATAACAAGATATTTCTTTTTTTCGTGCTGCTCTGGGAGTGTGTCTGGGAGACCCAGGCAGTGTCATGGGCTGGCTGGATACAGAGGAGTGGTGAGAGGCACCAGCTGGGGAACCCCCAAGGGATCCCCCAGACTGAGAGCCAGGGGGTTGGGGGTGGGACAATGATGAGTGGTGGGGGGGAGAAGAGAGAACAGACTGGGAGGAGGAGTTGATGGAAACTGAAGAGGTATCAGGGTTTAGTGAGCAGGAAGAGGCTGAGAAACAGAGCAGTCCCGATTCAGAGGCAGAAGAAGAGGCTGGAGAGGATCGGGCCAAGAGGCAGAGATGAGGCTGGCTGCTGAAGAGTCCAGGGAGTCTCTCATTCCTCCTCCGACCAGCTCCCCTTCCCCCTGGTCTCACAGAATACCAAGAGGAATGAAAAGGGTGGAGCAATGAGAGGCTAGACAAAGGAGCCTGAGATTGCTTGTGAAGGACCCGGGGAGAAGTGCAAATCTGAAGGATGACTGTGTTTCAGTTAGTACATTGGTATTCAGTTAGCACATTTCCCTGCTATCGTACCCCTTGTCTTTGGAAGCCTTATAAGAAGCTGCTGCAGGAGAGGGACACTGAGAAACATCATGGGAGGGGGGTTTCTAGGACCAAGGTGAAACCGTGAAGCTCCCTTGTTATTTTTGCTATTGGATGCTGCATGTACTTTCAGTAATCTTGTTATGCAGGCTGCGCAGTTGTTCCATTCCTGCCCCCTGCACACATAAGTCTGCCCTGACCCCATTCCTCTCCATTTTCGGGCCACCTCCAGGTCAGCAGTGATGAACGTGTGCATGACCGCACATCAAGCGGATGCGAGTAAAATGGTTGCTGTCATTTTGTTCTGAAAGAAAGAACAGGCCTCCTATTTATTTTCATTTCAGACCATATTTCATATACTGTTTCTGATCTTTTGCCTCATTTACCTCAGGCTCTAGATATGCGGGGACGCGCTGTGGTCTACACCACAGAGCCTAGGACTTGCTGATCAGAAGGTCAGCGGTTTGAATCCCTGTGACGGGGTGAGCTCCCGTTGTTCAGTCCCGGCTCCTGCCAACCTAGCAGTTCGAGCAGCTTAGTCATGCTGGCCACATGACCTGGAAGCTGTCTGTGAACAAACACCGGCTCCCTGGCCTATAGAGTGAGATGAGCGTGCAACCCCCGAGGTGTCCATGACTGGACCTAAGAAGGGTTACCTTTACTTTACCTTTACCTCAGACTCTGGCCTTTGTCAACCCTATTTTGTTGTAACTGGCAACAGGTCAAATATTTCTTCAAGCCACAAAATGAACCTTTGAAATGTACCTTTGAATGGTCTTGATTTTGAACAGTTCTCTGATTGGAGGAGAGCAGCATCCACCAGAGTTCAGTAACCTCGTTCCAATTCTGTTTGGGGCACTCAAATCAAGAGCGCTTCTCTTGGGAAGTCTTCTCTCCTGAGCCTGGCCAGCCTCTTTTTACAGATCCTGCAAAAAAGAGGACACAATGGTTCCAAGAAGGACCGTTAAATACTGCCTTTCGCTGCTGCTTTTGATCATCCTGCCTTCCCGACCTGCGTTGGAGGGTGTGTTACCAAGAACTGGGTGTCTTTCCTTCCCCCTATTTTTCTTCACTGGTCTTTCTTTGTATTGTCCCTTGCTTTCCTTTTTCTGTTTCTCTTCTTTGTTTCTCTTCTTTTTGTTCTTTCTTTTGAGTGCGATGACTGGGGCCTTTATTAATGTCCAGTGACTGTAGTCTCATGGGGGTGGTAAATGGTAGACGCCTGGGTGAGAGACAGGAAAATGTCGGTCTCCCAGGTGAGAGGCTGGGAGGAGAAATGAAGGATTTCTGGTGAGAGCTGGGAGGAACTACGGTCCTCTGTGGGGGGTTAGGGCTAAGAATTACTTTTAAGAGAGGGCTCCGTATTCTGCTTACTTGATTTGTATTCTCGGTAGTTCTCATTTTACTGTTTTATTGAATAATTTAAAATAAAATCTTAAAAAACAACCAACCAACCAACCAACCAACCAACCCAGAGAAGGCTGTCTTACTTCCTGCTGGAAATGAAAAGGACAAGTTGATTGCTATCCTGTTTATTTCAATAGGGCTTCCTATGTGACTGCCTGCCTTTAGATCAGGGTCCCTGTTTATGTTAAGAAATATTTCTTAACAGTAGTTAATCCGAGTGAAGATAAATTCCTGAAGTACTCCATGTGCCCTCTTCATTCGAAACTACTATTTCCCACCAGCTTCTGCCCCCTGGGGCTCTTTTGAGTATGGACCACAGCTAACTCTTCAGTGACGATTCATAATTATGGGAACTAATAGAAGCACTCCTAACTTATTTACCTCAGAGTAAACTGCATTGAATTTGATAGGACTCTCAGGGCAATTCTAACTATGTCTGCTCAGGGGTTAGTTTAATTGACAATGGAACTTGAATTAGTCGTAACTAATTTGTTCCTTTGTTTTCGGTGGGGATTTTAGTGCCACTAAAGTGCACTGTAAGGTTTCATACTAAGGAACGAGAGCTAATCCACACCTCTGGCAATAAAATGGAAACTTCCCCCCACTCTCTTTCAGTCTCCAATGTGGCCCTCACAGGAGAAGCTTTACAATCCAGCACCTACAACCCGCAAGGAGGAGCTATGAATGCCATTGATGGGTCTTTAGTTGGTGTATATACAGAGGGATCCTGCACCCACACAGATTATGAAAGTAATCCATGGTGGACGGTAGACTTGCAGGCGCAGTATCAAGTAGTCCATGTAAGCATCACCAATCGGGAAGACTGTTGTGCTCACCGTCTTAATGGGGCTGAAATCCGAGTTGGGGACTCCACAGAGAGAGGAGGCACCACAAATCCTAGGTACTGTATATGGATCGGATACTTTCTAGTCAGGGAAGGGGAAGCTGCGGTCCTCCAGGTGTTACTGTAGTAGCACTCTCATCATCCTTAGCCATTGTCCATGTTGGTTAGGGTTGCGATTTGGGAATTCAATTATTTGGAGGGCCACAGGTTCCTTATTCTGTCTTACACACTGAGGTGTCATGAGGTACAATTATCTCTTTCTGCCCTGTTTTCGTCACATCCAGGACTGTTTCCATTCCACTGCAGTTCACTGTCTGCCAAAAGCTACATTATTTTGTTTTGCTGTCTGCTGTGGCAAAATTACATAATTTATGTATCGTTAATTCCGTACGTAAATTATATAAGTTACATTGTCCTATGATGCCACCCCACTCATTTAAATGTAAAGAAAATGCAATGCAAATTGGGGGATGTAATGTAATCAATTATATATTGTCTGTGGACTGAAAGGAGCCAAAACAGCAAACGCTGATCATATCCACTGGATCAATTTCTGTTCCTCTCATGGGGTGAATTTGTCAACATTGGCCATTTCCACTTCTAGTTTGTCAACATTTTCTGGCATCCCTGCTTTACAGGATTATGGCACAGGGAGAACAATGTAGTGTATACGTTTCAGACAGATCCCTAGCTATTTGAGTTCCCCAAACATAGCAAATATTTGCTCTCTTTCCTGAAATGTTCATGTGATTTCACCTTTCGGATAAAGTTCTTCAATTATTGTTTAACACTGTTTCTTGATGTTTTCTTTTCTTTTCTAGATGTGCTACAATAAGTTCTTTGGATGCTGGGGAAACACGCAGTTTTTACTGCGAAGCGTCAAAAGGGCAGTTTGTTACAATTACCCTACCAAGGGGCGGATACCTCACGCTTTGTGAAGTCCAGGTGTTTGGTCAGAAGATAGATTCTAGTGGTAAGTAGGAAAGATATTGGTATCTGTTTATGTGCAAAGAGACTGAGGCTGCATACATCCCATGTACTTAAAGCACATTTAACTGCATGCTTCCCCCCCACCCCCCAAAATTCCTGGGATCTGTACTTTATAAAAGGGTGCTGGGAACTGTAGCTCTGTGAGAGGTAAATCACAGTTCCCAAGATTCTTTACAGGAAGGTATGTCCTTTAAACGGATGGTCTGTACCCAGCCTAATATACAGGAGAAACACAATGTCTATAATGCTGACTTATTCATTAATGGTCATTCTGGATGTTGTAGTAGCAGATTTTCTTCACTGAGGTGTTGAAGCAGATTACCTTTGAGGTTCCTCCCAGTGCTATGATTCTGCCATGCCAGAGATCCCTGGGAACCGTAGCGTTATATGAGGGAATCTTTCATTAAAGTAATTTCCCCCACAATTCTATGGAGGAAGCCATGACAGTTACATCATTATAATCCATTCCAAACCCAGCACAATATTTTCTAAAACTTTCCCCCTCTCCTCCCCTGTGACCCACACCTTCTTCAAATCTGCTCTGCAGGGTTGGGTAAACACCCACGTGGTAAGAATTTACTTCTACACTGTTTGTTCATTTCCCAGGTGAGGGAACACGCTTTTAAATAAAAACATGGAGCCAAGAAAATAACAGCAACAGATTCAGCAGAAACTGGGTTTATTAACACTATTGCAATAGGAGAACCTTGCTAACCAGTTGTTCAGCAGAACTGCTAGTTAGAAAAGACTGACAAGAGGCACATCAGAACAATATATAGCAGTTTCAAACACAGCCACAAAAGTTATAAAACTTCAAAACATCCTTCTACATGCATCAAGAAAGGTTGCAAGTCATGGGATGTAAAGATATGTACATGACTCCACATTGGAATCAACTTCCTTGGAGTGCCCCAAAACATTAGGTCTCAACTATCTCATTTTAACTCCAGTTATCTTGGCAACCAAGCTTTCAGTAGGGTCTGTGGGCATTCCAATCCCACAGTTTACTCCCCTGTTCCCAAAACATGTCAAAGACCTTCAAGAAGAGATGCTGGATTAACACCCGGGTGCTAACTCAAAACAGACATAGCAAAATGTTTTGGCTGTCACTTTCCAGGTCAGATAGAAGAGATGGAATGCAGCGTAGAAGGGGCAGCAGTGTGGAAAGCAACCCTTTCAGAGCAATGGAAGTTAATCCCTGTTATCTCTGTTTCCCCAGAGATAATTCAATAACCAAGATTTATAGCTTGGCTATCATTAATCACCACATCATAATCTCTGCTAAGCTAGAAGGTCGACCAGAGATATCTAGTCCACCATGTTTTCCTCCCGGAAGTCCACTTTCCTGGACTCTTGATTATGACTTTCATACTCTCTGCTAAATTTTTAGGATTTTATCTTTGCATGGTTTTAATTGTTGTGATTGACATATCATTCTTTTTCTATGCATGCTGCTCTGATAATTTTATCAAGGGGAACCCAAGAATAAATAAATAAATAACTCTCTAGACTGTGCTGAATGAATTACATTAGCAGATAAAGGCTCAGTGTGATGGCCTGGGATTCCGATTCGGAGGATGAAACAGAGGAATCCCGGCCTGCACAGGAGTCCCCGCCTCCAGGGCCGGCTGAACTGGGGCAAGGCCTTGATGCTGAAGAGCCTGCACCTGTGGCAGTGCATCAGGAGCTGGCCCCAGGTGAAGCCCTTCGGGCCCCAGAGGGGCTTGATGACTCAGTGGCCACAGGTGAGCCTCCTCCAGGGCCCAGTAACCCTTCGGCCTCTCCTGATCTGCAGAGGCTTAGGGCAGAGAGGCGAAGGGAACTGGTTGCCCCCAGGAGGAGTGCTCGCCTTAAGGCCAGAGGAGGCGGGGCTCCTGGGGACCGGGACCGCCCTGGCCTTAGAAGAGGATAAAGCCCAGTCAGCCCGGCCCCAGGTTGCGGGAGCAACGTCGTTGTTGGCTCGGACCTTCCTGTGTTCCTGATCCCTGCTCGGCTTCCTGTTCCTGACTATCCGGTACTCCTGTTCCCTGCTCGGCCTCCTGTTCCCGACCATCCGGTGTTCCTGTTCCCTGCACAGCCTCCTGTTCCAGCATTCCTGTTCCCCGCCCGGCTCTCTGCCTCGGACCTTGCCCCTCTTCGTGTGGACTCTGCTACACCCAAGGTACCCCCGGGACCAGCACAGTTTGCTCCCGCCAAACCCGCACTCCCCTTCGTAGGGGTGCGTTCGGGAAGAGCCAGAGGCCATGGCTGACCAGGCGGCTGCACTGGTGGCTTTGGCCCAGAAGAACCAGGCCTTGACTCACACCGTGCAGCAGCTCAGTGACGCGGTTGTGGCACTTCAACAACGCTTGGAAGCCCTACCGGCTCCTGGGGCCGACGCCTCGGCTCCTGGCAAGTACCCAGTGGCTTTGCCTGAGAAATTTGATGGAGCCCCGGCCAGCTTTCCCATGTTCCTGGCCCAGGCCAAGCTGTATATTCAGGGGCGAGCCCGGAACTTTCCTGACGACCGCACCAAGGTGCACTTTTGATTAGTTTGTTAAAGGACCAGGCGGCCAAGTGGGCGTTGCCGCTACTCAGGCAAGACTCCCCTTGCTGGCAGACTATACGGGGTTTGCAATCGTTTGGAGGCCGCGTTCGGCAACCCCAGAAAGGGAGTCAAGCCAACCGGGCGATTCGGCGTTTGAAACAGGGCAAGTCCACGGTGGCCGCATATACCACGGAGTTTCGGCTGTTGGCACAGGACTTGACCTGGAATGATTCGGCACTGCGGGACCAGTATCTCGAAGGGCTTTCGGACGAGGTACTGGACCAGTTGGCCACAATGGAACGCCCACCACGCTAGACACTCTCATTCAACGGAGTCTACAAATAGACGACCGGTTGGAGGATCGTCGTCAGGCCCGGGGTCGCCGACACTTCCAGTTCACGGCACCAGCTTTTCCGGCAGCCCCACAGTCACAGCTGATTTAACGGAGGAGCCTATGCAGCTCGGGGCAGTGCGGCCACGCCTTTCCCCCGCAGAGAAGGCGCGGCGTCGGGAGGGAAATCTCTGTCTTTACTGTGGCGGAAGTGGACACTTCGCTCGGTCTTGCCCTGAGAAACGCCAGCCGCAGGAAGCCGCCAACCCCAGTAGCTGATGGCCCTAGCTGCCGGGGTCCCAAACCGCGCAGAATGGGCCTGCATCAATGGACTCGCAACATCTTATGGTTCCGATGCGTTTATACCCTCCAGGTGGGCCCTGGATCCCCACCCATGCTTTGGTGGATTCAGGGGCAACCCGCTCTTATATGGACGCTGCTTTTGCCGCCCATCATCAGGTGCCACTTCGGAACAAGCCAGTACCGGTCCAGGTGGAAGCGATTGACGGACGACTTCTGTGTTCAGGTGCCGTTACTCAGGAGACCCAGCCCCTGGTCCTGTGTTTCCAGCAGCACCGGGAGTTGCGAACTTTGGACATTGCCTCTATGCCCCGCTTCCCCCTGGTGCTCGGGATGGACTGGCTGGAAGCCCACAACGTTCAGATTCACTGGGTCAAACGGACCGTGCACTTCCCAGACCCATGTTCCCATGCTCAATCCGGGACGCTGGCGGCCGCGCCCTCAGAGGAGGCAGCACCCACGCTCCCAGCCGTGTATCAGGACTACCAGGACGTGTTCGAGGAACGGGGGGGCAGACCAGCTGCCGCCGCATCGGCCTTTGGCTGGCGGCATCGACCTCCAACCCGGAGCGCCTCTACCAGTGAGTCGCTTATATTCTCTAACAGAGCCAGAGCGCGAGGCTTTGCAGGACTTCTTGCGCAAGAACCGGGAGCGTGGGTTCATTAGGCCGTCCACCTCGCCTACCGCGGCACCAGTGCTTTTCGTTAAGAAGAAATGTGGGGAACTCCGCCCTTGCCATGATTACCGAGCCTTGAACAAAATTACCGTCCCAGACCGATACCCCTTGCCCCTTATCTCGGAGCTGCTGGAGCGGGTGCAAGGGGCACAGGTGTTCACCAAGCTGGACCTCCGGGGGGCCTACAACTTGATTCGGATCCGAGCCGGGGTGAGTGGAAGACAGCGTTTGGGACCCGGTACGGGCAGTTCGAATATTTGGTTATGCCTTTCGGGTTGTGCAACGCGCCTGCTGTGTTCCAACGCTACATCAACCACGTGTTTCAGGACTTGTTAGACAAGTACGTGGTGGTGTATTTGGATGACATACTGATTTACTCCCGTGACCCGGCTCGCCATGAGGGACATGTCCGGTCCGTGCTGCAGCGCTTGCGTGAGCACCGTTTGTATGCAAAGCTCAGCAAGTGCGAGTTCCATCAGCGGACTGTGGACTTCCTTGGTCACCGGCTCTCTCCGGATGGGGTGCAAATGGACCCGGGGAAGGTGACAGCGGTTCAAGAATGGGCGGCACCCCGGAACCGCAAGGACCTACAACGTTTCCTGGGGTTCGCCAATTACTACCGGACCTTCATCGCTGATTATGCTCATCGCACCACCCCGTTGACCCGGCTACTGCGCCCCAAAGACGCCGTTTTCCTGGGACAAGGAGGCAGAGGAGGCGTTTCAGGGGTTGAAGGCCTGTTTCCAGAGGGCACCAATCTTACAACATCCTGACCCCTCTCGACCCTTTGTGGTGGAGACCGACGCCTCCAGTACGGCTCTCGGTGCCGTCTTGTCTCAACAGATTGGGCCCGAGCGCCACTCTTACCCTGTGCCTTCTGTTCCCGCCAGCTCCTACCAGCGGAGCGTAACTATACTGTGTGGGAGCGGGAACTACTGGCCATCAAGGTAGCCTTTGAGGTCTGGCGCCACCATCTTGAGGGCACGACATCCGGTGGAGGTAAGGCAACCGACCACCGGAACCTGGAGCTACCTCCAGACCACCCGCAAGCTGAACCAAAGACAGATCCGGTGGGCGTTGTTCTTTTCCGGTTCCAGTTTCGGATCCGCTACATCCCTAGCTCTCAGAATCTGAAGGCGGATGCCCTGTCCCGGAAACCTGAAGACAACGCAGACACGGTACAGCAAGCAGAACCCGCCACGATCCTACCTCCGGCCGCATTCCTGGCCACCCAGGAGGCGCAGCCACTGCAGGTTCGGATGCGGGAACAGCAGCGGGTCGACGCTTGGGCCCAGGAACGACTCCGGGAGCTGGCTGGAAGGGTCCAGCCCACAGTATCCGGGGCTGGTCCTGCACCAGGGCCTCCTGCCGCACCCCGGTCGTCTGGACAGCCCGCCAGGGCCACTGCGGCTGGAGGTTCTCCGGATGGCCCATGATGCCCCGGCAGCGGGGCACTTTGGACGGTATCGGACCACCCATCTGGTCAGTCGTGAGTTTTGGTGGCCCCGCCTGAAGGCTGACGTGGCTCGCTACGTTGCTGGTTGTGATGTCTGCCGACGCGCCAAGGGGCCTACCGGGCGACCCCCGGCCTACTTCAGCCATTGCCAGTTCCACCGCGCCCTTGGCACACAGTTTCGTTGGACTTTGTAGTGGACTTACCCTCGTCTCGTGGCTGTACCTGCCTTCTGGTTTTCTCCGACCATTTCACCAAGATGGTGCACTGCGCTCCCTGTCCATCTGTACCCACAGCCAAGGAAACTGCTCAGCTGTACCTCCCAGCATGTCTTCCGCCTGCATGGTCTACCTGAGCGCGTGGTGTCCGACCGGGGCGTTCAGTTCACATCCCGGTTCTGGCGAGCATTACACCAGACCCTCGGGACAGAGGTCTGCCTCTCGTCAGCCTACCACCCACAGACCGATGGCCAGACGGACCGGGCGAACGCGGTGCTGGAGCAGTACCTCCGGTGTTACTGCAGCTACCAGCAGGATGACTGGGTCGACCACCTGGCATTGGCGGAGTTCGCCTATAACAACGCGGTGAATGCGTCCACCCAGCAGACCCCGTTCCAGGCCAGTTATGGATTATCATCCACGGCTGTTTCCAGAGGTGCTGCCGGCATCCGCGGTCCCGGCGGTGACGGAGTGGCTTCAAGAGCTCCAGTCCCAGCAACAGCTTTTGGTGGAGCAACTGCACCAGGCCAAGGAAGCGTACAAGGCCCAGGCCGACCGCCACCGCCAGGTGGGGCCGGAACTGCGTCGGTGACCTGGTTTGGCTCTCCACTCGCCACCTCCACCCCTCTCGACCTTCGCGGAGTTGGACGCCCGCTCACCGGCCCGTTCCCTATCGTAGACCAAATCTCTCCTGTGGCATTCCGTCTCCGGTTACCCGCAACCCTGAAGGTTCACCCGGTCTTCCACAGGTCCCTTTGGAGTCCGGTGGCCCCACCCGTCGAGTTCCACCAGAACCGTCCCCGACCGCCGCCCGTGTAGCTTCAGGGAGAGCCTGAGTACGAGGTGGAACGCATCCTGGACTCCCGATACCGCAGGGGAAAGCTGCAGTATCTCATTGACTGGAAGGGGTACGGACCGGAGGACCGTTCCTGGGAACCAGCGGCCAATGTCCATGCACCTGCCTGCCTCCGAGAGTTCCATGCGACGTATCCCCGGCAAGCCGGGTCCGGACCCTCGGTTGAGGGGGCCTGGGAGGGGGGGATGGTGTGATGGCCTGGGATTCCGATCGGAGGATGAAACAGAGGAATCCCGGCCTGCACAGGAGTCCCCGCCTCCAGGGCCGGCTGAACTGGGGCAAGGCCTTGATGCTGAAGAGCCTGCACCTGTGGCAGTGCATCAGGAGCTGGCCCCAGGTGAAGCCCTTCGGGCCCCAGAGGGGCTTGATGACTCAGTGGCCACAGGTGAGCCTCCTCCAGGGCCCAGTAACCCTTCGCCTCTCTGATCTGCAGAGGCTTAGGGCAGAGAGGCGAAGGGAACTGGTTGCCCCAGGAGGAGTGCTCGCCTTAAGGCCAGAGGAGGCGGGGCTCCTGGGGACCGGGACCGCCCTGGCCTTAGAAGAGGATAAAAGCCCAGTCAGCCCGGCCCCAGGTTGCGGGAGCAACGTCGTTGTTGGCTCGGACCTTCCTGTGTTCCTGATCCCTGCTCGGCTTCCTGTTCCTGACTATCCGGTACTCCTGTTCCCTGCTCGGCCTCCTGTTCCCGACCATCCGGTGTTCCTGTTCCCTGCACAGCCTCCTGTTCCAGCATTCCTGTCCCCGCCCGGCTCTCTGCCTCGGACCTTGCCCCCCTTCGTGTGGACTCTG